ATCACTTAAGTGTTAAAATTTTTGAAAAACGATCACTTAAGTGCCAATCTCCAGCGAGACTCCGGCGAGTTACGTCAGCTTAAGAAATTAATAAAAAAAATGCCACGTCAGATTTCCGGCGAAAAATTGTGTACGGCACCGGAGTTGGCACTTAAGTGGTCATTTTTCAAAAATTTTAGCACTTGAGTGATTGTTTTTCAAAAATTTTAGCACTAAAGTGATCCAAAAAAAAGTTAAGACACTAAAGTGAGCACCGTACACAAGTTATGACACTTGTAGTGTTCTTTTGCCCTTTATCTAGACAAGTGTATATAGAGACTCGCACAAAATTACTGAACATATACTAGGATTTACTTGCCAAAAGCTGTTCTTATGGTGCGTTCATATGGCAGAGCTGTTAGAGCAACATGTTTAAGAGGCATCACGATGCTGAAAGGATGGATGATATGACACGTTTTGTCTTGAAAACGAGAACCTGTCGGCTCCAATCAACCATTATTTCAGTGGCAAAACTAACTGGAGACCTTGGAATTGTCGTAAAACGTTTAATTCATAGTAGGACTCTGTTACAATTTTCTTTAAGAAGTGAGAAAGGCAACTCTTATTGGCAATGAGGAATACGTCATGAAATTGGAAGTCACTAGGAATGGGGTATAAGTAGGGGTGTCACAACCAAATCTAAAAACCGAACCGAGATACGAATCGAATCGAACCGAAAATTTCATGCATTTCGATTCAGTTTCGATTTCGATTCGAATAATCAAAATTAATTAATTTTTTTTAATTAGGTTTATTTTAATTCGGTTCGGATCAGTTCGAATCGAACCAAACTGAAATAAACATTCAGTTTTAGCCCTCGAAAGCTCTCTCTCGCGCACTCGCATCTCCCTCTCTCCCTCTCCCTCTCCCTCTCCTTCTCGCCGCTCCGCCTCCGAAATTCGCGACTCCCCCCTCCGGGCCCGCCGCTGCCGCCGCTTCCGACGGCCGCAGCTCCTGCCGGGACCACGGGCCCGAGCCGGGCGTTTTCCTCTGCCGGTCCATGCGACCGAGCCCTACCGAGACGAGATCGCGACCGAGCCTCGCCACCGCGACTCCTACTCCGTCGCGGCGCTTTCATTCCTCCGGGGTTACCGAGGCGTCGTCGCCATCGCCGCCACCTTCGAGCTCCGACCCCAAGAGGGGTGTCGCCCTCTACAAGCCCAAGTCGTACAAGGTTCTGGTCGCCGATGCGGCGGAGTCTCTCGCTTTCGCTCTCGAAGATGGCAAGACCCGATTGGAGATTGATTTCCCGTAAGTTTCTTTTTCCCCCTTTTTCTGTTGGTCTATTCGTTGATCGCGAATTGTGATTATGCCATTGATTTTGAAGCAATGGGGTTGATGCAAGTTTGTTGATTTAGCATAGGATTAAGTTGCTGGCCATGTTTACATGCTACCTTTGTGCTTCTCTCAGCGGTTTCAAGCCTCTCATACAGTGTTATTTCTTTTGGTTGATTTGGAAAGAAGTGCCACTTTTGGGTTGATTACAGTTGTATTCATGAAGAACTACAGTATAGATTCATTCTAAAATGTGTTGGACTGAATCAGTGACAGCATGTGATTTGCGTCAAAACATGTCTTTTAAACTATATACGAGATTGACTTGGTCTAGTAGAAAAAGTTTGGGTAATAATTTCTTGCTGCATGGGTATCTTTGTGCGAGTTAATTATGCCAGTGATTTCACCTCGTCATCCTCTTGAAGCAGACAAAAAGAAAGAAATGAAGTTGGAAACCTGAACTTCTTGTGAAATGGCTGAGGTTATGACCAACTATTTTAAGAAGTAATAAGGTTGAGCATCTCTTAGCAAGCTGGCAATAGCTCATCCTTCATGTGATTATTGTTCCTCGACTTCATAGCGCTCTTTGATATATGCTTGTCTTAGTAGTTTGTTGTTTTGTGGTGATATTTTGATATACGTGGTCCACCGTTGACACTGCTTTCATCAGATTTGGAGAATCCCAAGGGAAAAGATAATATGGTCTTATACCATTTCTGAAGTTTTTGCACGTCATACTCTAGAAACAAAATCAGGTTTCACATTGGACTCTGACTTAGTTCTGCTTTTTCTGTCTCATTTGATGCTTATGCAGATCATCGTCAGGAAACTTAAAGAGAAGAGGGAAACCAGAGCTTTCATTGTAAGTATGAGCTCTCTCATGTAGCAACATTTCCACTTTTGAGTGGTTACAAAATGAACCTTTACCTACTTATTGGGAAATTGAACTCCGGTATTACAAATGTTTTGTCAATTCTTCACTATCTGACTGACCAGAGAAATGCCACTAGCCTAGGCATTAGGAGGGCTACAGCAATATGCTGTAGAGATACTTCTGCAATGCAAATTTACTGAACTTCCGGACTCTTGAAAGAGATATTGTTCATTCTCTTCTTTGTCACTATGCAGGATCAAATGCAGAAAGGAGGGAGGGATTCGTTTTACAATTGATGGCTCGGGTATCTTCATCTCAGTCTTGATCAGCAATGTGGCTGGTGCTGGAGATATAGCTACAATAAAAATTAAAGGCACGAAAACTGGATGGCTTCCAATGGGTAGGAATTGGGGTCAGAATTGGCACATTAATGCGGATCTTAAGAATCAGCCCGTCCTTTGAGGTGAGCTCTAGCGACGGGCTTACGGTGACATCTTACAATGTTGCTCCTAAAAATTGGAAATTTGGACAGACATTTGAAGGCAAGCAATTTGAGTCCTGAAAGTTTGATTAACATAATCGAAAACAAGGCATTTTTTTTATTACTCTCTCCCATCCTCATTGGTATTGGAGATGCTTGTGTGCTGGAATAGTGCACATTTTGATGGAAAAAGATTTGAAAATTTGCAAGTGACTTGAGTAGCACAAGGAAGCTCAAGTGTGTACCATTAGTCAAAGAAAGGGCACTTCCATCATATATATGGGGTTAATTCCAAAAAAAAGCATCAACTTTAGGTCGAGGGACAATTCTTGCCCGAATTTTTTTTGTTCCATAAAAAAGCACCAATTTTAAGTCGAGGGACAATTCTGGCCCGAACTTTTTTTGTTCCATAAAAAAACACCAACTTTAGGTCGAGAGACAATTCTGGCATGAACTTTTTTTTGTCTCGTAAAAAAGTATCAACTTTCATTTAAATCCCAAATTTTGCCCCCCATTAACTTTCTGTATGAAGTTACCCATGTTTGAGAAAAAAAGTTATGGTAGTGAGCCTGGCGAATCTCTTCCATGGCATCTGTCGACGGACGGTGGTCTACAGTTTCAGATTACGACAAAACGACGAAGTTTGGCCAGAAAGATTCAATCTAGAGATATTTTTGATTTGCCGGTGAAGTGAAGGAGACGAACAGTTTCACCGTTATTTTTCAAGCTGTGGTTCAGAGAATAAGACAATGAATAATGCTTTAAATCCAGTCAGCAAGTCACGTGGATTTATTGCCAAGGTGGAATAGTTAAGTTGGAAAATCAATAGTTTTAAGTCAATAAGGGCCAGATTTGGGATTTAAGTGAAAGTTTGTGCTTTTCTACGAGACAAAAAAAAGTTCGGGCCAGAATTGTCCCTCGACCTAAAGTTGGTGCTTTTTTAGAGGACAAAAAAAAGTTCAGGCCATAATTGTCCTTCGACTTAAAGTTGATGCTTTTTTATGGAACAAAAAAAAGTTCGGGCAAAAATTGTCCCTCAACCTAAAGTTGATACTTTTTTTTGGAATTAACCCCATATATATGTGTCTCTTTTCATAAATGCGTTCCGCGGGTCTCCAGGTAGCCAGGATAGCATGCCCATGCCCTTGGATTATTATAAATAAAAGGTTAATATGCTACCCAGAATCTTTATAAATGTAAAACTTAGGTATCCAATTGAGTTATATTTTATGGATGCGGATTTGGGAAAGTTCTATTCGCTGCTGTACTTTTCGTTTTTGGTCGGAACCTAGTTTAAATATGTGATTTTGTTTTTTCGTTTTTCAATTTTAAATAATAAGTTTTTAATTTGTAATATACTTACAATCATTTAACTTATTTTAATTTGTAAGATCGATGATTCTCTTACGTAGAATATCATGAATATGTTCACATTTTGACATTAAAGATTCAAATCTAGGAAATAAATGACGTTAAATATTAAAAAGAATTATTTAACTTTCATCTTATTCGAAATGGCGATTCAACGATATGTAATCGAAATTATAAATAGTTGAATAGCGTAAATGACTAAAATATTTTTATAGGAATAAAAAGCAAAAAAGAAGAAGACAAAACAGAAAATCGAGCCATGAATAAAAAGCAAAAAAAAAAAAGAAAAAGAAGAAGAAACCGAAAACTAATCTGAACCGAACCAAATCGGTTTTTCGGTTCGGTTCGAACGAGTTTCGGTTCGGTTCAGGAGTGCTTCCTTAACGGTTCGGTTCAGGAGTGCTTCCTTAACAGTTCGGTTCGGTTCGGTTCGGTTTTTCAAGAAAATCGAACCGAACCGAACCGTTTACAGTCGTAGGTATAAGCAGTTTAATTTTGTTTATGGGCAAGAACGACCATCGAGACCTCAAGAAATCATGGCTGCAAGCCGAGATATCCTTTTTTGTGTGGAACTCATGGTCAAGCATTTTTAGCTTCTGTTATTTAGCAGAACAGAAGAATAAATCTAGTGCAGTAAGAACGGTAGATTATTTCTTATCACGGTTCCCCTGAACGCATGTTTCTAATATCTCAAACTCGTATCGGTGTGAAAAAAAAATTATCGTGCAGTCGTGCCACGGCACCAAAAATTTTGAGATATTAATGTTACGGCGGGCATAATTTTAGGATTTTTTTTGGTGGCATTAATCATATATATTAAAAAGATGGCCGAGGGTTATCTTTGCAATTTTTCACTTTGGACACTAAAATAAAATTAATTTTCCTCTAAATTAGGATTTTCTCCATTTTTGATATAAATAGAATAAAATAAAATGAAATAAAGCGGAACAACTTGAGAGAGAGAGAGAGAGGAGATCGATTCTCCAGTTCCAGTGCTGCTGCTGCTGTTCCTCCTCCATGGCCGCGACTTCGTCCTCTTCGGAGATGATTTGGCCGCGATTTTGATCATGCATCTGTCGTTTGCTCGTTCAGGTTGCGAAGTTGAGTTCCTGATTCGCAATCACCGTCTTCGGTCTTCGTCGGTACAGAGCATTCCCAGAGGTGTCGATGAGGTGTTCGACGAAATTCCCAAGAGAACGAAATTTGCCCCCTCTCCACCTTCCGGCGGCGGCGGCGGCGGCGGCGACACCCTGAAAAGGCTCCAAATGCCACCCAACCACCCTCCTGCACCGAAGCCCTTCAAGCCATACTTCTTCTACGGACACCGCAAGCCCTCCCAGAACCGCCCCGTCGTCTACGGCGGCCTCTTCTCCTCCCGCAAGACCATCCCCGCTCGGCAGACCCCCGATCCCATAAACCCCCCGGCTCCCTTCCACCTCCACAAATGGGACCCAGACCACCACAGCCCGCTCCAGTCGCCGCCCTTGGCGGCCGAGCCTCCCTCCTCCCTCGCTGCCTCCCGCCGCCTCTCTCCGATCGCCCGGTTCATTGTCGATGCGTTCCGCCGGAACCGCTGTGACTGGGGCCCACCCATCGTTGCAGAGCTCGGCAAGCTCCGCCGCGTGACACCCGGCCTCGTTGCGGAGGTGCTCAAGGCGGAAAATAACCCCACAGTCGCCTCCAAGTTCTTTGCTTGGGCAGGTAGGCAAAAGGGTTATAGGCATAACTATGCTGCCTATAATGCACTTGCTTATTGCTTGAATAGGAACAACAAGTTCCGAGCTGCTGACCAGGTGCCCGAGTTGATGGACTCGCAGGGGAAGCCACCTAGCGAGAAGCAATTCGAGATTTTGATTAGGATGCATGCGGATGCCAACAGGGGATTGAGGCTTTACTATGTGTATGAGAAGATGAAGAAGTTCGGCGTGAAGCCACGTGTGTTCTTGTATAACAAGATTATTGAGGGGTTGGTGAGGACTGATCATTTAGATCTGGCATTGTCAGTTTACGATGATTTTAGGGATGACGGGCTGGTTGAGGATAGTGTCACTTACATGATCCTGATAAAGGGATTGTGTAAGGCGGGGAGGATTAATGAAATGATGGAGATTTTGGCTAAAATGAGAGCAAACTTGTGCAGACCGGATGTTTTTGCATACACGGCTATGGTTAAGATACTGGTTTCGAAAGGGAATTTAGACGGATGTTTAGGGGTGTGGGAGGAAATGAAGAGAGATGGTGTCGAGGCTGATGTTATGGCATATGGAACCTTGGTTACGGGATTGTGTAAAGGAAAGAGAATGGACAAGGCCTTTGAGTTGTTTAAGGAGATGAAAGCAAAAGGAATTTTGATTGATCGGGCGATTTATGGCGTATTAGTCGAGTCATTTGTTGCAGGTGGCAAAGTTGAATCTGCTTGTGGCTTGTTGAAGGATTTAATTGACTCAGGATATCGAGCTGACTTGCGGATCTATAACTCTCTCATTGAAGGCTTGTGTAGTGTCAAGCAGGTTGATAAGGCTCACAAGCTTTTCTTTATGACGTTGCAGGAGGATCTCCAGCCAGATTTTGGGACAGTTAATCCCATTCTGGTTTCTTATGCCAAGATGAGAAGAATGGAGGATTTCAGCAAGTTGCTGATGCAGATGGAGAAGTTTGGATTTTCCGTGATAAACGATCTCTCTAGTTTCTTCTCATCTTTTGTTTGTGAGGAAGAGAGGATACCAATTGCTTTAGATGTTTTCAGGGACTTGAAAGTAAAAGGTTACTGCAGCGTGTCGATCTACAATATCCTGATGGGGGCTTTGCAAAAGTCTGGGGATGTGAAATCAGTAATGTCTCTCTTTGATGAAATGAAGAACACCCAAATCGAGCCTGATTCCTTGACTTACAGTATCGCCATTGAATGTCTTGTTGCGCTCGGGGAAATAAAAGAGGCATGTGCATGTTATAACAGGATAATGGAGATGTCATGTCTCCCCTCTATAGATGCATATTGCTCTCTTGCTAAAGGACTTGGCAAAACCGGGGAGATCGACGCAACTATGATGCTCATCCGTGATTGCCTGGCCAGTGTTACGAGTGGACCCATGGAGTTCAAATACTCTTTGACAATTCTCCATGCAAGTAAGTCGGGGCAAGCTGAGAAAGTGGTTGAAGTCCTGGATGAGATGGTGCAGGAGGGCTTCCCTCCAAGTGATGTTGCGTACCCTGCTGTCATCTCTGGATTTTGTAAGCATGGGACAATAGAAGAAGCTAGAAAAGTCTTTTCATGTATGCAAGAGCGCAAGCTTTTGAAGGAATCAGACGCAATTGTTTACGACGACATGCTGGTTGAACACATGCAGAAGAAGACAGCAGACCTAGTGTTATCAGGATTGAAGTTCTTTGGTCTGGAAAGAAAATTGAAGGCAAAGGGTTGTAACCTGTTGCCTTCGTGATGATACATGTGTTCTACATTCATTCTACCATCACTATATTTATAGGCTTCTTAGCAGCGCAAAATGGGATGGGCTTCCTAGCTTTGTGATCACTAGGATGGCCTCAATGAAATGCCAGGCAGTTTCTGGATCCTTGAGATTGCACATTGATCTACTGCCCTATGCCAGTACCCTTTATTGGGGTTAACTTGATGTTGTTGATCTTTGCTGCAATTGCACCATCACTTCAGGTGAGCCAACATGACTTTGGAATTACCTATATGTTGCCTTAAAAATAATTTGGTTATTCAATTGACATGTATCTTTTACGACCTTCACCTGATTTTATCCAGCTTCTTGGAACTGAAAGGTGTAAAATATATCTTTCTTTTTGGTTTTTCTCATGTCTTGCCCCATGTTAAGCTAACGTCTTGTGCAGGGCCTTGTAGGAAGATTACCCGTATGCATTTGTTGTAATAGTTGGAGGCTATTCCATAGTAAATGAACAAACTATAGTTAAATTAGTCCTACTGGAGATCAATATAGACGAATAGTTTGGTGATCTCCACAAGCACGGGCTGATTCATTAATCTCTACGTCAATGAATGTCTCAACTGTATGAATGTAGGAGGTATCTGCAAACATAGAAGCTAATACCTGCGAAAAAACATTTAGCTGTTATTCGGCTGTAGTTGGATAGAATTTGAAGGCTTGCATTTCCCATTTCCATTGACAGCACCACCAGGAAATGAGGTCAAATCAATTGTGTTGTGTGTCTTGAGATTGAAGATGTGTACGTGTTGCTTTTGGTTAGTTTAAGAAGATTCATAAAGTGCCTGCTTTGAAGAATTATGCTGGATGCCACCCCTTTTTGGCTGCATATATTACCATCAGCTTCAGTTACTGTGTAATATAAAGTTGAGGGAATGATGTCTTCATCTATGTATTGAAGGTGCATTTCTCTTATGGAAAAATTGCGCAGCTAGTTGCAGGGAAGAACAAACAACTTTTTTCTTGATGGTGTTGTGCTTTTGTACTATTAAAAACCGTTAAAGAAATTGAGCTCAAATTTGAAAGTCTCTTTAGTAAGCGCCTTTTTGTTTCTTCTTTTTTGAATGCCTTTTCACCTCAAATTGGTTGAGCTCAGATATTATGCTTGTCATATAGTTGTGTAAAATTACGCCCTATTATGCAGTTAGTAAAGAGAGAAATTGTTCATGTATTAGGTCAAAGACAAAAGAAATAGATAATATCGAAAATGAGAAGTCAGGGCCCGACCTAGAGCCTATAAAAGTTGTTCGATATACCAAAGCATGGAACAAGAGGAGTTCAACCTGTTTGAATTCAAAAGCGGGAACAGTTACTGATGCGAGCGAATTCAAGCACGATGGAGCAGCCATCAAAGATCGTGGAAGTAGAGGAAATCATGGAGTTGTGAGAGCAGTTGAATGATGGAGGTTCACGTGGAGAAATGTAATAACTGTTGAGGGGTATTCAAGGTCAATAAATAGAAGGAATGCAGAAGGCACACGGACGCTCAAGCTATGCAAAAACTCTATGAACTTTTCATCTCAAGTTTTCTTCTTTGTGTTTGTAGAAATATTTATTAAGTTTTACTTTTAGTACTTTTAGTTTTCAAATCAATCTTGTAATCTGTGACGTGCATTGAATATGATTATTGACAGCTATCCAAGGTGCTCTCTAAACTATTCTGCTTAGCTATCATGATCAAAGAGTTGAGTTATGTGTTTTGAACTGGGGTTGTGTTAGTTCATTCAATATTTGTTTTTGTATGAATTTGAAATCAGAGTGGTGGAAAGAATTAAAATGGGTGAAGAGCTGAGGGGGCTGATGGTGTGGTTCTTACTTATTATGCATGTGATCAGCCTGCTAGCCTTGATTGATTGAGTACCTTTTGGCTTCCAGAACATGTTCGATTAGAGGTTAGGTATCGCAATTGGTTGTCCCATTGTTTCTTGATTCCCTGCAATCCATGATAAAGAATTGGAACTTCCTGCTAAAACTATTACTCCTGGTCATTGTACTTTGATAGGCAAAACCTTATGGTGTCTGAATCACTGAGCGGAATTCTTCTAATATCATCTTTAGATAAAGTGCCAGTTATAGTGGTGGGTTGCAAGCTAGATTTAAGAGAGGAGCGTCTGCATATTAGCTTGGATCAAGTGATGACACCAATAATGCAGCAATTTTGGGAGATCAAAACTTGTATTGATTGTTAAGCTTACAAACAAATTCAGGTTCATATAATGCTCAGCTCTCTTGTATTAGTTATAGTGATTTAGTAATGTTCTTTCTTAGTTGAGCATTTTTAGGCCTGCAGATCCCGGAGGTTTTCTATAATGCGCAAAAGGCTGTTCTTCATCCAACCAGCCCACTATTGGATCAGGAGATGCAAACTCTAAAACCTCGTGTCTGAGCCCTGAAGCGGATTTTCATTCTCTGTGATCATGATGGGGATGGTGCCCTCAGTGATGCAGAGCTAAAAGATTTTCGGGTCTCCTCTTCTGCTCCCAGTAGCGTATCAGTTCATCAGAACTTGTTTTACGTCCGCCTGTTTTGTTCCTTTTCAGGAGTTTTTGTACATTGATTGAAACTGTTTTTTAACTTCCAAGCAGTTCTGATAGCTAGCATCAGTAGTTTCCCTGGCTAATATAAGGAAATTCTAATAGATATATCTCCTGTTATGTTGTCTTTGGCATTTATTCATGTTGCCTCAGAACATCTTTGACAGGTCAAATGTTTCAAGACGCCTCTACAACCTTCTGAAATAGTGGGAGTTAGGAGTGAAGAGGGTTATTCTAGATAAGTTGTCTGAAGGAGTGAATGAACATGGGCTGAGATTGACAGGATACCTCTTTCTCCAGGTGCTGTTCATAGTGAAAGGACATCTGGAGACAACTTGGACTGTTCTAAGCAAGTTACTTTATGCCTATGATATCAATCTAGCGGAGAAGCTAATTCCATCTTCATTTAAAATAAGTCCCGATCAGGTACCTGTCTATTGGGGATGAATTGTAAAAAGGCAACTAAGTTTATGTGTTGTTTGCGTGGAGCGATATGTTGATGGCTTCTTGTTTCATGACTGCATCTTAGTGTTGAGTTTCACTTTTATTGCTTTAGCCCAAGTAAAATGCTATTTTCTTATTCGCTTGGAGTTACAACTGTTTTTGCCGTAGTCTCATGATGTGATGTGAGATCTTACTCAAATTTTTTTTTCAAAGACCTTGAATCACAAAACTCGCTTGATGTCTGGAAGGTCTTTTGATCGTAGCTGTTTTATTTCTCTCAGTATACAAAATAACTTATCATTCTGGGGCAATGAGTGCTACGTACTGGTTATGTGAATACACTCATGGGGTCACTGTCAATATATAAAAAGGTATTAGTGAGCTTCTTTTCTACTCAACTCAATCTGTCTTCATCTTTAGTTGTCTAATAATCCCCTCACCTTTCTTCTCTGGAGATTGGAATATTGATCTTCCTTTAAGTTTCTATGGTTGCTGAGGTGCTAGTGGGATGATCTTGGCATGTTTGCACTAGGTTGAGGAAAGTGGCATGTGCATGAGTGGTCAATTTTTCAATGGGTAAACTACCTGGAACTGGTGCCTCTCTGCTGCTGCAGAACGATCTTGTTTGTTGTTAATTGGCATTACATTTAGGTCAACCAGGTATTTGCTATTGAATGCCTATTTGTTTTTACTGACGGTGTTTTAAATAGCACAAAAATTTGTTGCCTATTTTAGTTTTCCTCTGTATAGAGCGAGGCTATCTCAAGAGGATCTTTGATTTACTTGACAGTGATGGAGAATGTACCACTCTCATTTCAGTTCTCATCTACGTTGTTAGTCACAACTAGGCCCAAAGTTTTGACAATCCTGACTTTCAGTATATTGCTTCACAGGATGGGGTCTCTGACATTTTTAATTAGAGGATCTTTCCTCCGCTCTGCCGGAACGGTAATCCTGTTCCTGTTCTGTGTTTTTCTGTTCATAAGCTGCTTGCCGGCTTTCTCTATAAGGAGTGGCTTCAGTATATCGCTTCACACGATGGGGCTCTGCTTTCTCTACTTATGCATCCACATGGCTCCCCCTACATGGGATTTATGGAATCATGTTAGATGACATTAGTACAGATTAGAGCTAGCAATTCAAACAGCTACATATAATGCATTGGCATTGTATATGCAGTATACACTATCCAATAAATCGTCGAAAGATTGTGAGCTTCGTCAATTGCATCGACATTTGCTTTCTAAGCCTTCATTAATTCTCTTAGTATCTCCTCATTGAGCTCCTCCCGAGAATAATCCTTTACTACAAATCTCAATCCGACAATGATATTGGTAAACTGAGAAAACATCGCAACAATGGACTCTCTGTCACTCATGGTGTAAAGGTCATTTGGGTGAGTGAGCATGCTTATCTGAAACTTCTTGACCTCATAAGTTACTTCTAACTTCTCCCAGATTTCCTTAGCACTCCAGCAAGCAGTTGTTTCTGTCTAAATTCATTAGCATCAAAAACCCAATAAAGCAAGTTCATAGCTTTAGCATTGAATTGGAACTTGTTCAGTATCATTTGCATTAGTGGGTCTAAGGATTAGTTGCCTTGCGCCTAAGGCGGTACCAGCGAAATGAGAAGCCATGATCTTTTAGCCAAAAAATTTCAATCAATCACAAGCAGAACATACACAGTTTTCAAGCACATGTTCTGATACCAATTGTAATATTCGACAATTAAGCACCAATAACATATAAGTAATTTATCGAACACGTGATACACATACAGTCAAAGAGTTTAACAGATTATCGACCGAATTATAGACTCTCCAAAATACAATCTCGATCCCGAGCCTCAAAGGCTTTTCACTTCACTTTCAAGAGTCTTCGCTTGTGATTTGCAATAGGAGGTTTCTCACGGTTGGATATGTAAATACAATACGAAATTTATAACCATGTAAGACTAGTCGTTGGACATTGGAATCTCCGTACAATAGGTTTCTCACGATTGGATATGTAAATACAATACGAAATTTATAACCAAGTAAGACTAGTCGTTGGACATTGGAATCTCCGTACAATAGGTTTCTCACGGTTGGATATGTAATACAATATGTAATTCATACTAATTTTTCAACCATTGGAACTTCCGCGTGTCCGATATCCGAATTCTGATCACTTGCTTCCTCCTTAGAAAAATTGGTCAAAACATAGGCCAAGCCGAGAGCATTCAAACATAAAGTTTCACTTATCAACAAAAATCATTACTAAACGATGGTTTTGCAAACATCAAAATGGGTCATCAATTCAAAATGACGTGAGAATCAAATGTGATGCACGAATGACGTAAAACGACCGGCATCCATGTCATCTTATTGAAAAGAGAGTGCTCTATAAATTAATGCTCGTTTTCCAAAAAAGCACAAATGGGGGCCTACATATAGGCATTCGTGGGTCTAATCACTTGCGCATTTGAGTCTGAGTCGCGTGATTTTGTGGCGTTGGAAAACTAGTGACAAGAGCACTCCAACGAGCTCGACATTGATGTGTAAAATTGCAAAATCACAAACCCGAGATTTTGGCACATATCGAGGGCCTAAGGCTATGGCGGCCCTCAGCCAGATCTGAAGGAGGGTTGGCGACCCTCGCCGGGTTTGGGGGAGGGCCGCGACCCCTCGCCCCCTCCCCCATATCTAGGCGAGGGCCTGCAGTCTCTCACCTGTCGTCGATAAGGGTCGTAAGGCCCTTGGCCAAGGCCAAGCGACCCTCGCCTGTCGTCCCCCACTCTCACTGGCTCCTCTTGGCGATGGCGGGGCGACAACCCTCCCTGCCTGTCCTCCTTCTCCTCCTTTATTTTTTTTAAAGCTTATTTTTAAATTTAATTTAAGTAAAATTAGTATTAAAAATCAAATTTAGCCAAGACGATGTTGTTTTAATCTTATATTTCGTATTTTAGCCACGTCATTGCCTCATAGGAGAGAGAAAATATCAAAATAAACCACGTCAACGCCACATTAGCATTTTTCATTAATTAGTTTGATGGTATTAATTTTAGGACTCGATTGAATCAATTTGATAAATTTTATGATTTAATTATACTTTTTACAAGTTTTTTTTTACTCAATTACATTTTTGTCATAAATTTTAAGACTTTCAGTCAACATAACCCAAAAAATTTAGGAAAGAAGAGAAAAGACGAAGACGGCGCGACGCCGAGGAGTAAGAGCGGCGACACGAGCGACCTTCTCGACACTCCTTGTTGGAGCTTCGCTGAAACTAGCAAGAAATGGAAGATTGCAAAGTGACCATCTATTTTTCTCAGTTTCTTTGTACTTATTTGCTTCTCATTTTCGTGCTTTTCTCGATATTACTTCTCGTTGTGTACAGTCTCGACCCAGTTTTCTGGTCCTAGTATGCTATGTTTTTTTTTAATTTGGGTCGAATAGTATGCTCTGTTTGGTCGCTTGGGATTCTGTGACTGAGGAAACTAGAACGAGAACGTTTTTTCACGGAGTGAATGGTCAAGGGAACCGGGTTTTCTGCAAGGGCTTCTGAAGGGTCCCATCTTTGGGTTTATGGCCATTAGGAATCTGCAATGACTAAGTATTATGGGATCTGATTTTTTCTTTTTTTTTGGGTTGGGGGGTGGGGGGGGGGGTGTGGTGTGGTGTAATGTGTGGTATATGAAGTTGTGGTTCTTATGGTGCCAAGGAAGTGTAGTGGCTTAGTTTGAGTTGATGTAACATGTGATAATGCTGTACTTCTCTCTGATTTTGTGTTGATTCTGTGTTGCATTTCGTGTTCTAGTATGAGTTCCTTGTTCATCTTATGATATGCTTGGACTGAATATTCTCATTCGCTCTTCATATTTTTCATGGGCACTGCGGGTTTTTATTGGGATTTTGCTGTGTATCGGAGTCAATCTTGCATCGCTAATCTCGTATCTAATTGTGCGTTCTTTTTACATTCTTGATGGTGGAACCTCTGCATTAACGAAATGCTTATCCTTCGGTTTCAGAAAAGCCTTTCGGACAGTTTATCGTGCACGGATGAGAACCATACGATAGTTCTTAAGCTCCCTGAAAGCGACACTCTATTTGACAAAAAGAAGGTCACAGGTTTATTTATTTATTTATGTGCTCTAGATGAATATCCACGTGTGTTCAGTAGTACATTTGTCTGTTAAAAGAGAACATGTTGGGGGAGTAATGAATACAGGCGAATGAAGGACAATGAGAGCACTAGAGAACAATGTAATTTGCATTGCTAACAAGTAGATGATGAACTGGTGTTCTACACCTGTATATCTGTTGCAGTTGCTTTCGACGCAAGAAAATGGAAATTACATCAATATCTTTAGATTTATGTTCCAAAATGTCGTCAAAAGTCTTTTCTTGGTTTTGCACCTTCTATTCAGTTTGCCATCTATGTCACCTGAGCATCTATTTTCCATTACTTTTCTGATAGAAATTACTGCAAAGCAAGGGATACGATGTGGAAGTGCATATACAGCTCAAGAATGCTTCGCATCCCAATTGGGCGTGCATTACTGCTGAATCAATTCTGCCAATATCAAGAATTATACACCTGGATGAGGTAAAGTGCTATTATGCATGTCCCCTTCTATGTGGCCCTTTGGCTAAATATCACCTTTAGTAAGGGGGATTAAAGCAGATATATAAGGGGTGACAAATATGTCTGTTACTACTGTGAGTGAGTGTTACTAATTTGATTTGACGGACTCTCTAACATGCAGGCTGAACTCTATTTTCGTGAGGATGATAGCTGTTCACCCATGGGATACTACACCCAGAAAAATGAACTGGAAGCTCTAAATTCGATGCTTTGTAATGTCAATAGCTCATTTCTGGATGATACTTCCTCTCACGAGGACGTCCTGCAAGATTTGCGGGAAGCAATTATTCAGCTGATGTTTGACTTTGGGCATAAGAACATTACAGAAACCTCGGTCATCAACTCCCAGAATTGTGATAGGGAAAACTTTCTATTACAGTGGGGTGAAAAAAGCGGTGTAAAAAACAGGTTGCAGATAGCTTGTAAGTTTTAACTGAAAATACCAAATCGGTGCTTCCCTTTATATATCAAGGAATCATAGTTTCTGAAGGCTGCTTTAATTTGTTTTTCTATCAAGAGAAGATAATTTGTTAAGAGGGAATTGCAGTTGAGATACCCCCAATTAAGTACAATATTATATCTAGAGAAAAGATGTAGTAGCAGTACTACTACTGATGTAGCCAGATAAATAGTCCACACCAAACAAATCAATTGCTTTTATGGAGTTTATGAAAAAATGATGGGTATAGGTAGACATATTTATGTTCTATAGCTATAGCACCTTCTTATTGTATCACATCGCTTTATTTTAGCTTTGTCTAGAATTGGTCAATAGTGAGAGACACAAGGTTCTATACTCATTCCTCCATGCTAATCCATTCAATAGATATTGAGGGGTTTGGAAGGGGGGCCGTTGCTGTCACAGATCTAAAAGTCGGAGATATTGCTTTAGAGATTCCCGTCTCTGCTGTTATTAGTGAGGATGCTATGAAGAAGTCAGACATGGTATATTTCTGCATCTCAAGACATTTCTTTTCTTTATAGCATTATTAGGTTTCGCTTGTGTGGGTTCAGATGAACTTGCTTGAGAAGGATCAGATATGCGTTGAGAATCTTCATTAACGGAGATTATAACCAGTGACATACATTTATGAGATATTATTAGTTTTTGTGATATGGTTGCTCTTACTTGTGCAAATAGTATTTTAACCTGAGCCCAGCTGTAAAAGCTTGGAGACTTTAGAAGTGTCCGTACTTTTGGTGTTGAATGGTTGATTCCTGTGGCTTTTGCTATACTGTAACATTTCACTTCTTTCTTAAAGAGTTATTTCGACATTAAAACACATTGTGTAAACCGGAAGTGTGGACCAAACGAAAGAGAGGGGTGGATGATGCTTAGGCCCTTAAACAAGTCCAATTTAGATACAGGCTAAACTCAAGACTTCTGCCGAAACCATTCTTCCGCACATCACCTCAGGTGGTGTTTACTGTTTACCTGAACTTGGGACTTAGAGCCTTTTATTTTTTTAGCTTTATCAGCACGTAGCTCTTTCTTTCTGGATATCATATTTTCTTCAGTTTAATAAAGTACTCCTCTTTCATATCTTGTTCCATTATATTTTTGTCTTGGTTATAGCTCCTGTGCTTGGCCTGGGCAAACCATGAATCCTTGGCAAAGAAAAAAAAACATGTGCTAATAATCGAGCTGTAAATCCTCATCAGGCTGCAAGGAAGCTGAACAATTATAATTGATGCATCACTGAAACTTGTTTATCTGAGTTTTAGGGCGCTAGTCTGATTTGGAGTGTAAAGTTCTTGGTGTTGATGACCAATCAAGTTTTGAAATATGTAGATAATGATAACCGCAAAAATCAAGGCTTTTGATCTTTTCCCAGTTTATAAGTTTGGCTACACAGCAGGCACTATCCAATTCTAGCAATTGAAATTGCAGAGTCCTGAGTTCTTATGCATGCCTTTACGCTCAAGCATCATGACAGAGATCCAGAGGATGCCTCTTAGTTTTATCCTAATCTGCGAAATGATGGGTCTAATCTGTAATATACCCTCTGATGCAGTTTCCTGTGTTGGAAAAAGTTGATGGCATTTCAACAGACACAATGCTGTTACTGTGGAGTATGAAGGAGAGATACAATTCTTCTTCAACATTCAAGAATTACTTTGACACATTGCCGGAAGAATTTAATACAGGTATTTTTGGTTTCATACACTTTTAAGAATGACTCGGTACATTATATTAAGGCTTAGCTTGAATGAGAATTCTCATGGAGTCTTTCTTCGTCAGAATTATAATGGTTTTAATAAATTTCCTTTATAGGGAGTCACTGTGGGTTGAATTATCTATATTGAGATCAATCACGGTAAGGGTTTGAATTGTTTTTTGAATCATAGGATATCAAGTATGGGATGTACACTGAGTTATACACTGAATTTCTGGTTGATTAGTGCATAGAAAGTAGGCAGCACCTCAGTGAACTTGCCTAGAGCAAATGGTCAAAAAGCAAGTGTGAACTTTGCTTTGGCTACATGTCTCAGAAAATTCTGCCATCCCAAAATGCAGTAGCAAGAGATACCCTCTCGTTTAATGACATTCCGTATTCTATGTCAGCTACAGGCCGTGTTGTTAGATTGAGATTCGAATCGTGAATCGTAAACCTTAATTTCCGAATGGTGAACCGAATCAAACTGTGAAATGAAAAATTCGGTAAAGTTCTAAAAAATTCTGAGGATAAGCATTTCTACTAAAATAAGTTACTAGTTGCAGTAAACAGATAAAGAAGCATGCTACGGCTGAGAAAATTATACCCAAAACTGACACTGCTCTATTCTTAATATCCGATCTAACTTCTAACTTCTGAATATTATAGAAGAGCAAAATCAGAATGGCCCAAAACACTTAAAAAGATAAAAAAAAACCTGTCAACAACACTTAAAAACCTCAACATACACAAAAAATCAAAACTTAAATATAATCTATTGAAGCTAGCTAAAGAGATGAGACTGATCTTAATATCAAGCTGTAACTGTCGTCCATGCTTGCGATTTAAACAAGCTAAGTAGGAGGGTCAGAGGCATGAGTCTATCAAAGGAGACGCCATGGCTGGCGCCGGAGGTGGCGACAGCTGGCATCATTGCTAGAGGTGACAGTGGTTGGTGTTGGAGCCAGCGATGGCTGGTCAAGATTTGGTGAGAAGCCATCTGGCAGCTTTTTGAGTTCCTTAGTTAGGTTGGCCTGAGAGAACCAAGGTCTTCTGGTGTGCTTGTACATTTTCTTTTATTTTTTCTTCCGCTAGTTCAATGCTTTTTCTTCTAGTTGCTTTTTTCAATTTTTGGCCCTTTTTTCTCTCTAGAACCCAATACTTTTGAGCCCAACCTCTATCATAAAGACCAACAGTGCAACTTGTGGTTGTCCTCCTGAACACTAGAGAATCGTAAATTCTTACGCTCGTATCGAATCGTATGTTTCACCAACCATTCATGCAATCTTACATTTATGATGCAAGACTCCTTTATAGCTGGATGATATCTTCTAGTTTTCTTGAATGGGTGAGCTTAATCCACCCAAGAGGATTTGAATGCTGCGGTTGCATGATACTAGTTAATGGAATAGGCAAATTAGCTTCTGCGACATTATGAGCATTACACTAAGATTTCCTGTGCCCGTGTATGTCGTTTTCACTTAAAGTAGTTACATGTTATTTGAATATATGGATTACATGTCATGCACTGTTGCATCCATAGGGCTGCACTTGGACTTTTTTTGTCGTTTCTTTGTTTTATTTTTTATTTTCACCATGAACTTCAATTGGATGGATAAGTCCATTTGGGCAAAAGTTATTCTTGAGAGGTTGTTTTTTCTTTTCCAGCTTTAAAGTCCGGAAGACCATGGATTTAGGTTCTGTAGGGGTTCTGTTGCTCTTATTTTTCTTCTGACTATTTGAATTTTCTCTTGGAAATCAGTTTAGGTTATAAATTTCTTTCCTACGTTGCATCATCAACTCTGCAATCTGACAAGTGATTTTCACTGCAGTCTGACAAATTCCTTTTCCTTGAAGTGTGCTTGATATATTTTGATTGGAAAGGGACCAGCTAAATTGGCATTTCACAACTGCAACCTTGAATTTCCCATGCCCGCCCCTAACAAATAAATGTTATACTCAGGAAATAGTTCAGTTAATGACATTACTTTATCTAGACATGTGTATATAGAGACTCACATAATTACTGAACATATACTAGGATTTACTGGCCCAAAGCTGTTCTTATGGTGCATTCACATGGCAGAGCTGTTAGAGCAACATGTTTAAGAGGCATCATGATGCTGAAAGGATGGATGATATGACACATTTTTCCTTGAAAGGAGAATCTGTCAGCTCCAATCACCATTATTTCGTTGGCAAAACTAACTGGACCTTGGAATTGTCGTAATACTTTTAATTCATAGTGTGGTTGTCCTCCTGAACTGTAGAGAATCGTAAATTCATACATTCGTATCAAATCGTATGGTTCACCAACCATTCATGCAATCTTACATTTATCATGCAAGACTCCTTTATAGCTGGATGGTATCTTCTAGTTTTCTTGAATGAGCGAGCTTAATCCACCCAAGAGGATTTGAATGCTGCGGTTGCATAATATGAGTCAATGGAAAAGGCAAATTAGCTTCTGCGACATCATGAGCATTACACTAAGATTTCCTGTGCCCGTGTATGTCATTTTCACTTGAAGTAGTTACATGTTATTTGAAAATATAGATTACATGTCATGCACTGTTGCAGCCATAGGGCTGCACTTGGACTTTTTTTGTCGTTTCTCTGTTTTTATTTTTTTCACCATGAACTTCAATTGGATGATAAGTCCATATGGGCAAAAGTTATTCTTGAGAGGTTGTTTTTTCTTTTCCAGCTTTGAAGTCCAGAAGACCATGGATTTTGGTTATGTAGGGGTTCTGTTGCTCTTATTTTGCATCTGGCTATTTGAATTTTCTCTTGGAAATCAGTTTATGTTATAAATTTCTTTCTTACGTTGCATCATTAACCCTGCAATCTGACAAGTGATTTTCACTGCAGTCTGACAAATTCCTTTTTCTTAAAGCCTGCTTGATATATTTTGATTGGAAAGGGACCAGCTAAATTGGCATTTCACAGCTGCACCTTGAATTTCCCATGCCCTCCCAGAACAAATAAAAGAGAAACTCAGGAAATAGTTCACTTAGAGACATTACTTTACCTAGACAAGTGTATATGGAGACTTTCACATAATTACTGAACATATACTAGGATTTACTTGCCCAAAGCTGTTCTTATGGTGCATTCATGTGGCAGAGCTGTTAGAGCAACATGTTTAAGAGGCATCACGATGCTGAAAGGATGGATGATATAACACGTTTTGCCTTGAAAACGAGAACCTGTCAGCTCCAATCAATCATTATTTCGGTGGCAAAACTAACCGGTGACCTCGGAATTGTCGTAGAACTTTTAATTCATAGTGGAACTCTGTTACAATTTTCTTTAAGAAGTGAAAAAGGCAACTCTTATTGGCAATGAGGAATACGTCGTGAAATTGGAAGTCGCTAGGAATGGGGTATAAGCAGTTTAATTTTGTTTATGGGCAAGAACGACCATCGAGACCCCAAGAAATCATGGCTGCAAGCCGAGATATCCTTTTTTGTGTGGAACTCATGGTCAAGCATTTTAGCTTCTGATATTTAGCAGAACAGAAGAATAAATCTAGTGCAGTAGGAACGGTAGACTATTTCTTAGTGCGGTTCCCCTGAACGCATGTTTCTTGGAAAATGATTTCAATTGGTATGGTTATCAATTAGGTACTGTCAAATTAGTGGAGGAGTTGGAGGCTTGGGCAGGAATGGGATTGTGCAAAGACAAAACAGGAGCTCTTATAAAAGATTTCTCTTGGAACATTAGGATGGTATAGAGGGAGAGCAATGGAAGAATGTGTCAAGGTGCAGAGAGTGATTTTTTGGATAAGCTAAGAAGTGAGACTATGATTGATATAGTAGACGGTCTGACATGCAATTAGTCTTGGATAAGGGTAACATGCTCCGTGATGCCACTTCAATGGTAGCTCATTTACACTGACAGAAAGAAGATCCCCTTTTCTCCTTTTTTGTGCCATGAAGGTTCCCTTTTCTTTATTGCTGCAATATGTCTATTTAATTGTGATGTCTCTTTTAATGACATAAACAGATCATCTTTTGGGCCTGTCTGCTTATTGTTATATTGTCTAGTCTTGTCATGCTTTTCTGCGCTGCAGGATTGAGCTTCGGCGTCGATGCAATTGTAGCTTTGGATGGGACGCTGTTGTTAGAAGAACTGATCCAAGCAAAAGAGGTTATAAGATTTCTGGATCATGTTCTCTGTATTGAAGGGCAATAGGACTCTCAATCTCTGCTTTAACTTCCTTATTTTTTCCTTTTGATAGGGATTGTGTTGATTCCTTAACAACTTTGCATTCTGCTGCTTTAAACTGTTGATGGTTTGATGCTCGGCAATTTTTAGTTTCCTAAAGAGGAAAAAAAATTCTTTCCAACAATTTGATGCTGAAGGAACTCTCACATGGCAGGAAAAAATAATATATCCTTGGGCTGGAAAAAGGTCTAGATAGAGCATCTATTGAAGAGTCAACCTCTTCTTGCTTAACATAGCCCAAGAAAGCAAACACCTCTAATCACTTAAAAAAAATTGCTTATATATTTCTTTTTTCTTCCACTTCAAATATTAAATTGAGTTCATAGAAGATAAAATTTAAGGCTTTCTATTTAAAATTTGCAGCATTTGAGGAATCAATATGACGAACTTTTTCCTGCATTATGCGAAGAACACCCTGACATATTTCCCCCAGAGCTTTATACGTGGGAACAATTTTTATGGGCTTGCGAACTTTGGTATTCTAACAGCATGAAGATTCAGTTTGCTGATGGAGCACTCAGGACTTGCCTAATCCCCATTGCTGGATTTCTTAACCATTCGGTATGTTGTTTGACTTTTCTCATTTTAACAGCATGATTTCACAGGTCTCTTGAGCATTTCTGCACATGTTTGTTTACCCTTTTGATGTGGCGATCTTCCAATTGGCATCAGTTTATTCTGACTGAGACTCTTTTTCCTCGGATCTGACCTCATCGCAGCAGCAGAATTACCATTGGGTAAACAGAACCACACAAAAAAGTTTTCATTACGCCTAACTGCATAAAGAATGCAAGAATACAAGTTCAACTGGATTTCTTTTTGAAATGTGTTTATCTCCTCCTTGTCTTTGATTTTGCATTTATCGATGATTTGTATGTGCTTCTGCATCTCTGGATGGGTTGCCTATGGGGGGTCATGGATCTTTGGCATGTATTTGTTAATATAATTTCACCTCGTGTTACCTTTCCCACTTTTCCACTTCACTGAGCATGAGTGTGGGAACCAGTCATATGTTGTTCATATTTGCTGATTCGGTTTAATGGACTTCTGTTTCACTCTGTTTGGGTTCCTCCTCGTCACTTGTTCTCTCCATTTTGACAGCTGTATCCACATATCACACAGTATGGCAAAGTTGATTCTGCAGCAAACACATTGAAGTTTCGCATGTCTAGACCATGTCATGCAGGAGAACAGTGCTACCTTAGTTATGGGAACTTCTCCAGTTCGCATCTAATTACCTTTTATGGATTCATGCCTAAAATGGAAAACCCGTATGACGTCATCCAACTGGGTACTTCAATTTCATCATATTCATTTGGGATGAAATGTTGTATTTCTTGGACAATATGCAGAATAGAAGTTCTATTCCAAAAGAAACAGATGTTCACATTTGCTCCTATCTATGGCTTATATGCATTGGTAGAATGTGATTTCAATCCTCTTTGTGCAGATATAGACAGTTCTCAGGATGTTTGTTCTGATGAATTTGATGTGTCCAGTGGGACAACTCATATGGTGAGGGGTACTTGGTTTTCAGACGACCATAGCATCTTCCATTATGGCTTGCCAGCTCCATTGCTGAACCATCTTAGAAGAGCTCGGAAACATTTCCTGGATGCTGTTTCTCCTGTATGATTGCTTCTCTTCTTGTGATTTTAATTTAATAAGATTTAGCGCCTGGCCTTTTGTGATCCGTTGAACTTTTTACCTGAAATGACCGTGAGAATTTGTGTTCGGTCCTCAACAAGACGATCATACAAAAATCATTGCTTAACCATTAACTCAATCCAAATGGAAAATAGAGAGTACTCACTGCACCTTATCCGTGTAAGCATAGGATAAATGCATCTTATGATTGTTGGAATGTATTAACTACATGTAGGCTTGAGTCTTGAGATATCTCTCCGGTGAGTACCTTTCAGTTTCTGATTGCTTCCTGCCGATACACATTTTTTGAGGTTGTCTGAAAATCAATATCATTTGTAATATCATATGTGGGTAAGACCACAAGAGAAAGATGACAATTGGAAAGAGAAAACAAATAGTTTCTCGCCCATTTGAGTTGGCTATTGATTTGCTGGTTAATTTTCTACTGTGACTTGGGTCTGTCATGTAATTGCAATGTGCATTTGTTTCTCTTTATGTAAAAGCAGCTGCAGGAGAAGCTAAAGATAGAAATTGAGATTCTTGAGGACCTCTGCTCGACTTTCAGTGGGATGATGGAAAACCTCGGTGAAATGGATAGCGAGTCCAGGTAAATTGCCTTCTCTGGTAACTCTTCAGGAAACTATTGCCTACTTTTCACAGAAAAATGTGCGAAATTTCTGGCTTTTCTTAGTGCGTGCATACACACGCATGTACCTATATTCTATTAATGGCCCTTGTAAAATTTTGAAGAAAATCTAGACAAAGTTAAATTTTTCTCGAAATCCTTTTCAGGTCATCCTTGCTGATAGGAAAAGTTAATTGGCATATGATAATCTACAATTAGTCTGTAAACTGATTGAGTATTTAGTTAGAATGATTTGACATCCAAGCATCTTTAATAAATGACCACTGTCTATACTACATCACGAATAGATTTGATTTTGTGCATAATTGATGATTTGACTTTGCAGGGAGAACATGGAGTGGGACGTGAAGCTTGCAGCGGAGTACAAAAATCTTCAAAGGAGGATAATTTCCTCGATTTTGAGCTCATGTTATGCTGGTCGCAAGTTGGTCGAGGACGAACTTTGTAAGTCGATGGCCAAGGACGACGGCAGCCCTAGTTAATGGAAAGAGGTCGCTTGAAAGTGTCGCTACAAATCAAACCTCGTCTTCTTACCTAGGAAGATCAGAGGCTGGAACCTAAGAGGCTGACCTTGAGAGGAAGTGGCAATGATCATCTCATGTCTCATGCCTCGTACATTCATTGTTTGGCAAACCTTGAGAGCTACCCAGTATCAAGTGTCTTGAGCAGTAAAATCTTGCATTCGGAACTCGTAGTCAGCACGAAGTGCCAAAGTTTGGCAATGTTCTCGAGTCGTCTGGTAAATGAAGATATGCTGCTTGTGAGGTTTTCATCTGTAAAAGTCCATAGTTTTCGGTGACTGTAAAATGAGCAGCATATGCAATCAGCGAATCCGAAAGGAACTCGCGTTCGCCAGTTTCGTCCCTCCTCTCCAAGTGCTCGAGTTTAAAAATTGTAACCCCAGACCCATGTGAAGATCTCTCTCTCGACTCTTGAGCGAAGCGTTCCTCGATTATCATCACCATGGATGTTCTCTTTCCCGACCGAAGAATATTGCCTCGAATCATTTCTTGAATGGTCGACGACAAAACTAAGGCAGTGCTCTTGACACGGGAAGTCTGAAGATTGTGCAGGTTAGGACAAAGAAATGCAGGGGAGACATTGCCGAAAAGATGGACCGGGAAGAGTCTCCGGAAGATGGGAAGAAGTACAATAATAGATACGGCGTAGAAAAACACAATTAGGGAACTTTCTGCTCTATAGATGGCAGCCATGACTTATTAAACGAGACTGTAATGTTTCGGCTGACTCTTGAGGGTCAGTTCAGTGATATAAAAAAAAAAGCCGAGAATTCATGCGTTAAGTAGCACAGAGTGTTTGGATTCGGTTTCTACTCGATCCAACCTCTTTGAGTCGCGAGTGTTTGGATTCGGTTTCTACTCGATCCAACCTCTTTGAGTCGCGCCGGGTCACACAAAAGTAACTCTCTTTGAATTCTGCGATCCCGATTGAATAGGGTGGTGCATTTCACCCGGTACGGTGAAAACTGCCTCGAGATATCACTTTGGCTGCAATACCGTAGCCGAAACAAAAGTAATAAATAATTAACAAATTTGAGGGATAATTGTTCAAGAAGTCCTAAACTTGTTGTACAGCAGTCAATTTAGTCATAAATCTTTTTAATTATACTAATTATTCCTAAACCTTTTGATGACTTGCTAATTTAGTCATAAACCTTTCGATTGTGCCAATTTAGTTCTAAACCTATTATTTGGATAATTGGTTGAAAGGACCACATTGAGAAATTGTCAAAAGATTTATGGCCAAATTGGCAAAACATTAAATTTGCACAATTAAAAGATTCAGGATTAAATTGGCAAATTTAAAAAATTTAAGACTAAATTGGTACAATTGAAAGGTTCAAGACTGAATTGGTTACCATACAATATGTTTAAGACTTTTTCGATAATTTTTCCCAAATTCGGAGAGGGGACCTACCCTTTCTTGTGGAAAACATTCCCAGCATGCTTTTGGAATTTTTTGTCCCACTTTTTTCTCAGCATGTTAGGAGCCAAGCCATGTTGTTCTCTCTCTCTGTTCTATGGGCAATTGCTAAGACATTTTGCAGGAAGTCTTGCTGTTCCAGGGAGGAATATCTCATTCAAAAATGCTCATTCCAATGCCTTGTTTGTCATCAAAGATGCAATATGGGCCACAATTCTAATTCAGCATCCGTACATGGAAAAAGTGGCTCAATAGTGCAAGCAACGCTAAGCAGACAGATGTGTGGCTTTGAATTTCACAAAAAGTGGGGGAATCTTCTTTAATCTACTAAGAATAATGAATATTGTCAATGGACATCATGCCACAGCCTTTACACGTTTGGTTCATGGTTGGTGTTTTTCTTGTATATGTATATATATTTTTTAGTTTTGGTGGGATATAGTTAATGTTTAGGTCGGGCACTTTCTGTGGTCTAGAGAGGAGTGATGCACAATGTCAGTATTTTATTTAATTTATCTTGCTTCTGTTGGGAATTTGAAATTATCTTATGGTCGGAGGGGACCATTATATATTGGACAACATGATTTTGGAAATATAATTACGTGACAAACTCCATTTTGTAGGTGCTGTGATTGATTGACATATATATCTTTTGGTGCTGCGGATTAGACTAAGGATAATTAATCGGTCTAGCTTTCGATGTGTTCGGTACATCACTAATTTATATCATATATTCATAGCACCCATTGAACTTTGGACATCAATCGTTTCAATGTTATCTACCTTTGTTCCATTAGTGACGGGAATGGAAACCTGACTCAGACACTATTCGTGGAATGGTTGCCACGAATTGATCACTTACCAAATTTTCCATATTATTTTTTCTTCATGGTATTGACTGACTTGATAGCTTTAATTTGTCAAAATCGGAAATGAAGGGGTTTTAATGGGAAAATTATGCGAATACAACAATCTGATCGTACAAAAATATAAGTTCGAGGACCACATTCGAGAAAGAGTGCAAAGTTAAAGGACTAAATGTGTTATATTGTTTTTTCTTTAGCTTATTCATTACCAATGTGAATACATATGATCTGGGTAACTTGATTTGACCACAATTATTTTGTCATTTTTCGAAAGAATCTCTAGATGTTGATTAGTTGATGATGGCCATTAAGAAGAAACCACTAAAATTATTCTTATCAGAACCACCAAACCAAAACCACGTGGATGATGGAGGAATGCTAAACTATTTGATTTCCTCTGAGGAGTGATCATGCATGAATGGACGAAATTATTTAAAATATTAAATAAACATACTAATTTATCAACCAAGATTGATTAGAACCCATAACTTCCCAAAATTTCTCTCCCTTTATGATAATTTTATACACATAATTTCAGGGGAATTTGTCCAATCAATCATAAACCTATCATACGAGATGCTAATTCATTGCTAAACTTTTCAATTTTGTCAATTTTAATCTACTTCCAGCCAATTTTCATCGGAAATCACCCGCATGGCGGTATATCACATAAGATTGCCGACGATGACCGGACCATCACGTCGGCAATTTCCGATGGAAATTGACTAGAAAGATTACATTGATATTAAATCGGCAAAATTGAAAAGTTCAGAACGGAATTAATATTCATGCAATAATTTATAACCCACCGAATAATCTTACTTATAATAATAAAATAGAAAGTTTGGTGGCTTATAGTCTTTTTGTCCTGTATGTAGCCGTTGTGTAACATCATGGAATACCTAGGTTTTCCAAAGAACCATGCAGCCAGCCTTTTACAGCAGGTCAACTTTTGTAGGTGCGTGAATGTTGTCCCGTTGAAGAAGGACATGTGTCAATTTTCAGTTGATGAGTCAATAATGGTGGGATGTTCATGTTATTCAATTCTTCTTGGAACAGGACAAGAGATCCTGTTGAGTCACAGCTCAAACATTGGAACTTACCAACACAATAACTCCAAAATATGTCATGCCTCTCGTTACAAATAGAACAAAAAAAAAACTGCAAAATATGCTATAGTGATCGGTTTTACTCGGCAAGTGATCAACTTATTTGTGGATTAAACACACGACACAGATTCGATATCTCGCTCAGTAATATCGTATGTTTGTTCTTTGCCTGAATTTATGGTAGCGCCTTACATGCTCCGTAATTATAGCGGACCATTGTTCGAGGGATTGGAGGATTTTTTATTCACCTAAAGTGAGTTTCGTGTTATTAAAAAAATCAAAATATATACCTTTTTGGGACTGACTCATTAATAAGGGTGTTCTTATACCTTTTTTGTCTTTGTTTCCTGCATTGGGAACTTAGATATAAGTATGACCTATTATGGCAGTAGGTTGCTATGCTAATTTCTCTTCAATTAGCTGACTAATCAAGATCGTGCCTCTAAATAACAACGAGAACATACATTCCGTGATTTTTCCTCCATTTTTCGGTTTATTTATTCAACAAGGGACAGTTTTATTTCGCCGAAAGCTTGGATTCCCGTATTAGCGCTTGGAAGTATCGGGAGACCCACTGTTTTTAATGTTTCGTTCTAGGTTACCACTTGACCAATTGTCGTGGGGGTAGCCCAATAATTAAAATGGTCACGCGTCTATTAAGAGGGCACATATTGAAAAATGTGAGTAAATCTCAGACTACCTTGCACATTAGGCATTGGTCTTCCTATAAGACACGACCATTAGGCTATAGTGATAGGCTTATCAACCTCGGACCCTTGAGTTACGATCGGTCTTGTAAGTTACCGCTCAAATTCGAGATATCTTAACACTTGTGAAAACGTTATAGTATTGCTTGGAGGGGGATAGTGGTACCACTTACTTGTCCTCATCGTTCTTCCCCTGCAAAAGGGGGGGGGGGGGGGGGGGGGAAAAAACTTCATATCATGCAAACCCTCTATTTTAAAAAAGAAAGGAAATACCCTTTCCGTGTACAATCGAATTTCCTTTAATCGAAACGAAATACTCCCTCTACGAAGTCAATTCAAGTACAACCATATATCAACGCGCGAACATATAGCGCGAGAAAGGTAGTGCCCAAATGACCCCAAATTTTCTCCCACAAAGAACAAGTTTGGCCCTCTTAATCTCATCTACATGACGAAAATCACCTTGGAAGGAAACGGATTTAAGGCAAAAGGGTGTTATAGTCAGAAGCGTTGGTTGCACGAGGTTGGGGTTTAGAGGATGGCGATGTTACGTGTCTCCTTCCACATCAATTTCTCCACACAAGTCTCTCTCACCACACATCATAGGAGCATGACTCATCTAATCTTTCTTGGAGTCTAACGCGAATTCCAATTTGATACGTCGTGCCTAAAAATGGCCTTTCCTTCCCCTATCCACCACCACTCGTATGGGGGGCGCCATAAAGGAAGCAAGAATTCACCTCTTTTTCATTTCATGCCATTTTAATGGAGAGCTCGTCAAACGACCGGCTCGGGACTTTGCCTGCAAGCCGAATGCCGCGAGTTCGATTTCTCAATCTATCATAGATCTCAAGAAACCTTAATTAGCCTGCGAAAGATAGTGCTGGGGTTCCGGTGTGTCGTCGGAATTGAATTCTCTCCACTCGCGTCGTGGTGGGACGGAGGCGACGGCTCGCTCGACGGGCAATGGCGCGTAAACATAAACCTGTAGTCTTCGACCGAACATTCTCTTGTGGGTGACCGGTAGTTTTCCGACGCCGGACATCCTTTTGGCTTGCCTCAACAAAAAAGGAAAAAGGCTTCCAATTATATTTCCCCTCGAAAATTATATGGTCTTTTACATCAATATTTAACCATTTTAAAAAAGAATTTATCACGAGCGCCGTCGCAACGCCACCCAATTCCGGCCAAATCACACCCCCACCTCCCTTCCCTTCCTCCTCCCACTTTTCCGGCGAGCACCGTCCGTCTTTACAGTCCATCGAACGGCCGCTAGAGCACGAGCGACACGTGGCGTCGGGGGGGGGGGGACCCACCGATCGTCACTTTCAGAAGGAAATCCAACGAGGAAAAATAAATAAAAATAAAGAAAGAAATTTGGGGGGGGTGGATCGTTGGGATAGGTGGGACCCACCATCCGGAGGAGTGGGGTTACGGTGGTCGTTGGGCTGGCCAATGACAGACGTGCACTTGGCTGGCTGGCGGCGGCGGCTCGAATGTTGTCCTTTCCGCCTCCCGTCCCCTCCCGTCCCTCCTCCCGCCTACGCCGCCGCCATCCTCCGCCCCCACCACCACCACCCTTTAATATTATCCTTCCTACCAATATTCTCCAACCACCACCATTAGCCAAAAAAAAATGACATAAAAAAAAGCCCACTAAATATTCTCCTAACCATCGCCAATGATTAATCGATGAAAAATTCATTGGCGGATTTTTTGATACCTCGTTCTTTTTATTCCATGAAATCCATTTTTCGATTTTATTAATTATCATATTAAAGAGATCCCATAAAAAAAAAATTAAAGCATGCACGCTGCGATGATGTCAATTCCCAAACTTTTTTTGTGTCGTTAAGAATCCCAAACTTATACTAGTTTGACAAATATACCTTTTGCTGCTATCGAAATCCCTAAGTTTTGCTCCACCAGTTGCACCATTACTCCAAGCTTCTTTTTTTTTTGTTGACAATACCTCAAACTCGTATCAGTGTGAAAAAAAAAGGTCGATGCAGCCATGCCTTGGCATCGAAAATTTTGAGATATTAATGTCGTGGTAGGTTTAATTTTAGGAATTTTTGGTGGCATTAACCATATATATTAAAAAGATGGCCGAGGGCTATCTTTGCAATTTTTCACCTTGGACACTAAAATAAAATTAATTTTCCTCTAAATCAGGATTTTTCCATTTTTGATATAAATTGGTAAGGGGAAATAAATAGAATAAAATAAAATAAAATAAAATAAAATAAAGTGGAACAACTTGAGAGAGAGAGAGAGAGATAGAGAGAGAAAGAGAGAGAGAGAGAAGAATCGCTGGTACGTCTCCATCATTTAGGCCTCTCTCTCTCTCTCTCTCTCTCTCTCTCTCCTCGGCCTTTTGCTTTCTCTCTCTTCCTTCTTCGCTTCTCCTCAGCAACGAAGAAGGAAGAGAAGCGGAGGAAGGAGGAGGAAGGAGGGGGAAGAGGAGGGAAGCTTCAGCTCGAGCTCGAAGCATCTCCCCTCCCCGGCAGCAGCGGCCGCCGACGCCGGAGATTCCGCCGGCGGGAAGGAGCGGTCGGGGGATTTCCTCGCGCTCGGACGGATTGAGGGGCTTCTGTCGTCGCTGCTGCTGCTGCTGCTGTTCTTCTTCTTCTTGTCGTTCTCGTGCGGTTTCGCGGCGGTCGGTGGAAGCCGGGTGATCGGGGTTCGGCGGAGATGCTAGTCGCGAACAGCTTCGATATGTGGCGGAAGGACGCCTTCTTCTCCGCGGCCGAGGAGGTCCAGGAATCCGCCGATGTGTGCGTCCCCAATCTTTCATTTCTACTCGAATTGTCTGCGTAGTTTATGGACAACATTGTGTCGGTTCGATTGCAGTTTTTTTTTTCTTGGCGAAGCTTCGTCATTTTCGGTTTCAGGCGAAAAGTTGTTCCTTTGTTCTTTTTTTTTTTTTTTGGGTCGGAAGCTGTTCCTTTGTTTCGATCGTTGTCTTATTGTAGATTTTGTTTTCTGGGATGGACTTAAGATTATGTCTTATGATCATCGATTGCCGAATCTGCAGAGGTTTCTTTTGTTCATTTGTGCGAGTTCTCTCGTTTGTTTCTTTTTTTTTTTTAAGTCTAGTTTTGTCGAGTTATTGGGTGGAGCTTCTTGTATCTTCCGGTTACGGGAACATCTGATGGTTCAGTATCCTCTAGGATTTAGCTGGGGAATAGAGCTTGGTGCTTAGATGCTTCTGGTGCCTAGCTTTGTGGACTTTGGGTTTAATTGCTTTTGAGTTTCGGCTGATTCTTTGAATATTTGCAATGAGTTCATCCTTGGGTTCCAATATGCCATCAGAATTAGTGAGATGGCACTTTAATTTGCAGTTCATTTCAATGCCAGTTTCCTTTATTGTCTTGGAACTAAATGCGACGGTTTTGGTCCTGCCCACAGTGGAATATGAAGATGGGTTCGTGACATTGTGAAGCTTCTATTAGATATTTACAGTTTGCATGGCAATTGCTGTCTTTCACTGCTGATTATATATCCAGAAACAAATGCTTGGTGTGGGCCTTTCAGTTAATTGGATTATTTTACATGTATTTTTATGCATTTGCTGGTTTTTATTTGTGAGTAAAAGTTATTCTGGGATTGCAGTTGCTTAAAGAATTTGAAAGAATTGAAGTGTACTAAAATTGTTTCAGTCCAGCTTCATGTATGAATACTTCTCTTCACTAATCGTAACGTTAGCTATAAAATATTCAAAGGCTGTCTTAATGATTTCACCATTACCGCCTAAGCAATAGGCTATCTTAATGAGCATACACTTGCTGTCCGGCTTGCTGCTTCCCTGTTATTTTGTCATGTCCACTATTTGCTGGCAAAATGCAGTTGGCATGTTCTCTTATTGTTTATTTGGTTTACCAGGATGGAATCGACATACAGAGCATGGGCTAGGGAGATGAGAGAGGCATTATCACCTGAATATTTGAATGATCTCTCTAGGGACCTCCAAACTGCTTTAGGTACAGCAAAGTGGCAGGTATTTCCTTGTTTTGCCCATCTGAACATAAAATTGTTCGATATTTTTTTTCTTGGATTCTTCTGTCAAAAGTTCTTATTAGCACTGGGTCCTTAAAATTCTCATCATTGGTCTTCTTTGAGTTGTAGAATAGGTCAGTAATGCACTTCTGTTGGCTTTAGCATCTTCTAGTTCGTAGATTGGCATGTTGAGGGTTACACTTCCTTGGTTTGTGGCTTGAAGTTGGACATCACATCATACCACATCTTTCAAACTCTGCTTACAGACCCATTGAACATACAGAAGATTTTTTTTTTTGAAGCTATGTGCTCTCTTTTTCCTTGGAACTGATATATGTCTGCTCATTGGATCTTTTCAGTTGGAAGAATTTGAGAGAGCAGTCAGGCTTAGCCATGGGCCTCATGGTGACAAAACTACGACAGCTAGACATGGACAGTTTATTGGGGCCATTAGAGATAAAATCTCTCATGTTGAAGCAGCGTTGCAAGAATTTCTTAATGAGGGGGGAAAACAGCCCCTTCAGTGGGTAAATCTTGACAAAGAAGAGCGAGATGATTTAGCTTTGTTTCTCTCTGGGACTTTGGAACTATCGCAAACTGCAAAGGATGAATTTACAGAGCATGGAACATCTTTGAAGGGTTTCATTGTGGAAAATTATGATAAGAAGGAAGATGTGGGGTCTAATACTAATGCTGCTTGCAGCAGTGGCTTATTGGATGAGAGCAAGAGCTCAAAGGATGGAAAACCTAATGAGGGTGTTCGCTGTGTGATAGATCTAGACGCAAAAGATCAAGCAGATAAAATAGGTGGTACCCGAAGGATATGGAGTTCACCCAGCATGGGGGATTGGAGAATTGCTGTTGCAGATGATGAAGAGAGAAGTAACCTCATTTCCACTGTTGTTGACACACCTAAAGAGAAGGCGCCTAGAACTCTTTATTGGAAGAATAGGTGTGGTGAACGTACTCAGGCAATGTCATTGACCAGAATGTTCAATCAGGTTAGTTTTTATCCAATTGACAGTGTGAACTATGTCAAAAATCAGAATGAATGGGCCTGTGCATGATTTTCTCAAAAAATTGCAATGAATTGGGCCAGTGCAATGCATTTCTTCTTTTGGCGTGGCCCAGATGTGAAACTAGCTGAATTTGATGTGTGTTTTGTTTATTTCGAGCATTGATGGTCTCCATGTTCTGCAGGCATTTGGACATTGCCATGTGCCTCAAAGACAACCTCATAGTCCACGAAGCTTGCGATTTAGTTGTTCAGTTCAATTTATGCTTGCCCTAATGCTAACGATATTTCTGATTGGTAAGAGGTTTCCTTTTACTGAACAGAAATCTATATAACATGTATGTCATGGTTACGGAACTTGGAAGGCTTTTGTTTCTTATAATTTTTTTCTTCTCTTCTGGTGATTATTATGTGCAAAGTTAAAGACAATGTTAACCTCAATAAGATGATTGTGGCATTTCATTGCTTCCATCGGACGTCATTGTGAAGTCCTCTTTTTCCATAGGATACTTGATGCAGTCTTTTTCTCCTAAAATTCCTCATCAAGTTCTAATCGGATTTGATTTCACCACATACATATATTCTGGATGTATATAAAGTAATCTGGAAGCCTTTCCATTATTAGAATGTTTTTGTGCAAATGTTAGGCTTTTGTACTCATCAGCTGTTGCCGCTTATGCTAGTTGTCTGGAGGTGGAAATCAATTTTTTGTACTTCGATGTTCTCGATTTGGTTTATGACATAACCTTGATCTGGAACACCTCTTGGTTAATGGATTTCGTATACTCTACTTGGAGCTAGGTTTAGGCCTGTTTATTTTGTTCATCTTAAGAAATAAGTTCTACTTTTGCTGCAATGTAATAAGCAGTTTTTAAGTCCAATGAATCGAAAGGTTCTACTTCTACCTGAGATCGAGCTACTTTTTTATAATTGTGAACAGTGAAAGATGCACATTTGTATAATCTTCTAAACTTGAAACAGAATATGTTTGTAGAAGCATGAGTAGTCTTGCTACTTCCTAGTACTATATGATAATCAAAGTAAATTTAAACATTTCAATTAACATTAGCTGATGAAGGATATGTTTTTACCTTGTGCAGTGCCATTTGTGTTCTATACGTCATAAAACAAGTGCTTTAAACCTTATGATCCACGTTAAAGGTATGTTACTACTCAAATGGGATACCTTTCTAATTCTTTATTTAAATTAAATGAAGTAACATGGTCAGATTTTTTATTTCATTTGTATGTTCACCTGCAGGTGTTGGATCTGTTCTTTCAAAGATATAAACAAGGATGATTGATTCTTTTTGCCTATCTGGTAATCTTATGAGGATCTCAAGTCAACCAAGAAAACTACCTAAAAGTCTCCGGAGTGTCAGTAGTTCGTACGGCAAGCCTGGCAATGATTTACTCCTCGAAAAAGCCTTATGCTGCTTCACATATTAAGTGGCACGCAATACAATTGTATCCTTGGTACTCATAACCATACGAGCTTCTAGAAGTAGTGGATACATGGTAGCTGAGTCCTGTTTGAATAAGAGGATTGAGTCTTGAACTCAAATTATGTAGACGAATAGATAGGTTCAAGCCTTGTTAGGGGGAAAATTGGGAGCTTAATTGTACTATTCTCACTTGTGAAGAGTTTCAGAAAATCGAATTGCAGCATAAAGCTAATTGTGTCAACTCTCTTCACTTCATTCCCAAGCTACTAAAGATGATGCCTTTGACCCTGCGAAAGTGGCACAAAATGATTGCGGAATTTGCCCAATGTCCAAGCTGTACTTGATCTAAGATGTGAAGTTAGAAGTATCTGGATTTTGCAATGTGCCTTCCTTTCACTGCAGAATTGATTATTCTATACATACAAGGCTGGGTTTGAGTTTCTGGGTAAAGTGGGAATGTTCACTGAAACAGAGTGAATATTTCGCTTGTAATTGTCAAACCCCTCAGCAACTGCCTGTTGTTCTCTGTTCATCGCAGAGATGTGCAACGATCAAAGAAGAGTTCGCCATGAAGAACTGGTTCTGCATCCAAGCGATGTCGAGCCAGCCCTCGCAAAGCTCTCCACATGCAGAAGCTCGCGAGTTTCTGATTCACCGCATATGAAATTGCATGTGGTACTGTTGCTGCTTGATGGTTCCATCATTGCCTGGTTAAGTTTACCATTCAAACGGCAGTTCTTTCATTAGTACTTCAATTATCTCAACGCCTTGTGTTGAGCATCCTGTGCTTCCTATTTTGCATTTTATCTTTGTGTTAAAATGTCATTCCGTGGAAAGATTTTTGCTGGAAAGTAGCTACTTAACTAGCAAATGCACTATAACTGAGAGATGGAAAAGGTTGTGATGGCGAAATGGACGAAGTTGCTAAGCAACTAAAGATTGGCTAATACTGGGGACGAAGTTGCAAGCTTTGAAGAGTTCAGACATAATTGAGAGGTAGAAACGCATGATGTGTCATTTCAGTATAAAAGCACTGAACAATAAGAGGGAAGAAATCGAGCAAATATGGGTTTTTCTATGGTTGGATGACCATCAATTGGTTTTCTTGGAAAGTTACTGCATCGATCATGAAAATTACCGGTACTAAGTTACTATATATACATCGAGAAAATTACCATGATATTGTGAAGTTACTTTCGCCGGATACCAGTTGTATGTACGACTTTCATCGAACGCCGGTGTCCCTCGTGCTCTGTGCATGGGATTGTAGACGTACTTGAGTTTGGCAGAAATCTGATGTTCTGTTTGCGAAAAACAGAACAAATTTCTTTGGATGGGATTTTTCGGATATGATTAGTAAATTTTGAGTCTTGTTGGTAAAATGGGGTAGCTGGTAACTTATTGGTTAAGTATGCTGATGGTAACTTACTAACAATATTAGCATTTTACCAACATTTGTTGCAAGTTACCAAATTCTTTTTAGAAACTTATCACTTAAAACAAAAATTTAATGGTGAAATCAATATCTTACCATTAAAACTAATAACTTATCAACGTAGATCCGCTTATAAGGTAATGAGTTACCACGACAATCAGAAATTTACTAACTTTAAGTGGAGTTATTTGTAAGTTTTCCAGTCAAAACAAAAACTTTTTACCAGCATAGACTTGTTAAGTTCCTAAATTACAAACAAAGTTAGGAGTTTGCCATATGAAATAAAATCAAAGTTAGTAGCTTAACATTGATATAAGTAACTTACTGAGGTAAACCAACTTTTAATCTGGTAAGTTACCCCAAGAATTTGAGGAACTTACTATTTGATCCAAATAAGCAACCGAGAGAGGGGCGAATTGGTTTTTCAAGAAACACAAACTAATTTTGTAGAACAAATCTCAGTAAATATATATTGCTTCTACGCGCAAAATGAACTAGCAATATAAGCAGCAGATATTAACGAGTCTAGGGAAAGAGAAATTGCAAACGAGATTTATAGAGTTTTGGCTGGATGTGACTATTCATCTCTTTCAGCTCTAGTAGTCCAAAGCAGTTGAATTCCACTAGCTACGCCCAGAATACAAATGTAGCCTTGTTACAAGTATTGAATCCGTCGCCATCGTGCAGAACTTGACTTTATATCTACAACAAGCTCGCTATAGACTAAGTAACTATTGGCCTACCTAATAGTTGTTCTCGCACACACTTTGTCTCTTGCTACAATTGCTTTCACTCAAAATACAACTACTTCTCTGTGTGGCTACAAATGGACCAGTCATTCTTCCTAGCTCTTAACCACAACACACTCTCTGACCATAAACAAAAACAAGAAAACTCAAATGGGTATTACAAGCTAACAAAAGAGACCGACTCAATTAGCTCTTATGAATGCTCAAATTTCTCTTGTTCTTGTCCTTTCCGACTCTATGACTTCTGGCCGAGTTTTCTCCAGTTTATAAAGCTCCAAATTCGAACTTGCACTTGGATCATGTAGCTGTCATATCCACCTAATTCTCCATAAGAAATCTCATCAATATTCCTGAAAAAACACGTGCAGAACCTTCCCTCAATTTGGGTTGTCATTAGATTTTCTATGTGAGGGCAAGTTGTCTTCTATCAATGATAGATTTTGATCGCGCCATCTCACCAATCTCTTGAGTGAATTTATCCGTGAATATATAATCTTAAAACATCATACTTTATTGCTATCAGCTAGGTCATCAATTTAGAAACTCCAACGCCTCATCAAATCTATAAATGGGAAATCCGCAATGATCATGTTTGACTTTTTTTTTTTTTAGAACCAAGATTTTGGTTCTACAACCTTTCTTCTACAAATTTCCATACCTAATGAAATTTGGCTCAAATGCTTATAGAATCAAAACTTAGCTTCTTATTAATTTAGATACGAGTCTCGGCACACTTAAATGAACTTATTAAATACTTAGATTAAGTCTTGCTAGCATTAAAATCGCCTAAGGGTATTTCCAAACAATTACCAATGCAAAATTCAAAATTTAAGTTGTAAAGCTCCACTAATGAAGTTAGTAAGAGAACTAATGGAATTAGTAAGTTACCAACGTAAGCTCGCTTATAGGGTAGTAAGTACCAGATGGAGTGTGAAATTGTCAAAGTCAAATTCAATATTAAGTTGATCAACCTCTTTAGGTAGTTGCCATTGAAACAAAATCTTACAAATGAAATTAAGAACTATCTAGTGAACACACTACTGAAAAACATAGGCTCAATTTTGGCTTAGCAATTACCCACATAGTAAGGGATTTACCAACTCCGAATTAGTAATTTATCGACTTCTTTAAAGATTTATCACTCGGAAGATAGAGCCACTTGTAAAAATTTTACAAAATTTGGTAGTCTACCGTCGAATGTGCAGCGGTAACATCATTATCTCATTGGAAAGCCACTTATCATTTGATGGGCTAGCTTGTTAACATGTTAAAGCACTTGATAATCTACCATCGGATACTAGATTGTAGGACGGTATGATCGAAATTTCGTTGGTAAGATAAAATACTCGGTAATCTACTATTAGATAGTAGATTTCATTATGCTAAATTGTTTTCTATTGGTAAGTCATCAACTAATCAACGGAACCCACGCATAAAATCTTAAAGTACTTCGTAATCTATTATTGGATGTGAGCTGATACAATCGTATTTTAGTAGTGTGCTACTTACTACTTGACAGGCCTGATTGTATAATTTCTATGGCATCAGATAATCTACTTCCGAATACGAGATTTCCAAACCGAAAAATCATTCTTATAATTTGGTGCTTGATTGACGCTCTCACTTGTAAAATTTCTAAAACACTTAATAATCCACTAGGGGTGTGAGGATGGTAAAATCATTATGTGGTATCGGTGAGTGACATGCCCCATTTGTTAGATTCAAAAGCACTTGGTAATCTACTATAGAATACTCTGAAAATGGCATAATCCTTCTTTGGTTGGTAAGTCAACTGGCAAAAAGATAGGACAAGACACAACTGGAAAATGATCATGGGGCAAAATTTAATCAATTAGTATTATAATAATTGAAATATCGCTCGCACACTTAGAAAATACTATAAAATTTTGTATTTTATAGATTATGTTTGTCCTTTTATTAATTTGTGGGGGCAAATTAAAATGAAAATATTTACTTTGACATAGTTGTATCTCTTTGAGAAATTTAAAGGGGGCAAGAATTGTTTTTAGGCAAAAAAAAAAAATTAACAATCGAGTAATAGTCCTTGATTAATGGCTTCTGAAAATTCGACTTGTATCGTGGTATGTTCAATCACAAATACTTGCTAACGCGATTGAATGTATACTACGATCCACTTGAAAGTACGATTTACTTTTTGTAACATGTAAATCTTTTCACATAAATATTTCCGATTTATTACGCCTATTAATAATCAATTGAGATGGACACATTTCATCAACCAAAGAAAGCACAAGTTTAAGTTGATGGTTATAACTTGTAGCTGGTAAACAAAAAAGATAGTTGTTGACTACTAACAAGCAAATGCTTGTGTAAGAAGAGAGAAGTTTTGCATTTTGTGGCAATTAAAAAAAAATTTGATGAACCAAAGTCGTCCCAATTTGTCTATCTATACTAATCATAAAGCAAATTTTGACCCACCCCTATATTTATGAATATATCTTCGATTATTCCGTTGAAATCTATTATTTAATCGATCTGTATCACATGTCGAAAAGATCAAATCGATTAGAGAAAACACGAAAAGCATCCGCTGATCTATCACAAGATGATAAATTCCACACAATTTCAGCCAATTACAAGTTTTTGCCGGCTTCTTATTTCATTATATCTTTTTTGTGAAATTTGAAATTTAATATATTAAACGAAAAAAATTGCTTCGATTCTCACACTACTCAATTTAACTATTCAAATCCATGTGCTTTTTTTTTTTTTTTTCAGACGTCAATATCGATCGAAAATTTATTTTGCGACACAAACAAGAGCATGAAACGAACCACATGCTTGTCCTAGAGATCCAGGCTCTGTTCGTTTCGTGAAAAATAAATGATCTGGGAAACATTTTCTCGAAAAATGATCGCTCGTAGCGCTTACAAAAATGAACGATTGAGAAATATTTTCATCGTCCGCGAAAATGTTTAGATATAAATTACTATTCGTAACGAAAAAAATTTCCCATCGACTAATTATTCCAAGCAATGCAAGCGACTCTTTTCACGAATTTTTTTTTTCTAAATTGTTTATTTTTCGCAAAATAAATAAATAACGATGCAAAGTAAGATAAAAAATAAATGATTAACAATGAGAAGAAAAAATAAATGATTAATAAATGCAAAGTAAGATCGAAACTTTTAATTTCTCCCTCTTCCTCTCTCTCTCTCTCTATCTCGCTTTCTCTCTCCTCCATTTCTCTTCGAACTGAGAGCTCCCCTGCAAACAGCCCAGAATGAAACCGAGCGATCTCGACTGAACGACGACGGCCCTCCTCTCTCCCTCTTCCTCCTCCTCGTTGAGCCCATCCGATTCCGACCGAATTAGATCCGATCGAGAACCGGGTCGGATCCTCCTCCGCCTCCGCCTCCGCCTCCGCCGCCGCCGCCGGGGAACCGCCGCGGATCTGAACCCGACCCACCAACCATGTCGTGCCTCGCCCTCTCCCTCCAGCCCGTCAACGGATCCGACATCCTCCTCCAGACCCGCGAGTGGTTCCCGCCCGCCCGCGCCCTCGTCGCCCTCTCCGCCTTCCGCCACACCCGATTCTCCTACGCCAAGCCCTCCTCTTCCTCCTCCTCCTCCTCCGCCGCCGCCGCCGCCTCCGCCGCCGCCGCCGCCGCCGATCCCGACCCCTCCTACTCCTCCGAATCCATCGGCGACGACCCCCTCGCCACCTCCAGCGGCCAGGTCATCGTCGGCGTCGAGTCCCGGTACCGTGTCATCTACCGCCTCGTCAACAGCATCTACGTCCTCGGCATCACCACCGCCGACCAGGACAACGCCGTCAACGTCTTCGAGTGCATCCACATCGTCAACCAGGCCGTCAGCGTCGTCGTCGCCGCCTGCCGCGGCGTCGACGTCACCCCGGAGAAGCTCGGCCGCAAGTATGCCGAGATCTACATGGCGCTCGACATCGTCCTCCGCGGCGTGAGCAGCATCCGGCTCTCCGCGATGCTGTCCTCGATGCACGGGGACGGGATCGCCAAGATGGTGCACTCCGGGATCGACACCGAGAGCAAGATTCGCGGGGCGGACAGCTGGGCCGGCGTGGAGGTGCAGTCCGCCGAGCACCTGGCGGGCGTCGAGGTGTTCTCCGGCACGCGGTTCGAAGTGCCGCCGGAGACGCTGGCGGCGGGAGATGAGGTCGTGGCGACCATTGCGCCTGTGGCGGCTCAGGCTGAGCAGAGCGATACCCAGGATACGAAAGGTGAGGAAGAGAGTCAAGGGCCTAAGGACCCATTTGCAGCTAGTGAGGCTTTGAATAAGCCTGAGGAGTTAGTGAGCGGTTTCAAAAAGAACAGGGATACGTCGGCGACGGACTTGACGGTGGCCTTGGCGGGGCTGGAGGTGCCGACTCTGCCGCCCGCCGAGGCCACTCAATCCACCCATATTGGTGTGGAGGGTTTCGAAGGGGATTATGGTGGCATAGAGTTTGGCCATGAGCAGGCTTCTCTAGGGGAGACTTTTGAAGGGTTCAGTGATGCTTGGGGTGGGGGTTTGGACCCATCCGAGTTTGTTGGTACCGCAAAAGCTCCTAAACCTCAAGGTCTTGGTGGCCTTGAATCGCTGCAAACAGGAGGAGATGGTGATGCGGCCAAAGCGGCAGTGGGTAAAGCGGCGGAGGGTACTCCGCTTGAGAATCTTTTGGTGAAGAAAACTGAAATGAAAGGTCCTGAGATGTATATCTCGGAGGAGATTAGTGCAGAATTTAGGGAATCACTGCTTGCTCGAGTAGGATTGATGGGTGTTGTTTACTTGAGAACAATACCGCCTAAGACTGCTGGTGATAAAGAAACTGAGTTTTCCTTCCGGGTCGATGGTACAGGTGCTGTTAAACGGTTTGTTATGCAGAGTTCTCGCGCTAGCAGCCTCGGTAGTGGTTTATTCCATGTGAGAACGGCTCCTTCAGATGAGCCTATACCTATTCTGAAGTATAGCTTGCTCCCAAGGTTAACACCACTACCATTGAGGGTTCGCCTTACAAAAAGACATAGTGGGACTTTACTTTCTGTGATGATACAGTATGCTTCCAATCCTGAAGTGCCAGCACCACTGCATGATGTGACCTTTATCCTGAAACTCCCAGTCGACCCAAGTCTACTGAAGGTTTCACCAAAAGCTATGCTGAACAGATCAGAAAGAGAATTGAAGTGGCTCGTCCCAGAGATCCCTCTGAATGGTGCTCCAGGTAAATTAAGGGCTAGAATGCCTGTGGATACGAGTGCAGAAGAGGGTGGTGAGGAGATTGAGGTTGTGGGTTATGTAAAATTTTCTTCACAACACACTAGCTCCTTATCTGGGGTTTGTATACGGCCTGCTTCTGAAGGTAAGACAGACTTTTACGAGGTTAACCACAAGTATGAGAGCGGGATTTATACATGTAATTGATTACGATGAAATTGACTTTCTGGTTAGATTGTCTTTCTTTGTGAGGTTTGTACTAGGTGTGTGAAGCTGGGATTAGTTTGTAGCATTCTTTGAATACAATCTTGTTGGCTCAAATTCCATTTTTCTGTGGAGAGTATTGCATCTTCGGTTGTTTTATTTGTCATGTCTTTTCCAGTATAAACAAGCATATAATAATAGTTTGGGAATCTCTACAAAGTATTGCGCTTACCTATGTAACTTAGTAGAAGCTTTAAAATGCCTTGGGCCTTTCATGGTATCACTGTAGTTCGGTTTGTTGGTGCTCATGAATGAAATGCTACGCACAAGGCTCTACAAAAAAATTTCTTACAGTACACAGCTGCTACGTACTTATCCAAGAGTATAGCTTTTGCTTCTCATTCAGTAACTACATGAGGAGCATCCCCAACTTATTAGCTCAGCTGAAATTGTCAAGATAATTAGTGACATAAGGTTTTTTGCTGAAGAGATACGTAGAGGGGAAAATTGTGGTGCTCAAGCCGACCCTCTTTTTGCTCCCTTTATCCTGTCCCTTGCAACAGTAATAATTCTGGAGAATTTATATGTTGACACCTATTGAGGCGGTCGCGACATTATATAATCATATACTGATAAGCATGACGCATAACTCTTTCTAAACAGAAGAACAACTAGCATTAGCCAAAATGGGGGAGTGATCAGCGACAACAAACAGTGAATCGACTTTTTTTAGTGACTATTTTTACCTAGGTGGACATGCACTTTTGAAGTTCTCATATCCTCTTACTGTGTCGTATGCAGCTTGCGACGTATGTTACTACTATTTCTGCAACACTTAACTGATTGTTCTCTGTTTGTATATACGCGGATATTACATTTTTTCATGTGCGCGTGTTGAATGAATTTAATTTATGTTTACATAGGTTAGCTTCTTATGATTGTAATTATCTGATCATAAGCGGACGATGAGGAGTAAAAGGTTACACGTTCTATCTACTATGATCTTTTGACTTTGTTCTCACAGTGCTCAAGATATTAATAATAAGAACTGGGTCTGTCTAGCAGAACAGCTGATAACGAAGTACAGACATATATTTCTTGAGATGTTTGTGATGATTGGGCATGCTTATTTTGGTTTTCTCTAAGCAGAAAGTTACCTATTTACCTTCCTTGCAAACCATAAAACTAAGACATGATTGTATATGTTAATAATTGTACATTTTGAAAAATATGGGTGTTTCACATTGAATGAAAGTCAAATTATAAGATTTCTAAGATTTGGAAAAGGTAAAATATGTGAGAATAAAAACATTATGCATTTTCGAGGACATTTAACCACTGTGCAATTGAAGAGTAGGTTGGCATGGACTCTTGGTCACTAGCACAACCAGATCCAAGTGTTCGATGGAGTTCTTTACATTGGTGTAGTTTTATAGTGGCTGTTACACATCAAGTTTTTACCCTTTTTTTATAAATCATGGATAAGAATACACCTCAACCGATAGATATCTAAAGAAAGGGGAAAAACTACTCGTACTCAGTGGATGCCCTCATAAATTGAACATCTACTGGCCATTCTTAGAGCCAGATTTTGAACCTATTGCCATCACACCGTATTGCCATTGTCAGTGCTCCACAGGTCGATTCTCTCTCTCCTCCTCCTCTCTCCCCCTCCCCCCCCCCCCCCGGGGGCCCCCCTTATTAGATGCCAAAATTCACATCTGATGCGTGCTGTAAATTCCAAACTGCTGCCTCAAGTTTTACAGATTTCCATTTTCTTCAGTTCTCCAAAGTTCCAATGTAATTTTTTATATTGCATGTGTGTTTTCGGTTAGCTTCTTGTTACCATGAGTTTGGCTTGCATGTAGCTTTGTGGTACTTCTGTAATGGTTGACAATTTGGATTTGTGGAGAACGGTTTAGGCATCTCAACAAATCATTGGGCTAGGTTGGTAGGTTAGTTGTCATTTGAGCAAAGGAAATTGGTGATGTTTTAGTTGGTTTTTTGATGGCTGTGATGGCTATGCATTGAATATTCTGGTGCTGGTAAAAGTGCTAGGCGCTCCTAATGCGCTAGGATTCCTGTAATGCCTGGGGCGCTAGACGCCTAACAAGGCGCTTGCCCAAGCGAAGGGGCACTAAGCTGAATTCTTAGGATAAATCCTTCACCAGCAAATGATCAAATCTCTAAATAACATAAAATAAACAGAATGAATATCCTGGCATCATATACCATGCAAGAAGTTTCATAAAACACTAGAAACGCTTTCAAAGTTTATAATAAAGCTAAAATCCAATGTATATAAGTTTAAAAGTTAAACTCAGCATGCACAATCCCTATGTATTGTAAAATAACTTAATCTTCATCAATATCAACCACATCATCTTCATCATCATAACCACCATCCATGTTTCATCCCCTCCATCACTATATCTAACCTTTCAGCTTCCTTCTCTGTTTCATCTGAATCAGCTTCATCATCTTCAATGCTTACTGTTCTAGAACTTGAAGCTCTATCACTTGTTCTTGATACCGCTTGTTGTCTCGTGTATGTCCTTACTTGTAAATAGTAGATATTCTCTCCACATCACCCCAATTTGGATTGTCACCATAAAACACCAATTCGTCCTCAGCATTGTAATGACCTCTATCTCCCCAATCGACCATTTGTTACTCATCAATGTCATTTAGCGAGACAAGATCTATGGCATCTTGCAAATCATAGCTTGTACTTGACAGACATGAGATTATGGCCTTTGATGCTCAAGTCTGCTTCTCTTCTCTGTGTTTAATCTGTTGCATAAGTCGAATGATTAGAATTCAAGTTTCATAAGGAGGATAGATGAGAAAGATTGCTGTATTGTAAACATAAATCTTACATGCTCAAAAACACTCCAGTTACGCTCGCAACCTGGTGCAGTACAAGTTAAAGTCAAGATTTTAATGGCCAACTTCTGTAGGTTGGGTGTTGAATTTCCAAAGAGGCTCCACCATTCAGCTGCAAGATAATGAAAACTTAATATTTAGCTAGCAATAATCTATTGTCAACATAAACATTTTGAGAAAAATTAAAAGCATTTTAATTACGTGGGAATTTTCTGGTCCTTGATCTAATAGCCATTGCATTGCCAAAAGTCCTGCATTTTATACGTCGATAGCTCAACAACGATTCTGTCCTAGGCTTTAATGCTTGGAATTAGCATTTTTAATTTAGCACCTTTTATATCAACACTTCCGGCTATAGCATCAACTGAATATTCAATATTCATCGGCCGCCGATGCATGTACTAAGCCTTCTGGGACAGAAGATTGAATGGTTTTGGGGGTGTGATAAGGTTGTGATTTGGATAAGGGTTCAAATAGATCTTCTGTAAAGGTCTTTCTTGACATAAGAAAATGAAACTCCCTTGGTGAGTAAGAGAAATGAAACATGGGATGTAGTGGACTGTCCCAAGGCAATGGTGAGAGTCATGAGGTGCTGGTTCTCAGATTTGGAATATTTATTGAGCCCAATAAAGTGCCACATTTGCAAGATGTGGTCTGAAGAATGAGAATAACTTGTGTCGGTAGTGGTTGCCCTTTGAACAATGATAGTGGTGTAGCTGGTGCTGGTGGGTACAAATGTTAGTTGGTTAGTTGACCATGGTAGTTTGGGTAATTTGTGTTTTTTCCTTTTTCTTTTTCCTGGTTCATATATGTGCTAAATGTTACTGTATATCATTTTGAAGGTTATGCTTGTATTTTGTTTTGCATAGGTGATGTGTCAACTTGGTATAGTCGATTATAGCAATGTGAGGGCCAAATTAGCACCTTTTTCTTCAACGCTTCCAGCTATGACATCAATTGAATGTCACTATGGGATAGAATTGATACCCCTATTCAAGTTCAACTTCTTCATTTTATAGTTATTTCTTTTGTGATCTGGCCAAAGTAATTGAGAAAAATTAGTTTAGTTTTGGTTCTGGGAGAAGTCAAATTCAACATAATAGATATCATTTTTTCATTGTTCAGTATTCTTCAAAGATGATGTGCAAATATGCAGATGCTTTTGTGCTGATTAAGTACTTCATTTCCTGTTCTCTTATTTATGGGCTTATTCCAAATAGTATAGGGATCTTTTCCCTATTCTAGTGGTTATGGTTCTGGGAGAAGTCAAATTCGATATAATAATTCTCATTTTTTCATTGTTCGGTATTCTTCAAAGATGATGTGCAAATCTGTAGATGCTTTTGTGCTGATTAGGTACTTCATTTTCTATTCTTCCTTATTTATGGATGTATATTAAATAGTATAGGGATCTTTTTCCTGGTCATCATTGTGAGGAAAAATTAGGATGATCTTATCCTAGTGGTTGGGATAGCTAAGACTGTGGCATCTGGTAATTTAATCCTTGAGGTAGAGAAGAGACTGTTTGAAGTGTTTTTCGTTGAAGTTTCTGTCAAGTTGGTTGTCTAGTGTTTAGAGATTGTTTAAGATTGGGATACAGAGATGATTTTGGACCTTTTTTTTATCTGAAATCCATTCTGAATTGCAAAACCCTCTTTATGTCCCCTGTTTTTATCGTTTGTTTGAAGTTCTTAAGTGTGTTAAGATTTGTTAGTATTTTCTTTGACCTTTCTCATCCTAGCATCTAATATAAGTCTAATGCAAGAATGGAATTGTTTTTGGAGTATTACGGATGGCGATTCATAGATCATTTTTCTGTCAAGTTGCTAAAACCAATCAGGATTGTTTTCTCATCTGAACTGACTAACCTTCATGATCCGTGGGTGCATTGCTTGCACCATTCTTTTGCTTGATCTTTCTGATATGATATTAAGATCAGCACCGGCGACCGGTGATGCAGCTTGTTTATTAGAATTTTCTCAGTGGAGGGGGAGGTGGGTTGGGATTTCATTGATTTAGACTTTCAAAATTTCATTGAGAGCCCATATAGTTATTTGCTGGTTTAGGTGATGATGATGCTGCACTCGTGATGCAGTTCCATGCAATTCTTTGTTTAGTTTTGTCATGTTGGAAATATATGTTCAACAGTTTAGTTCTTGGTAAGAGAGAATGTAAGTATCCCATTCCATCGAAGAGTATCAGAAGAAAATATTGCGTTCCATGAAATGGGATAGTGCCCTGTTTTGTTGGGCAGTAATGGGTTTCGGTTGACAGACTTTGAGTGCGTGATTTTCATGATTGCTTAGTAAATGGTGTCTATGGTCACTGAACGTATCAAGTACAGTTTTCCGTCTCCTCCAGGTTTTAGAAGTTATGAGCAAGTACACAAACAGCCATTTCGATGGAAGAACACTGTCTTCTTAAGGTTCGCAGTTCATTATATCGTCCTCGCCAGTTCTTGTGTGTCGCTTTTGTGATCCGATTGTCACATACTCCGAGCTTGACTCCAATCATGGGGGTGTCGGATAAGGGTAATTGTGCAGGCTGAGATTACTACAGTCAACAGAAGCGCAATCGAAAATAACAAAGACGTAAGCTATATAGCCTAGGACTTGCCCTCTTTGATAACTTCCTATGCGCAGATTCCATTCTTATGAGAAGGTTGGTCTCTCAACTCCTCTGGTTGTTTGTTTGCTTTCTGCTATTTTGGCCAGTCATAGATAAACCCGCATGTTGCTCTCAATGATATTCCTGGAGTTTATACAACTCTTGTTTCCTTCGACTTCTCCCAGGGCATTGTGTGAAGACTTAAAAGTGGTCTTTTACTGAAGAGAGACCGTTCCGGAGACATGCTGCTAATTTTTTGCACCGTTACGGTTCCGACGAGTGTCTTCTTAATCAACGTGTGAAGCAGGACTCATAGCCGAGGCTCCGGATGGCCATCGCCGGGAGCCGAGGCGGTGAGCTTCCTCCACTGTGCCGCAGAGGTCACTCTAACACCTCGTGATGGTAAGGGTCGTGCGACTCCGGCTGAGCCTTGTCGTGGCTATGGTGATGGTCACACGTGATATCTCTCCCTTTGCGCATGCACGTGGGACCGATTATAGGGTTGACTTGCAAATAGTATAATTATGATTTTAAGACAGCATATCGTGTGAATAATCTGTGACATATCAGTTTAAGACATTGATGGCTTTCCTAGGTTTGCCGAGTTCAAAATCCATTTCCAATCGATTATTTAAAACTAAGTTCAAAAACCGGTGCAAACCAATTCAACTCGAGAAACGGCATTAAAGTAGGGAATCGAATCGGTCAAGGACGATTCGACAATATTTTACTTAGGAACTTATCCGACCCCTGTATGAACCGGCCTGAAACCAATCGGGTAAGGTCAATTAAGTTCGATTCCTGAGTTGAACTGTGCCAATTGCTCACTTCTAACTAAATCCCCGGAGATACTTCAATAACTATAGTTCTCGAGAAAATCTCATGATTCTTTTTGTCTCTCGAGTAAATCGGTCCCACAGGAGCATGCGAACACTAATTTTGATCGAAAGTCCTTTGTCTTTTCAATGCTGTGTCTTACGTCGTCATGGCCATATGCAATCATCTGAAGAAAGCTTGTAGAGCATCCCAAAGCGCAAATCATCACGGCAAAATCATTTCAATTGGTCCCATAAAACCACTTAGTATGGATGAACTTTGCATACGCAGCTATAACTGTAGGCGCACATAGATAATATCATTCGCAAAACTCATGAAAGATTACATAATTAGAGATAATATAATGTAAAAAAATTGATGTCGAGCATATGATTTCCGACCCCTTTGACTTTAATAACATAATTCATTTCCCCCCCTTTTATAATAGTGTCGAAAAATAATATAAACAATGATGTGAAGCTTCGCTAAGAATCTAACTTCTGTTCCTAGACGACAACGGGCACGGGCTACAATCCCTGTAATTGCTTTGGAAGTAAGCCATTTGTAATCTATTGCAGATGATGTAGGCGGTGCACGTTGACTGTTCAAAGAAATCATCAGAGCTTCGGCTAAAAGCATCGGCAAAATATATGATTTCGGCACGTAATCGATCGAAAGCTACGGTTATTCAGGGAATGTGCTCGATAAGTAAAGCTTTAGCTTGCTAGCACGGACGGAACAATTAAGTATAATTGTGCAAAGCATACGCAATTGTCATGATTTGGTTTGATTTTCCTAGATATGGCGACCTCTCCTATTGGAATCGGGGTTGTGCCGCGAGAAACGATTCGGTTCTCTGAATGCGTATCGTACAAATCATAACGGAAGTGGCCGTTCCGAAGGTAAGATTTCCTTAGTATAGTTATTTAGGAAGGACCCGAAAAGGGTGCACGAATCATTTGGGGGGATCTTCTTCATTAGAATAATGGGATTGAGTTATCACCTTTCTGATTTGCTTGTGCAGATGACAAATCTAATGCATGTACCCTAAGACATATCTTTTGCCTACATTTAAGATATCTTAACCTCATTAACCATGCTTATTCGATAAAATTTACTTTTCCTATTTAATGCGGGTGGTGTTTCTTGAAACATGTAAACGTTTTCAATGCCCAATGTATCTTGTATTGCTTAAAAAAAAAAATGAATGAACGAAAAATATTTTCATCGTCCCCGAAAACGTTTAGGCATATCTTGTTGTCGATAATGAAAATATTTTTTATTGGTTAATTATGCCAAGCGATATAACAAATCATTTTTAGGAAATGTTTTTCAAATTATTCGTTTTTCGCAAAATACGCGGACCCTAATGAAATGTCATCTTATGCAACTTCCCTTCCTAAACTCTTGTTAGTTAGCTGTTGTTTTCGGTAGTAGATGAACTGCTCCGGTTTTAACCCCTTTACTCAAAATAAAAAGAAAGAAGAAGACCCTTGACTGGTTTTAGGGTTCTAGCTCAAATATTTCTAAAAATTCCATGGAATTATCCATGTATTTTATTAAAAAGTATTACATAAATAAGGTACAACGAGAGGATAAAATCATGGTCGATAATCACACAAATATTTCACTTTCCAAAAATTGAATTTTAATTTCGCATTTTACAATAATCCAATTGCCTTAACCAAACTAATTAGCCTTTTTAAACGTCTCTCTCTCCAAACACATTTACTTGTTTATGTTTCTTACAAGTTTAGTCTAGAAAACAACTTTTAAAAAAACGAGTAATCTTAATTTAAGAAGTAGGCTGAATGATCAAAACATTCTATCCAATACGAAAGATCACGTGTTTGAATCACTCATCTCTTACTCGAGGTGACCACATGACTCGTGCGAAGGAGACGGTTTACTTACCATTCGTGTGTATATTTCTCAACTATAATAAACGAGAGAGTTTTCGGATTCTCACCGAAAGCAGAATGGGTCTTATTTCAAATTTACAGTTGTTGAAAGGCACTCATGGTCATGGACGGTCTCTCATCCCAATTTGCCATACTTATAATAGAGATGTTTCGAATGGTTTCAAGGATCAACATGTCTTAAAAATCCAAATCTAAATAGAGGATCTCATTTTCAGTGAGACATAAATATTAAAAAGGCGATCATTCGATCTCTACATACAACGATATAACGCCGTAAATTTCGGATTGAATATACCAAATTTTGCATACCACCTCATTAATATACCAAACATTAAAATAGCAAAAAAATATAATATGATCATAGCCTTAAATGAAGAAGATATCATACAAATGAAGAAGATATCATACACAGATATATCCGAGAAAATACTGAAAAACAAAAAAAAATTCAAAAACCTTGTACTCCTATTTATTACATTGTCGGAACCCATTAAATTACTGCCATCATTCCCGTGACACTCATTAATTACACGTGGCATGTAACCAGCCAATGGCACTGACGTCATCATCCTTCCTCAAGTGCGAGCCGCCCGAATTCTCCCGTTTTGACATATATGCCCTCCGGTCACGGAGGGCAAGTCTGAGCCGAATATGGGTAATATGGTCCATTCACATCGTCACGTGCGCCGCACGAGCGGAGGGGGGAAGCCCTCACACGTGTGGCAGGCAGGCGAGCGGCGTCGCCACCGCGACGCTCGCCGGGTCCTTGCAGCTCAGCGCCTTGATCAGCCTCCACGACCCCTTCCAACCGCCCCTGTCGGCCGGCGTCGGCGGAACGAACAGCGCCGACGGGGTCCTGCGCAGCTGCCGGCTCCTCATGTCCCGCAGCTCCATCTCCGCCGGCAGCTTCACCGCTACGAACGGCAGCACGCGCCACAGGGGCCGCGGCGGCGGCCTCTTCGCGAACGAGTCCGACCTCGCGACGCCGCTCCCGCCTGCCGACGACGACGACGTCCTCCTCTCCACCGCCTCCCGCGCCAGGGAGCTCGGTGGCCGGCGGAGCCTCCGGTAGTCGAGGGACCGGCTGCTCCTCGCGAGCTGCGCCTTCGCCGCCGCCCTCGTGCTGCTCGACCGAGACACCGACGACCTCTCGAGCTCGGAAAGAGACTCGCAGCGACGGCACTGATCGTGGAGTGGGACGAGCTTCCCCGAGACGATGAGGTCGTCGGCGGACCGCATGTGGGAGCCGAGGCCGATGAGGAACTCGAACAAGTCCGGAGGCTCGGAAGAGGACCGGCGAGGGCGGCTGGAGTCGTTGCGGGGGTGAGCCGCCGTGGCGAGCGGGAAGTCGGAGAGCGAGAGGGCGTCGTCGTCGTCCTCTGAATCTTCCGGTCGGTCCGGAAGCACGAATGGTTCGCCGCCCATCTCTGCGAGAGCAAGATCGAGAGAGAGTAGTAGGAGGAGGAGGAGGAGGAGGAGGAGGAAGAGAGGTTGCACCGGTCAATGGTTATGGGAAGAGAGAGCATACGTAATTATAAGAGCGGGGATAGAAAGAGAGAGAGAGAGAGAGCTTAAACAAAGCAATTTCGAATTATGACAAGACGTAGTAAGCAAGTGATCTTGGTTAGGGCGTCACGAAACCAATGCACGCCATGCATCTATTCGTATTCGTTTGTGAATTCTTGATTTTTAGCTGTTGATACTAAAGTTTTTTTTTTTTGGTTGAAGATACTAAATTTTTATTCGGTTGCAATTTTGATGTACTCAATGCGGTGTCTTGAGAATCTCATCGGAAATGACATGACGATGATATGATGTTGGTCGGGGCTCGATGTCGATCCTCCTATTGGAACAATTGACAAAAGAAAATTGGACCAAGAAAAAACAACAAAGAAGGATCGTGATGACCGTCTCGCTATGACTAGCAAAGGATGCGTAACCCGGCTCAGACCTACCTAACCCGTGCTAGGGTCCGACCCTCTCACCGTGATGGGGAGGGGATCCAACGACACCCCCTCGGGTGTGGCGTCTATTGTTGACCCTAAATTAATTTCCATGATTACATTGATCTTTTATAATTGAAGAGCCGATTTATCTAAGCATACTTTGGAATTTGTTATGTGGGCTTTATTAAGGATATCGGAAAAGTATGTCGTCCGCCCAATTTCAATCGTCGAGTTTCACCGGCAATCGAAAAATTAGCCTTTTCAATGTGATGAACGGCTGGTTAAGCTTGTTTGTATTTCATATGAATAAGACTCCTTAGAGTCTTGGGGTTGCTAGATCACGAACCATAGTTGCATAGTCAAAGCTTAAACACTCTTAACGCCTACTCTGTATCAAAATCATTGAGCGAACATCTGTTTTTTGAGAGAGCACTTATAAGCGAGGTGATCATTGTAACCAAGTTGTAAAGGAGAGTCGAACTCTACTAACAACCAAACTTTCTACAAGCTTTCGACCACCGGAACGGGCATAACTCTTGATCGGGTCCGGGTCTCTGTCCCTACTCTTTTTATTTATACGCGCATCACATGTTTGATAAATTGCCTAAGTTATATTCGCGCTTGTTTACTTGAATTCTAAAGCACATTTCAAATATCCGAGCCAACACTTATCCGGAGCCACACGAGCATGATGTGCGCGCGCCGAAAATGCCGTGTAAGCTTTTCGTCGAAAATTCAATCAGGTTTCAATCAAAGTGCATCGATTGCCGAAAAAAATAAAAGTTCAGTGCATTAAGTGACCGAAATCAAACTTTATCGGTTCAATTGTAGAAAGTGCGTCGGTTTAGTGACCTCCGGCGGAACTCGAGAAATCTCGCGATGAAGAAAGGTTAAGGAAATTCGATGGATTCATAATAAGAATAGAAGAGTAAGCAGCAAATGGAGAGTTTTGAGAATGGAAGCAAATGATACTTTTCATTTTGGTTTCTGCTTCATTGTCATATGTGGTTAATCAAGATATGACCGGCACTGTCTTGCCTCCTTGGTAGTTAATAGTTTCATGGTCAACATGGTTTCCAGAAGAGAGATTATAATAGAGAAAAGATATCTAATCTAGGACCGGCGGAGAGACAATGAGTGTGCTTGAGAAGAGAGAATGGACAAAAGCCAAGTTTATTATTCAATTCTTTTTCTTGAGCAAGGAGACTCTTCAGTTACTGACAAATGGCTAATGCACATCACAAGTTTGCTTGGAGATGCCCGGCCAACTTTGACATATCCAAACTTGGTATATATTAGGGGGTGTGCAAAGAAATCGGCAATCTCTCGGAATTAGATCGGACCAACCCAAAATCGGCGGTTTCTATGGGGACCAGTTTGGTTCCCGATTCCAGGCGTGGAACAGCCTGCCCACTCGGATCGAAGCGGATATAAATATAGAATTCCAGTTCACTTTTAGTGAAAAGTGAGCCTTTCTCGCATGCCTTTTACTATTTAATCTATAGTCCTACTCGCATCACGCGGTCCTCAAAATAGAACACACATCAAGATGCTGCCATTTACCCTATAGTCTTTCTCGCCCCACTCACGGGTGTCTCCGCCGAGATTAACATCTCCTACTTGGATGCTGCTTTTCTTGATGTGAGCCTTTCTTTGTTTCTCTCCCATGCCACTTACTCACAAATGCATCTCTTAGAGCTTTCAGTCATAGCTACTGAGCATTGATGTGTATATTCTATTTTGATTGACTCAATATGATATTTGAAGCAACAATATGCACAACATTTGAGACTGTGATGACAGATTTAAGCTGAAAAAAATGGTTTTTCAAAGTCTATTTGGCTTTCTATCAAATGATAAGCAAGATACGTAACCAAATGTCCAAATGGGAGCATTTATCCTAAAATCACATTATCATTTTGTGTTTTATAAACAAGACCCTCATGCATATTTCTTTATTATTCTCACATTTTCCGTTGCAAAGAAGTAGCCATATAGAAATTAGGTTTACCATGGTATTGATTGATGATTGCAAATTTGTAGGGATCCACGGAACCAATGGATGGTTCCCAGTTCTACGGTGGGAACCGTCCACTCGGACTATGCTCACCCCTAGTAAATATCACCAATCTTGCACAAAGTTTTCATTGCTCCACGAGGCAAAAAATGGGGGGAAATTATCGAATCAGTTCTAAGCTTCTTATACAAATGCCAATCAAGTCCTAAACTTTCCAATTTTACTAATGTAATCGTAAACTTTTGTGCGAAATTTTAATGTAGTCCTTCCGGCTTATTGCCGCCGGAAATTGTTGAAGTGGCATTGAATAATTGCTAGCCGTCCCACGTGGCATGTTGACATAGACAACTTGTGAGTCGTTAGGTCAGCATTTTCCGGCGAAAATTGGCCAGAAGGTCTACATTGAAATTCTTTAAATTATTCATTTTTCGCAAAACAAAAAAAAGCGCCTATTTAATCTTTTGTTGACTTAGCTTGGCTTTCTTTGCCATTGGTCCACGTGAAGGCAAATCCTTTGCTCTCTGAACCAATAAGACGGCAAACGTACGTAAAAGTAAGTGATCCATAGCCTTGCCATTCTTGTGCCAACCTTCTACGATGATAAAAGAAAATTCCATTAAAATCCCCCGACAAGATCCAAGGCAAGGCGCTTGAGTCCGCTAATATGTTGGATTCGATCCCGAAATCGGAGTCTTTCTTGGAAATCAGCTGGTGCGCGAACACAGGTGAAAAGCGCATCGATCTCCCATTCTTTATAGACAATATCAAGAAAGTGATCGGTAGCCGTTTCGATGAGAACTATGAATAATTGTATAGCCCAATTCGTTGTTTCCATCGGCGATAGTGGTTTGGGCCTTTCTCGAGTTATCAAGGCACGCGGTATCGGAATTGTCTAAGGATTGGTTCAATCTCCAACAATCGCAGCGTAAAAAGCTCGATCAATTAGTGACTTATTAGAGCCAGCAACCCGAGCCCACGACTGTAGGTTGACGAATCACTTTTAAAAATGGCATTGGAGCGTGATTATGCTAAGGGTTAATACCACGAAAAACCTCAAATCGGTACATTCATGATAAATTTACCACAAATTAATTTTTTGATCATCAATAACCCTAAATTGGTATACATGTGACAATTTTACTTTCTATTAGTTTCCGTTAAATTTTGATGTCAAATTACCGAGTTCGATTACACGTGACAGTTGATGGATATACTGGTTTGGGGTTTTACCTCTCTGTTTGTCACATGTTTATCAGTTTGTGATTTTTTTTTATATTAATCCAATTTATCGGAGAGTAAAATATGTTACAAGTGTATCAGTTTGAGATTTTTGGTGGTCAAAAAATTAGTTTGGAGTAAATTTGTTACAAGTGTACAGGTTTAGGATTTTTGGTGATTTCAAAATTAATTTAGATAAATTTATCATATATTTATCGATTTGGGGTTTTTCGTGATATTTATCCAAAAATAAAAGTGGAAGTAATTGGAATATGAGTTGCTTACCATAAAAGCAGCACAAAACGCAAGCGTGACGAATTAAATTTTCCTAGTCCACGAATATCTCCATTTCCGGCTTCTTTTGCTTCTCCTTAATCTCCGACATCTAACGCCGACCACTCCCTCCCGCGATGGCGAGACGAGGAACCATCACCCACGTCGTCTTCGACATGGACGGCCTCTTGCTCGGTACGTTCGTCATACCCTTTTGCGAGATTCCTTTCGATGGAGCTCTAGATCCCGGTTCTTTCTTGTGGGCGTGGCTCTTGTTGTGGGCTGAACATAACCCAGTTGGAATGCGGCGAAAGTTTCGGTGTGTTTCGATCGGGAATGTGGTCAATATGTATGTGTGTGTGGCGCTGTCTGTGGCTTCTTCGTAGAAAGTGGTAGTTCTGTTTGTGTAAGTCAATGCTCATTTAGCCTCCGAAAGTATGGGAGATTTGGAGGGTCGACCTTGAACTCACGAATTTTCTTGATTCCGTATAATTAAGGGCATGTGTTGTTTGGTGAAGTGGGAATGGGAAAAGAGAACCCTGTTTACACGGAATTAAGTTCCCGAGAATAAGATCCTCTTTCAGTTGCTCGGTTTGCCAATGGAATTGACCTTGGAAAGATTGTGGGATATAGTACATTGTTTTAAGATGTAGGAATTCAGTGAAGGATTTTATTAGAATGCTGAGGATGGATATACATCTTAGAACCATTGTTGTGGTGAGTAATTATATGCTGATTGCAAAGATTTTTGGCTAATAAGCTGAAGTTGGCGATTGAAAAAGTTATTTTCAATTATCAGAATGCTTTAATTCATGAAGAAAAATTATGAATGCTGTTTTAATTGCTAATGAGTGCTTGGACAGCAGGATTAAGGCTAGCAGTATAGGAATAGTTTGCAAATCAGACGTTTGGAAAAAACATTTTACCATGTTAATTGGGTCTTTTTACTATATCAATGGGACAAAATTGCATTGGAGCTAAGTGGAAGAAGTTGATTGAAGTCTGCATTTCTACTGTGAAATCCTCTGTCTCAGTGAATAAGCTTTCTTTAAGAGTGTTCTTGGAGCAGTAGAGGGATGATATACATGCGTTAATGCTATGGAGAGTGAAGTAGGTTAGGTTCGACTCACATCTCTTATCTGCTAAAGATGCACTAGCTTTTGCCATGTCATCAACATCAACATGATGTTTTGATGGAGATATACTAAGATTTGACATGCTTGCTCCTCTGTTATGAACCTAAGTCTGCTTGAAAATTAATGTAAACATATGGGGCAGTCTTGCCAACACTTTGGGTTGTAAAGTTGGTTTGTGCCAATGAATAGTCTTCCTTTTGGTGTTTGTCGCCACAAATCTGTTTGGGGAGGCAATGTAGAGAGCATGGAAAGGAAGCTAGCAAGTAGAAATAACGTCTATTCCTCAATGGATAGAAGGTTATTACATTGAGAGTAAATCATCAATTCCTTCATATTTCCTTGTGTCATGTTCCTTCTTAATGGCAAACAATCCAGAGGTCATGGAAAGAAGTTTTTGTTGGGAGATGAAATCAAAGGCCATAAATTTCATTTGATTAGTCAAAAATGCTACTTTCAGTCCTCTCAAGAAAGGTAGACTGGGTATAAGAAGTCTCGGGACTGCTAATAAGGGACTTTTGGGGGAATTCCGATAGAGATTCGCAGCAAATGATGACAGCTTGTGGAAAATCGATTTTGGTCTCAAAATATGGACTGGATGTTTGTGGTTGGTGAACCAGAATAGGTCATGATTATAGTCTTTGAAAACACATCTGGAAAGGGTGGGAAACTACTTTTCCTTAAGAATTGGACTAGGGAAGGAAGTTCCCTTCTTCATGATATTTGGTGGGTAAGCAACGTCTGAATGTCCCTTACCCAGAATTCCATTTGCTTCTGGTAAAGATGCTCTTGTAGAATCTGTGATGTGACAAGTGGATAACCTTCTGTTCTCAAGTTGTACTAGGGAAGTTAAGAGGCTGAGAGTTGGAGGGGATCTCACTTTTTTGATCTGATATTATTCCATGGGAATATTAAGAGGTTGACTATTTGGAATAAAACTTAAACAAGAACCTCAACCTTAACTGCAAATACCATTACAATGCTTTAGGAGTGGATTGTCGCTGTGAATTTTGCGGACAAATTCTGAAAGTTGCACGTACAGACTAAGGTTGCTTTGTTTGTAAGGACAACGATCTTGGAAAGGATACATTGTAATGGAGAATTTGATAAAAAGATGATTTCTTGTAGCTAATTGCTGTTATATGTATCTTAAGTCAGGGTAAATGGTCGATTATCTTTTAGTACATTATGAACTGCACAAGCTAGTTAAAATTCAGAGATATCTTTGCCGGGTCATAGTCAGTAATTCCACATATCAGAAAACGGAACTTTTTCCTTGTTGGCACTCAAGTTTGATTGCAACATTCTGTAGGGTGTCCCTCACAGCATTAATTTTTTGAAAAATTCGTTTTACAGTAATTGGAGAACATTTCAGGTTGAGGTGCAGCAAATTTAGACAGTGAATGGAACAGCGACTATCTTTGCATCATTTCACATGTAATAATTTTGTTTCGTTGTAAATCTGTGTCGATGTCTCAATCCCATCCTTGCCCATACTTCCTATAAACTGTTGTTAAGTAAACTATCTTATTTGTCAAAAACAAGAAAAAAGGATAGTAGAATAGAGTAGGAAAATTTGAACTGAGTCTAGAGAGTGTTTTTAGCTTGGCCATATTCTCAAGTTTTGGAGATAAACAGTTAATGTTTCAAAATCACATATTCCAGGATTGCCATTGATTATTAACTATAAATAAAGCATCTATCCAGCACAATATCACAAAGTCAAAACTCTCTACTAAAAGAGTCTTACTAATATTGGAAGTAGAGGTTGGCGTGTGTAAGAACTGTTTGTCTTCAATATGCATTCTCTACGCAAGTTGTTCATGAACTTCATATCAAAATATGCAAGCATTGTCTATTTATTAAGTTCGCTGTTCTTGCTCCATTCTAATCTTTCCTGGTGTGGTTAAATGTTAAAAAAGGATGTTGAACTTCGCATTTGACAAAAACTGAGACCCTTTTTGATATGCTTGATAAATCAATTGCCATTTATGCTCTAACTGTCTCATTTGCTTGGATGAATTTCCTGTCCCATTTTTTTTATTGTTTTTTTGAAGTAACTATGCACAAGAGCCATTAGTTCCCAGTTTCTCGGGAAAGGAGCAACATTTAAGGGGCATTCTGTTGCTGTATGCTGCAGATACGGAGAGTTTTTACACAGAAGTCCAGGAAATTATACTTGCAAGATATAATAAAACATTTGATTGGTCTCTCAAGCCAAAAATGATGGGCAAGAAAGCAATTGAAGCTGCTCGAGTCTTTGTTGAAGAAACTGGAATCAGTGATGTTCTCACTGCTGAGGACTTTCTAGTGGAAAGGGAAGAGATGTTAAAAACAATGTTTCCCACAAGTGAGCTGATGCCAGGTATATCTCATTGCAGTATCATACTTTGGAAACTTTGTATGTTTGTTCTTATAAGTTTCAATCTTACCATGTAATGCAGTTTCATATAATTAATCTTGTACTCATTTTAGGGGCTAGCCGCTTGATCAGACATCTTCATACAAAAGGGATACCAATCTGCTTGGCAACAGGGTAACAATTTGATCAAACAATCTTCTTTCCTTTTTATGTTTGGATGGTGTTTGGTGAGAGATTAACAACAAACAACAGCAAAAACAACAAAAGCAGCAAAACATCTTTCTGGTATTTGTTGAGATTTGAGAGAACAAAGAAAAAGCGAAGTATTGTATGAATATTCAACTTTTGGGCATCATACATACACTTCTTTTGCATTTCTCGGATGGCATTAAAATGTCAATCTGACATGTACTTCACAGTTCCCATCAGCGCCATTTTGAACTGAAGACTCAAAGACATGGTGAACTTTTTTCCTTGATGCATCATGTGGTGCTTGGTGATGACCCAGAAGTCAAACAAGGAAAGCCATCGCCAGATATATTCCTGGCAGCAGCCAGGAGATTTGAGGTAATGGCTCTCTGATGGGTGCTATTCGGTCAATCTTTTTCTGTTCACTATTTGTCCAAATAATGCAACCGTTCTACAGACTTACATTGGTATGACATAATGTTCAATTTTGTGGATTAACAGGGTGGACCGGTTGATCCGCTCAATATTCTTGTGTTTGAAGATGCTCCAGCAGGAGTTAACGCGGCTAAAAATGCTGGGATGTAAGTGAACTTGTTGATAGTGAATATTCTTCTTAATTATCTTGGAAATTGTTGAACTGCGATGCATATCATGCTATAATTTTGGAAAGGTCATTTTTAGATTACCGTGAGGGCTTAGTCATGTTTGTTATCTTTTTCGTTTGTTCTATCATTATTCATTAGAGTATTCTACAGTTTCACAGATGTTAGATGTTCTATGCGTAGTTTAATACCTGGAACTATGTACCTTGAGAAAAGTAAGCAGCGCAGGCAGACATTGCCCGGAATTACTATTTTTAAGAAAAAGTTACAGGTTTACAGAGAAACAGGGAGCATGTTGGTCATTACGGAGTTTCATGGTAATCACTCAATTAAAAAGGAGGATTAGTTTTTTTTAGTCGAAAAAAAGGAGGATTAGTTGAGTTAGGCCTAGATCTACGTATCCCGTTCTAACTATTTATATGTAGGAGAGAGAATGAGATTGCTCATGGGGTAAGTGAGTTGGAAAAACAAGAGGAGGAAAAACTGTGCAATTTAGAAAGCTGTGAATGAAAATCTTTACAGCACTTACGTTTTCCAACAAATTCATCAACTAAGAAACTTTGGCAATTGTTTTTAAGTGGTATTACACATGAAATCTTTGTTCTCAAAGTGCTTTACTCTGATTTGGTGGCGATCTTGTGTCATTGTGATGGACTGCCAATTCATTAGTCTTTTTCAATCCTGAAAGCAGAAAAAAACAGTTTCAACTGATAGCAAAGTACCATCATGAAAGTTCCCACTGTGCTTGAGTTCGTAGGGGCAATGACTGAAATGACATTCAGTCCATTCTTCCACACTATAGTTCGTAAAATAAATTCCGAAGCTGGTTGATACATCTGAAGGCAGAATAGTGGATATGCTTGATTCAATTATAAGGTTGTCATCAAGTTTGAATAGTCAGATTATGTTCAGACTGGCTGCTTCTGCTGATTCTTCTTGCAGGGTAATGCTTGAAGTATGACAATCTTTGATTCAAAATTTGGTTGAACTGTTGCAAATAGTAGGAAGTCTAATCTCCTTTCAAATTCAATGCAGTCAAATAGTTGAGGACATTGTATAAATTTGTACTTTTGAAAGTTCATTTGCAACAACCATAACAACTAAAGAATCATCCTTATAAAACTTTAATTTGGAATATCACATGTATTGATGCAGGGAAGTTCCATGAAGTGGTTATTTCTGATCTACTGGATTGCTGAACAATCAACTTTTAGTATCTTTATGAATTTCATCATCGTTAGCCTTAGTCTGGAATAATAAGCAGAGAAAGGTGATTCTAACTGAACTCAGGGATGTGAACAGTGGCGTGCAGTAATGTAGGGCTTGATCACATATTTTAGGCTGTACAAGACATTATGGGGTCTAAATTTGGGATCGCTGTCTGGGACTTTCGAAGTAGAAGGTAGAATTAGCTAAATGTTCTGGTACTGAAATTTGTAGTGCAATGTGGCTTTAGATGATCCACCCCCATGGTTTTCTTTTTCTCCTGCTATTACATTTTCCCTCCAGCTGAACTTAATTCTTCCAAATGAGGTACGTTCCTTTATTAGCTGCCCTCATTTCATTCTTTGTTACTCAAATGATTCATAGTGCATTTGGTTGCTCTATTTCGTAGATCTCTTCTTTTCTCTTATACCTTGGCCATTTTGATTTCTAATGAGGAATTTTCTTGCATCTAATCTGCTGTTCCTGCTGTTAATATCAAAACATTGCAGCATTGGATTGTTTGGATTTATCTCTTGCTCCCTCTGCTAATATATTCCTATACATTTGGCAGGTTTGCGGTTATGGTGCCAGATCCCAGGCTCGATAGCTCTTATCATGATTCGGCGGACCAAGTATTGAAATCTCTGTTGGATTTCAATCCATCGGATTGGGGTTTACCCCCCTTTGACAAAGAGAAAAGCTGAGAATTCATCTGAAAGTCCATCAGACTATATGCAACGGCATCTCATGTCTATTCATTTACGAAAGATGGAGGGTGATTTGGGGGTTATACTTTATTTGGATTACCAAAATGCCATTTTTCCCGCAATGGTAGCAATCTGTTGTTCCAAAGCATTATCGAGCTCACATGTGAGAATCATGTTCTGGATGTGGAATGCCCATTTGCTATTTAATAAGATGACAAGTCTCCATTAGTTTGACATGAATTGGCCTCAGTTGTTTGAAACAGATGCTTGTTCTGTGAATAGCTAACAGAAGCTTTCGCAATGTCATGGACTCGTTCTTCATTTCCACCACTAGCAGGCACCGAAACCTATCGTCGGAATGAGTGCCAAGACAGCTAAGCGAACGGGCTTTCGCCGGACAAGAAGATAAAACTAAATTTGCAAATTAAAGGGTGCCATTTCATTTAAGTTTGGTGGCATGTTTAGGACCCAAGAATGAACTGATGCAGATATTCATTCAAGAATCAGTCACAAGTCAAAAGCAACAAAGCACACAGTCCACAAGCATCTAAGCAATTGAACAGAAATTGAAGATCGCGATGTACACGTCGGTGGATTCATGGGCCTCCTCGGCTGCTGAGGAGATGAAATGGTCCTTCTGTCGCTATTCGCGACCCCAATTGCTTCAAGCTCAAGCTGAAGCTTCCCTCTTCCATCTTTTCTTGTTCTTTGCCGAGAGGAAACGAAGAAGGAAGAGAGAGGAAATGCAGAGAGATAGAGAGGGGGGGGGGGGGGGGGTGTGTTCTATATAAGAAAAATTATTATCACGATGAAAATTGCTAAGTAGCCCTCAGCAATTTCCCTATTTTTGGAGAAGAACCAATTATCATTCGCTCGCGGGAAAAAATTGGTGGATGATTGATATAGTCTTTTTTCGTTAAAGAAATGATATTTTGCGAAATTCGATTATCAAGATCTGTAGTCTGTTAAAGAAAAAAAATGGAATGCTAATTTGCCCCCTGTTATTTTATGGACATTGATTTCTACGTGATATTTGAGATGCCCTACTATTGAATTTCCTTATGTATAAAAAAATCACCAATTACTTTTATTGATTAATTAATTAGAGTGATGATTAGAGAATATTATGGTGCGTTCGTTTCACGAAAATTTTAAGATTTGGAGAACATTTTTCAAAAAATAATTAGTTATATCACTTAAAAAAATTAGTCAATAAAAAATATTTTTATCATAAAAAAATTGATGTGGGACTATTTTATTGGATGATGTAATTTATTCATTTTTGTAAGCGATACAACCAAATAATTTTTGAAAAAAAAATTTCAAATTTTTAATTTTTCGTAAAATAAACGCACCCTTAAGTGTGTTTTCTTCTTCTTACTGTTGATTGAAAAAGTAAAATTGATCGATAATTTCATGGGGAGCGACGAGTCGCCTTAGAGAAGGAAGAAAGGATGATAAATTAACAAAATATTTTTATTTAATTCATTTTATTGACCCTAATTTTTTTTTATTTTTTTCCGTTTTCAAAAATTCGGGAGAAAAAGTCATCAAATAGACTTCCGAAATAATTACCTCGGATCACCCACGCGCCTTGGCCGCGTCCGACGAACGCGACGAAGTCCAACGGCCCCTTTCTATAAATATAAGATCCGACCCGCCTCTGATTCAAGATCATCATCTCACTTCTTCTTCTTCTTCATCCTCTCTCTGTCTCTCTCACCTGCGAACTAGCTCTCCCTTGTCATTCTCAACCTCTCTGCTCTCTGAAATCTCTCTCTCTCGCTCTCTCTGTGTCGGCGCCTCTGATTTGAGGGCACAGCGAGAAACAGTGACGACGACTCATACCCATCATCAACGCTCGGTCCCTCTTTGTGGGTCTTCCTCTGTCCCTTGAAATTTCCCCTTTTTTTTTTTTGGTTGCAGGATTTCGACCCAGCTCCTCTGCTGCCGGGACCATGGCTTCACAGGGCGAGAAGGGTTCTCTGGATCCTTACCAGGAATACCTCCGCAAGAAGAACTCTCGAGAAAACGTAAGCTTTTGGTTTTTTGGATTTTTCATCGTTTACAGAGACCTTTTTTTCAGAATTGTTCGTTTTCTGGTTATGAATGTTCTGCGGATGAAGGGTTTTGATGGAGACTCGAGTTGCAATGCGAGTTCTCTAGGGCTATTTATTTCATGATGCTATTGAGTGATATTTGCGAAATTATACAGGGCTTCTTACGACTTTTCTGTCGCCATTCTCTTATAACATTCATCGCAGACACAGAGAAACCATACGGTACTTTTCTTTGAACAAAAACAGAGTTATGATTAATTCCCTCTTCTTTTACGAGGATTTACGAGCAATTTTGCCATTTTTTTCCTTCTTCTTCTTGTCGGTAAGTTCCAAATAGAATTGTTCCCTTCTAATTCTGTGATCTTTTTTATTTTATCACAGTTGGATAGATTCATCCCGAACCGCTCAGCTATGGACTTCGACTACGCTCGTTCCCTCTTCACTCTAGGGAAGAAGTGGAAGGAGAAGTCTGCCGTGATGTCAACATCAAGTGACGCGTACCAGAAATTTCTCGCGGATGCACTCGACATGAACCGATCCCGGATCCTGGCATTTAAGAACAAGCCGCCCACCCCGGTTGAGCTAATCCCACAAAGCTGGCTCTCACCCGCGACTTCCCAGTCTAAATCCGCCAAGCCCTGTCGATCGATACCCAAGGTAGCCTAAAATTCATGCCTATTACTGTTTCTTCTATTCGCTACGTAAAACTTGACAACCAAGTTAGCATTTGTTTCATGGAACATAAGTATGTACTGGCTTTGCTTGTGCTGTCAAAGACTGTAGGGTTTGTGTTTTGACATATTTTCTTTGGTTTGTCGATTGATAAGACCTGCCAGAGGATGCTCGAAGCCCCTTATATATTGGATGATTATTACTTGAACTTGCTGGACTGGGGTGCCAACAACATGGTAGCAATTGCTCTTTCGCAGTCAGTGTACTTGTGGAATGCCTCCAACGGCTCTGCTACAGAACTGGTGACCTTCAATGACGAGGAGGGTCCTGTCACGAGCGTGAGCTGGGCTCCTGATGGTCAGAATATTGCCATTGGCTTACAAAATTCGCATGTCCAGCTATGGGATTTCTCTGCTCAAAGACAGGTAAGCTGGTTGCTTGTTGTTTTGATAGCATTAGTGTTTCGTCTGTGGCTGACGGGATCTTATTCAGGCTGCGTTAATTGCTTTTTATTTTCGTTTCCTCTCGTGCAGCTGAGAACTTTTAGAGGAGGCCATCGACTCCGAGTTTGTTCCTTGGCCTGGAACAATCACATACTCACGACAGGAGGTATGGATTGTAAAATCACCAACAACGATATAAGAATTCGATCGCACATAGTTGGAACCTACAGGGGGCATCGCCAAGAAGTTTGCGGGCTGAAATGGTCGCCCTCGGGAAAACAGCTGGCTAGCGGAGGAAAGGATAATCTCCTCTACTTGTGGGATAGGTCCAGATCCTCTTTGAATTCAGGCACTCAGTGGCTTCACAGGATCGAAGACCACACGGCTGCTGTGAAAGCCCTTGCTTGGTGCCCGTTTCAGAGCAACTTACTGGCCTCGGGAGGGAGCGACGGGAGCATAAAATTTTGGAACACGTGCACGAGCGCGTGTCTGAATACAGTGGATACCGGTTCTCAGGTGTGTGCGCTGCTGTGGAGCATGAGGGAGAGGGAATTGCTAAGCTCTCACGGGCTTCCTGAGAACCAGCTCATTCTTTGGAAGTATCCATCTATGGGAACGATGGCAGAGCTGACTGGACACGCATCTAGGGTTCTGTTCCTGGCACAGGTATTACTTGTATGCTGCTTATCATATTCATCCGTAATTCGGTGCAAATACTTTTGAAGTTTTCTTGTAGAGTTGATCGTTTTGCTGATACTCGTTGCCACATACTTGTTTTGCAGAGTCCGGATGGATGCACGGTGGCATCTGCAGCAGCAGATGAAAAATTGATGTTCTGGCATGTATTCGGGATACCAAAATTGGCTAAGCGGGCACCCAAAACCTCTTCTGAGCCATTTGCCCATCGGCACCGTATCCGTTGAACTCTTTAACAGATTGACCAGTGCAAGTTGATATTTCGACAAGAGATTGTCGCGTAAGTGTAGTTGCAAACTGATCGGCCATAAATATTCAATTTGAAAATTGCTATTTTTCTCCATTTAATTTCTTTCTCTTGTTTGGATTGGCTGGAGACCACAAGGCATGTGTCGATGATTACAGTAACTATTTTAAAGAAGAAACTTAATACATGGGCTGTTGGGTGAGTTCACGATGTTCTTCTCTTGTCATTGATTCTTCATATTGAGAGTTAGACATACTAAGAGCTTGGTGTTTTATCCATCATAAGCTGTAAAAACCCTCTATTGCAGGTATCAGCCTCCATTACCTGTTGAGATGGTGAAGACATCATTAGAGCTTTATTATGAGGGTGGAACTTCAAGAAATTATTTCGTCGCTATTGTCTGTCGGTGACTGTTACGTTGTTTCTCTAGGTTTCTTCTAATTATATTCGTCATTTAAATAGGGGGATCACCTAATGGGCGAGGAAGAGGTCGCAGTGGCGCAGGAAGACCAAGAGGTAGAGGTATTGCATTCACAAAACTGAACATTTTTTTAGATCACATGGAAGGGAGTGTTTTAGATATAGGATCTTGCATCATGGTTAACTAAATCGTATCATTCTCTGTTGTAATGGCACCAAAATGCTAATGTACTTCTTTGAGGAGTATGCCGATGGGCATATACCCTCTGCTTCATCTGCAATCCTCTAAATGTTTGCTTTCTGGTTACAACCTATAATATTGCTTGTTTCAGGGAATGGTTTTGTAAATTCTGAGATGACGATGGAGGTTGGGACCACGACCAAGGTTATGCTAGAGGTAGGGTCGAGGAAAAGGACATGGTTTTCATGGCTGCGGATGGGGAGGATACGATGGACCTCATGCTGATCCACAGCAAGACAGAGGATACAACCAAGAACCACCTGTTTAGAACTGCGGTACTCTTTTAATCATTCTTTTTCCTCACGGACATTTGATACAAGTTTCATTAATGTTTAGGGTCTACTCATGTACTGAACTTGATATAGTTTTGAGGATAGTGCTACAGCCATGTGTTTTGAATATCTAGATTTTCTGTTCCACATTTAAATGGAGTGAAGATTCAAAATTTGTATGCGATGATTGTTTGGATCCACTGATTTCTTGGAACTGAAAGAAAAAAAGGTCATGGCAAACTTGATCATGGTAGATTATGAACATCCCGGACATAGTTGAATTGCCTTTTGAGTTCCATGTGAGATGGTGAAAAAGCCTGCGAAGATATTTATCTGTATCTATCAATACCCGTGTATACAGGTTGTAGCTGTGGAAGGGGAAATCGCGGAAGAGGCAGTGATCACAGATCAAATGGACCGATTCAGGGAACTGCATAATTGTCACATTTTCTTTTTGTCATTTTCTGTTCCGCATTTAAATGGAGTCAAGATTCAAAATTTGTATGCGATTTGTTTGGATCCACAGATAAATTGGAACTGAAAGAAAAAAAGGTAATGGAAAACTTGATTATGGATTATGAGCATCTGGGACAAAGTTGAATTGTTTTTTGAGTTTTTTGTGAGATGGTGACAATTCCGGTAAAGATATTGATATGTATCTGTCCATGCCTGTGCATGCAGGTCATGGCTGTGGAAGGGGAACTCGCGGAAGAGGCCATGGTCACAGATCAAATAGACCGATCCAGGGAACTGCATGAGTTGCACAATTCATTCCTGAAGATTGCTATTCTGATTCGCGCTTCCTCCTTTGTTATTTTCTGTTTTACCCCGACCAATGTTGTGGGTAGGTTCTGTTCGTTTAATAATTTTAGACTTGATAGGAGGTTAGGTTCTTACGGCCATTCTTTCTGTGTTGTAGAGATAGGTGATAAGTTGGGGATGGCTTTAGGTTCTTTTGGCCATTCTTTCTGTATTGACTTGTAAATTTTGATTGAGCAGCACATTCTTTTATTCTAAATATGAAGGACAGAGAAGTGTCACTTTAATTTTCAATTTTGAGCTGGGGATGGCTTTAAATCGTCCCTGGATTGTGGTTTTATAGTGGTTTATAATGCTGCAGTTAAAAATGAACGGGGGACTACGATGAGGTGTTCAGCTTTTGTTTGCTTTATATCCTACGAGAATCTGATAGGAGCAATTCTGTCCTAACACTTAATGGGCATGTCCATCCAGTTGGGTCACAAACTAAAAGCTGTGTCCAAATGAATGCAAGGAAGAGATATGAAGGAGGAAACAATCACTAAAGAGGCGGGTGCAAAGGGCATATCTTTGCACCGTTGTCATATGGTTACATGGTATCTTGTGGAAATAGGGCTATGCCCTTACATAAATATTTCGGTAGGCAAATGGAAAAGTCGCGTCTTCTATTGAGAGCGTAATGTGCCCCGAAATGGAAAAAGGTGACTAAAAGAAGTGATTAGTTGAGCTGGTAATGATATTTGGATTTTTCAATATGAAGCAAGAACCTTTTATACCTAAGTGAGATATGAAGTCTACTAATCAAGGCAACCGACAACAATCACCACCGTGAAAATTGAAGCAATAAGAGAGGGGTCAAAGAGAACAGCCACACTGAGATCGGAGGAAGTGAAAAGAAAGAATCATGGGGCAATGGTTCGCTAACAAACTTCTGAAGTCAAGAGTAACAAACAACACGCAAAACTATGAAGACACAAGATCCTTCTTCTACAAGACACTAAATTACAACTTCAAACAAATCATGTCTTAACCACTTTTTCTAAGAGATTATACCAATTTGGGTAGGCATGTACAGTGGATCGGATTGTGATTGATGGGATTGTCCATAAATTTGTTTTGAAAAATAGATGTTTGTTAATTTTTATTATTGTGTGTTTTGCTTTCAAGGCGCTCAAGGCCATGTTTTGTTGAAATTTTCCACTCAAGGTTAAATTGATCTACATGACATTTTTTTGACTTAGCTGGTTGATGTTTACTCATTTAGTTGTGTTGTAAATGGACTTCAAGAATGGCATGTTGTGCATCTTGTGATATTGAGCTATTGTGATCTCGACTTAAATTGAAAAGTTTTGTAAATGCCTAGATTGTGTTTAAATGATTACCAAAAGGTATTGTTGGATCTTGGATGGGAAAAAAGTGAAAATGGTATAACTAGACCTAAAAGTGGCAGTTAAGTAATTTGTGACATGTGCTAGGAGGAATTTTGTAAAATTGGCAAAAATGAAAGGGCTCTTTGAATACTGTTATTTTTTGTTTGTGGATTGTAAAGTTAGATCACACATATGAAATCAAACCGATTGATGTCATGTATGTCCAGTACAATTAAAAAAAAAAAAATCTCAAAGGCTGCTAAGAGATGTATTAATCTCACCTTGCTAAATGACATCGATGAGAGTAGAAAGTAGAGGAAATAAAGGGTCATAACAATGATGAGCATAACTTGGTTTTCTGTAGTGACAATCGAACTTGGGGTGATGGGGAGAGGGTATCTAGGATAGGAGAAGTAAGAGACAAGCTGGAGACAAAGCAAGATAAAAAACAAGTGATTTCAAGTTCTAGAGGAGAAAGCATTGAGGATGATGAAGAGGATTCAGACGAAAGCTGAAGGTTGCAGGTCTAGTGATGGAGGGGATGAGAGAATGGATGGTGTGGATGATGAGGAGGATGCGGTTGATATTGATGAATATTATAGGTTATTCTAGAATTTAGAGATTGGGATTATGAAGCATATTGTATCTTCACAGAAAGTGAAGTCCCACCATGTCTTTTGGTAACGCAAACCCTCAATGGTGGCTGCATTAACCTTGGGAGCAAGCTATACTTCAAAATAGGCAGAGGCTCATCTGAATGAGCCGTTCTCTCATGGAATAAAACTGCTATTGAGGCTACTAACGCGGGAACTCTGCATAACAAGCTGATTAACAGCACTCGAATTTTCAACTTAGAGGAAAACTCCATTTCTTTATTGCCGGTAGTTCTAGGTGGTGATGTTCTTGAATAAACGACACCCATTAATCCTACTCTAGCAAGCAGTGATTCCCCAAATTGTTTGTGAGCTAATCTCCTCCAAGATATACATCTCAAGACCCTTTCACATCAGTTTTCTTCACCAAAAGATTCTCAAGCGGAGTGCCCGCTGCCGCTTTGGCCGCATCACCATCTCTTGTCTGCAGCAATTCGAGGCCACCACGCCCTGGAGGCTTAGGTCCTTTGTGGGGATGACAAGTCAACCCCCTAGAACAAAGACAGTTGATTTACCAGAAACGCTTTGTGACTATCATACCTATGAACCGAAAGCATAGAGTTGTGCTTCGCAATTCCGTCTCCAAGTTTCTATATCTCAATCACTGTTATTTGACTGTATTAATAACTTTACCTTCTATTATCATTGATGCCGAACACGAACTAAAAACCAAATGAAGTTATCTGGATAAGAATAATAAATATTGTCCATGAGATTCTAGACCTACCTTAGAACATACGATAAATCAACGGAATGCCCTTTTCTGAATACTATTATGTTAAATTACGTATACAGTGAGTGCATGAAGTGAGCCAAATTGTGTAAGAGAGAGAGAGAGAGAGATCTAAAGCAGAAATATAAGAAATGCTTTGCAGATTTGTGCATGACATTAAGGGGGCCAAGCGATCTCCAATGATCATATTCACGAATAGCGAAATCTATCTATCTACATACTTTAATTTACAATCTAATCCACTACACATACCTACCCAAATTGATGTAAACTCCCATCTAAATATTCACTTGCAGCTCCGAAAGAACAGATCTCCCATGTTAATTAGGCAAATAGCCTGGAAATTTGATGCACCAGTCACTCCCTCCCAAGGCCAGCAAGTTGCCCTGAAACAGGCACCAAGCAAGGAGCTTTTACTGCAGCCGTGTGGGCTTCGATTCTGTGAAGCCACTGAGTGCTTGGATTCAAAGAGGCCCTGGACCTATCCCACAAGTAGAGGAGATTACTGTTTCCTCCACTAGCTAGCTGTTTGCCCGAGGGCGACCATTTCAGCCCGCAAACTTCTTGGTGATGTACCCTGGAGGTTTCGACTATGTGGGATCTAATTCTCACGTCATTGTTGGTGATCTTACAATCCATGTCTCCTGTCGTGAGTATGTGACTGTATCAGGCCAAGGAACCAACTCGGAGAGTTGATGGCCTCCTCTTCAAGTTCTCAGCTGCATGGAGGAAACGAAAATAAAAGCTAAATAGGCAGCCTGAATTAGAACCCGTCGGCCACAGATGAAACACTAATGCTATCAAAACAACGAGCAACCATCTTACCTGTCTTTGAGGAGAGAAATCCCACAGCTGGACATGAGAATTTTGTAAGCCAATGGCAATATGCTAACCATCAGGAGCCCAGCTCATGCGTGTGACAAGACTATCCTCGTTATTGAAGGTGACCAGTCTTGAAGTAGAGCCACTGGAGGCATCACACGAGTACACCGACTCCGAGAGAGCAATTGCTACCACATTCTTGGCACCCCAGTCCAGCAAGTTCAAGTAATAATCATCCAATATATCAGGGGCATCAAGCGTCCTCTATCACGTATATCAATTAAAAAAACGAAAGCAGTATGTTCATAGCTGTGGGTGAGAGTTAGCTTCGCAGTATTAGGTCTACCGGGGATGGCGGCTTGTCCTCCAAGGCCAAGATTCAGGATCGGCTCATGTTAAGTGCCTCTGTGAGAAGCTTCTGTAACGCCTCACTCCATAGTGAACCAGACTTCTTCCACTTCTTCCCTCCAGTAAACACGGAACGAGTGTAGTCGAAGTCCATAGCTGAGCAGTTCGGGATGAATCTATCCAACTGTGGTCAACAACATATCACAGAATTTTAAGGAAACAATTCTGTCAGAACCTTCATTATAAACAAGAGAAAAAAACAAAACCACTTCTTAGTGGAATTAATCTTAACTTTTTTTTCTTTAAATAAACATACATGTAAACTTCTCTGTCTGCGATATATTGTTATCGGAGAAAGGTGACAGAGTACTAAGGCCTGTAAGTAGACACGTTTCGTGCATGTCACTCAATAACAAATGGAATAAAAGCCTAATTGAGAATTTCCATTGAAACTCAGGTCTCAAAACCCATTTCGTGCAGAATATCTACTACCAAAAAACCACAATTCTGAAAAATCTCTGTATATGATACAAAAGAAAAGACTCGAGCTATTCTCGAGATTTCTTCCTCTAGAGGTATTCTTGGAGAGGACCCCGAGACGGATGCAGAACCAATTCTTCGTGGTGCACTCTTCTTTGATCGTTTCATATCCATGCGATGAACAAAGAACAACAGGCGGTTGCTGAGGGGTTTGACAATTACAGGTGAGATGTTCACTCCGTTTCAATGAACAATCGTCCGTTACCTTCAAACCCAGCCTTGTGTGTATACAATAATCAGTTCTGCAGTGCAAAAAAGGCACATTGCAAAATCCAGTAGCTTGGATTGAAGAAAAAAGAGTCAACACAATTAGCTTTAGGCTGCAATTTGATTTTCCGAAACTCTTCACAAGTGGGAATAGTACAATTAAGCTCCCAATTTCTCCCCTAACAAGCCATGAACCTATGTCTCTATTCGTCTACATAGTTTGAGTTCCAGAGTCAATCCTCTTATTAAGACACGACTATGCTGCCACGTATCCACTACTTCTAGAAGCTTGTATAAAATGATTACAAGGATACAACTGTATTGCATGCCACTTAATATGTGAAGCAGCATGAAGCTTTTGCAAAGACTAAAGCATTGCCAGGCTTGCCATACGAACCACTGACACTCCTAAGACTTTTAGGTAGTTTTCTCGCCCTACTTCAGATCCTCCTAAGATTAGCAGATAGACAAAAAAAAAAATCATTCATCCATCTTTAAATCCTCTTAAGAATAGATCCAACACCTGCAGATTAACAGATGAACATACACATGAAATGTAAAATCTGACCTTGTTACTTCATTTAATTCAAATAACTGGCATTGGGATGTATGTAGGACTGTTTTGGAAAGCCATTTTGGATAAATAACCCACTCATAGCTTTAGATTAAGCACGTGAGAGAAATAATCTCTCTCTCTCTCTCTCTCTCTCTCTCTCTCTCTCTCTCTCTCTCTCTCTCTCTCTCTCTTATGAAGTAGGTAAGATAAGAATAAAAACCCTAACGGATGTCCAAACTCAAGGCCATTTGCATTTGCCAGTGTGATGAAATGTCATAGTGCAATCGTGAATATGATGAAAATGAGCATCGATAATATGGAAATTGAACATGATTTTAAATGCCTATGGATGTCCCTTGAATCTTCACGAATAATTACAGTCAAACACGCTGATCCACGTCTTTGAAACAATGAAATATTAATATCCATAAGCATGATATAAAGCACTATAGCTAATTCCAAGGGGAAGATCTGGTGAGGACCATATGTTAGCACATTAATTGGAGAAAAACAGATGCAGCAAACTTTTTCTCAACTGTCTAAGATGTCTAGGACTAGGAGCTCCATGTTCTAAGGTCATACTGCTAATGGTAAAAAAAGGGGAAGGAAAAAACAAAGGCCATTGACATAGCAATAACATACCTTTAACATGGATCTTAAGGTTTAAAGCAGTTGCTTTAGGACGTACAGAACACAAATGGCACTGCACAAGATAAAAAGACATCCTTCATTAGCTAATGTTTACAAAATTGAAATGTTTACTTTGATTATCATATGGTACCAGGAAGTAGGAAGACTACTGATGCTTGTAAAAACAATGATCTTCTCGAGTTTAAAAAAAGTAGCTCGATCTCAGGTAGAAGTAGAACCTTTGGATTCATTTGGACTTAAAAACTATTTTCTTACATTGCAGCAAAAGTAGAACGTATGTTTCATACATGAAACTATATCTTAAGATGAACATAATAACAAGACTTAAACCTAGCTCCAAGTAAAGTACACGAAATCCAACATCGAGAGGGGTTCCAGATAAAAGTTAAAGCCTAAACCATGTCGAAAACATCGGAGTAGAAAAATAGAATTTCATCTCCAGACAACTAGCACAAGAGTAAATGAGTTGATGAGTACAGAAGCCCAAATTCCACAAACCATTCCAAAAATAGAAAGGCTTCCGGATTACTTTTTATACATCCAGATTATATATATATATATATATAAAGAATCAATAAAACTTGATGAGGAGTTTTAAAAGAAAAGGACAACATCAATTGTCTTATGGAAAAAGAGGACTTCTCAATGATGTCCAAGGAAGCAATGAAACGCCACATTCATCTTACTGAGCCTATCGTTGTTGTGAACTTTGCGCATAATAATTACCAGAAGATGAAGAATATAAATCATAAGAAACAAAAGCCTTCCATGTTCCAACCATGACATACACGTTATTTTAGATTTATGTTTAGTAAAAGGAAACCTCTTGACAATCAAAAGATCGTGAACATTAAAAGCAAGCATAAATTGAACTGCACAACTAAATCGCAAGCTTTGTGGACTATGAGGTTGTCTTTAAAGCACATGACAATGTCCAAATACCGGCAGAACGTGGAGGCCGTCAATGCTCAAAATAAATAAAACACGCATCAAAGTCAACTAGTTCTACATCTCGCCCATGCCAAAAGAAGAAATACATTGCACTGGCCCAACCATTTTTTCTTTATTTTAAATTTTTGAGAAAATAATGCACAGGCCCCTGCATTCTGATTTTCAACATAGTTCACACCGTCAATTAGATAAAAACTAACCCGATCGAACATTATAGTCAATGACTTTGCCGGAGTACATTCACCACACCTATTCTTCCCAAAAAGAGTTCTGGGCCCTTTTCTTTAGGTGAGTCAACAACAGTGAAAAGTAGGTTCTCTCTCTTCATTATCTGCTACAGCAATTCTTCAATCGCCCATGTTGGGTGAACTCCATGTCCTTCTGCTACCACTTGTTTTATCAGCTTGATCTTTTCTGCCTATATCTGTCACATAGTGAACATCCTCATTAAGTACCATCCTTAAGACGGGCAAGCTGGTTGCTTGTTGTTCTGATAGCAATAGTGTTTCGTCTTTGGCTGACGGGTTCTAATTCAGGCTGCGTTTTTTGCTTTTTATTTTTGATTCCTCTCATGCAGCTAAGAACTTGAAGAGGAGGCCATCAACTCTCTGAGTTGGTTCCTTGGCCTAGAACAGTCACATACTCACGACAGGAGGCATGAATTGTAAGATCACCAACAATGATGTAAGAATTAGATCCCACATAGTCGAAACCTACAGGGGACATCACCAAGAAGTTTGCGGGCTGAATGGTCGCCCTCGGGCAAACAGCTCGCTAGTGGAGGAAACCATAATCTCCTCTTCTTGTGGGATAGGTCCAGGGCCTCTTTGAATTCAAGCACTCAGTGGCTTCACAGGATCGAAGCCCACACAGCTGCCATAAAAGCTCCTTGCTTGGTGCCTGTTTCAGGGCAACTTACTGGTCTCAGGAGGGAGTGACTGGTGCATCAAATTTTGGAATAGGTGCACGGGCGCATGTCTGAATTTGGCAGACACTAGTTCTCCGGTGTGCGCGCCGCTGTGGAGCAAGAGCAAGAGGGAATTGCTCAGAACCAGCTATTCTTTGGAAATATCCATCTATGCAAAGGATGGCGGAGCTAACTGGACACACATCTAGAGTTGTGTTCCTGGCATAGGTACTACTTGTATGCTTATCATAGTCATTCGCAATTCGGTGCAAATACTTTTTGAAGTTTGCTTGTTGAGTTGATTGTTTTGCTGATTCTCGTTGCCACGTACTTGTTTAGCAGTCACCAAATGGATGCACGGCGGCATCTGCAGCAGGAGATGAAAGATTAATGTCCTGGCAAGTATTTGGGATACCAGAAGTGGCCAAGCCGACACCCAAGACCTCTTCCGCGCCATTTGCCGACTGGCGCTTCATCCATTGAAATCTAACAGATTGACTAGTACACAAAATTTTGCCTCTTCTTCCCAGAATTTTTTTCACGCTATTTGCTTAACCAACACTGGAGATCCTTTCTTTCGGAGCTGCAAGTTAATATTTAAACGGGAGATTACACCAATTTGGGTAGGTATCTATAGCGGATTGAATTGTAAATTAAAGTATGTGAATAGATAGATTTCACTATTCGTGAATGTGATCATTTGAGATCAGTCAACCCCATCAATGTCATGCACAAATCTGCAAAGCAATGCATATTTTTCTGATCTCTCTCTCTCTCCCCCCTTATATACATGAAATGTAAAAATCAGACCTTGGTACTTCATTTATTCGAATAACTGGCATATTGGTATGTATGCAGGACTGTTTTGGAAAGCCGTTTTGGGTAAATAACCGGCTCATGGCTGAAGATTAAGCACATCGCAGAAATAACATCCCTCTCTCTCTCTCTCTCTCTCTTTCATGAAGTCAGTAGGATAAGAACAGAAACCCTAAGGGGTGTCCAAACACAAGGCCATTTGCATTTGCTAGTGTGATGAAATGGCATAGTGCAATTGTGAGTATGAGATGATTGACCATCCCTAATATGGGAATTAGACATGATTAAAATGTCTATGGATGTTCCTTGAATCTGGAAAAATGATTACAGTCAAACACACCAATCAACATGTCTTTGCAACAATGAAATATTAATATCATATGCTTGATATAAAGCACTATAGATAATTCAAAGGGGAAGATCTAGTGAGGACCATATGTTAGCACATTAATTAGAGAAGAACAGATACAGCAACCTTTTTCTCAACTGTCTAAGATGCCTAATACTAGGAGCTCCATGTTCTAAGGTCATGGTGCTAATAGTGAAAAAAGGGGAAGGACAAAACAAAGCCATTCACATAGCAATAACATACCTTTAACGTGGATCTTAAGGTTTAAAGCACTTGCTTTATGACGTATAGAACACAAATGGCACTGCACAAGATAAAAAGACATCCTTCATCAGCTAATGTTTACAAAATCGATATATTGGAATTTACTTTGGTTCATATAGTACTAGGAAGTAGAAAGACTACTCATGCTTCTAAAAACATTGACCGTTTTGAGTTTAAAAAAGTAGCTTGATCTCAGGTAGAAGTAGAACCTTTGGATTCATTTGGACTTTAAAACCATTTTCTTACATAGCAGCAGTAGAACTTATGTTTCATGCATAAAACTATTTCTTAATATGAACAAGATAAGCAGACTCAAACCTAGCTTCAATTAAAGTAGTTGAAAACCATTAAACAAAAGGTATTCCAGATTAAAGTTACAATCTAAACCAACGAGAACATCGGAATACAAAAAAATAGAATTCCACATCCGGATAATTAGCACATGAGGCAATGAATTGACGAGTACAAAAGCCCAAAATTTACACGAACCATTCCAATAATAGAAAGGCATTCAAATTACTATTTATACATCCAGATTACATATATATGGTGAAATCAAATCCAACTAATATGGAAAGACGACTTCACAGTGATGTCCAAAGGAAGCAATGAAACGCGACATTCATCTTATTGAGTTTAACATTGTTTTGAACTTTGCACATAATTATTAACAGAAGAGGAAGAAAACGAATCATAAGAAACAAAAGCCTTCCAAGTTCCAACCATGACATACACAAGCATAAATTGAACTGAACAACTAAATCGCAAGCTTTGTGGACTATGAGGTTGTCTTTGACGCACATGACAATGTCCAAATAACTGCAGAACATGGAGGCCATCGATGCTCGAAATAAACAAAACACACATCAAATTCAATTTGTTTTACATCAAGCCCATGCCAAAAGAAGAAATGCATTACACTGGCCCAACCATTTTTTCTTTATGATAAATTTTTGAGAAAACCATCCACAGGTCCATTCATTCTGATTTTCAACGTCGTTCACACGGTCAATTAGAGAAAAACTAACCTGATTGAACATTCTAGTCGTCTGAGTACGTTCACCACACCTATTCTTCCAAAAAACAGTTCTGGGCCCTTTTGTTTAGGTTCGTCAACAACAGTGGAAATTAGGTTATCTCTCTCTTCATTATCAGCAATAGCAATTCTCCAATCCCCCGTGCTGGGTGAACTCCGTGTCCAGCTGGTGCCACCTGTTTTATCTGCTCGATCTTTTGCAATCTAGATCTATCACACAGCGAACATCCTCATTAGGTTTCCATCCGCTGAGCTTTTGCTCTCATCCATTAAGCCACTGCTGCAAGCAGCAACAGCACATCTTCCTTCTTATCATAAGTTTCCAAAATGAAACCCTTCAAAGATGTTCAATGCAGGCTGTTCCCCACTTAGGTTTTCCATCCGTTGAGCTCTTGCTCTCATCCATTAAGCCACAGCTGCAAGCAGCACCAGCACATCTTCCTTCTCATCAAAATTTTCCAAAATAAAACCCCTAAAAAATGTTCCATGCAGACTGTCCCCCCAAACCCCCCTCACTAAGAAATTCTTTCAACGTTGCTCCAACATGAGAGATAAAAAAGATCCAATGACCAGACATATATCAGTTCCAAGATATAAAATAAAGAGCACATAGCTTAAAAAAAGAAAGTATTCTGTATGTTCAATGGGTCTGTAAGCAGAGGTTGAAAGATGCGTGATACAATGTGATTTCCAACTTCAAGCCACAAACCAAGGAAATGTAAGCCTCAACGTGCGAATGTACGAAGTAGAAGATGCCAAAAGCCAACGGTGCAGTAGTGACCTACTACCCTGCATCTCTAAGAAGACCAGTGACGTGAATTTTAAGGACCCGGCAAGAAAAATCGAGTGATCTTACGTTCACCGAAGGGAAAAACAAGAATGTACCTGCCACTTTGCTGTACCCAAAAGTAGTTTGGAGGTCCCCTAGGGAGATCATCCTCGAATCATCAGGTGATGATGCTACTCTCATCTCCCTTAGCCCCGCCCCATCATGCTCCGCATGTTGATTCTATAAGAGAGAACATGCCAACTGCATTTGCCCAGAAAACAGCGGACACGACTAAACAACAGGCAAGCAGGACAGCAAGAGTGCGTGCTCGTTAGCATAGCCTACACAGTCTCCAAGCAATCGACGCATCGTAAGACAGAGTCTCTCTAGTTCATCAAACCGCCACAATCGAATGGAAAAGAAGATCGGGACGTACCCATCGGCAGATTCGCGGACCTCCTCGGCCGCACAGGAGATGAAACCGTCCTTCCCTCTTCCCTTCTTCTTCTTCTTCGCTGAGAAGAAGCGAAGAACGAAGAGAGAAAAGCAAATGCAGAGAGACTCTCTTTCTCTCTCTCTCGTTTTATGTTTTTTTTTTCTTTTTATTTTTTTTCCCTGTTTCTATAAAAGAAATAAATTGTTAAAATTCTATATTAAGAAAAATTATTATCACGATGAAAATTGCAAATATAGCCCTCGGCAATTTCCCAATTTTTTGGAGAAGAACCAATTATCACAAATTCACAATCTGTGAAATTACGGATGTCCCCATATGTGTAGTTTAATTGATATAATAATATGATAATTGGAAAGTGAAATGTAAAATGTAAATCTTATGATAAATTTACCTCTTGAAAATAGTGGAAATGATTGGAAAAGCAATAAATTGGATTTAAGAAAGAAAAAAAAATTGCTTCTAACTTCAATTAGACTGAAATTAATCGGTTTAGCAAAAAAAATGAAAGAAATTCATTTTTACTCATAATAAATAGTGTCTTTATATAATCTTTGTGCTTATGACAAGATAGCAAACATTAGCTTTTTTGTGTGTATAGAGCAAAAGGAGAAAGTGGCAAAAATTCTTCTGAGCTTACAATAAATTCTCCTTCGGAATTGGGTTACTACTCCATAATTGAATGATCTGTTGCATTGTTAAATAACAAAATGAAAAAAAAATTCTCGATTTCATAAGGTACTGAAATATTTAATTTTAATCCCTAGAAAAAATTGAATTGAAATAAAATCAAAACTAAGAAATAATAAACCCCAATAACCATGTTTCATGGAGGACTAAAATATTTTGACTTGCACGAATTCAAAGTTATATACACATATATGATATCTTTTAAAAAAATTAAAAATTAGAAATAAAATTAAATCAAACCTTGATAGAAGATGAAGATTAACACTTGATTAAACGTGCCAAATAGTAAAAATGTAGACCTAACTTCAGAGTAAATTTTGCTTTCAACTATGAAGCGTGCACAAGTAGTGTGGCTAGTATAGTGTAAATCACTAATTGGTATAAACTCTTATGATATGTAACTATGTCAACATAATGGTAAAGTCATTATATCTAGCAAATAGCTCCATCACAATTCGGTCAATTTTAGAGTACATTTCTCTTAGTGTAAAAGACAGCATAATTTTAGTTATATTTGAGTAAAAGTGGTAATAGTATTTAGTAATTTTGAGTACATTTCTCTTATTGAACTTTAATCTTAAAAAAAAAAATTCTTATCTGTGCAATGTTCACGAGCATGTGGCGAGTATATTTTTGTAAATAATCGCTAAGCATAATACATATAGTCTTTCGTGAAAAAAATGATATTTTACGAAATTTAATTATTAAGATCTACAGTTCAGTAAAATAAAAAAGAGAATGTTAATTTGCATCATGTATCTTACGTATATTGATTTCTACATTACATTTTAAGATTCCCTATTATTGTATTTTTTTACTTATAGAAAATCACCAATTACTTTTCTTGACTAATTAACTATGGTGATGATTAGAGAATATTAGGGTGCGTTTATTTCACGGAAAGTTTAAGATTTAGAAATCTTAAACTATGGTGATGATTAACTAATCGTAACCATAATTTAAGATTAATTAACTATGGTGATGATTAGTTACATTGCTTAGAAAAATTAGTCAATGAAAAATATTTTTATAATGAACAACAATATATGCATAAATAAATATATTTCATTTATTCATTTTTATGAGCGATATAAATAAATATTTCTTTTGGAAAATAATTTCCAAATCTTGAATTTTTCATAAAATAAATGCACCTAGTTTGAATAGTCAGATTATGTTCAGACTGGCTGCTTCTGCTGATTCTTCTTGCAGGGTAATGCTTGAAGTATGACAATCTTTGATTCAAAATTTGGTCGAATTGTTGCAAATAGTAGGAAGTCTAATCTCCTTTCAAATTCAATGCAGTCAAATAGTTGAGGACATTGTATAAATTTGTACTTTTGAAAGTTCATTTGCAACAACCATAACAACTAAAGAATCATCCTTATAAAACTTCAATTTGGAATATCACATGTATTGATGCTGGGTAGTTCCATGAAGCGGTTATTTCTGTGCTACTGCATTGCTGAACAATCAGCTTTTAGTATCTTTATGAATTTCATCATCGTTACCCTTAGTCTGGAATAATAAGCAGAGAAAGGTGATTCTAACTGACCTCAGGGATGTGAACAGTGGCGTGCAGTAATGTAGGGCTTGATCACATATTTTAGGCTGTACAAGACATATTATGGCGTCTAAATTTGGGATCGCTGTCTGGGACTTTCGAAGTAGAAGGTAGGATTAGCTAAATGTTCTGGTACTGAAATTTATAGTGCAACGTGGCTTAGATGATCCATCCCCCATGGTTTTCTTTTTCTCCAGCTCAACTTAATTCTTCCAAATGAGGTACGTTCCTTTATTTGCTGCCCTCATTTCATTCTTTGTTACTTCAAATGATTCATAGTGCATTTGGTCGCTCTATTTCGTAGATCTCTTCTTTTCTCTTATACCTTGACCATTTTGATTTCTAACAAGGAATTTTCTTGCACCTAATCTGCTGTTCCTGCTGTTAATATCAAAACATTGCAGCATTGGATTGTTTGGATTTATCTCTTGCTCCCTCTGCTAATATATTCCTATACATTCGGCAGGTTCGCGGTTATGGTGCCAGATCCCAGGCTTGATAGCTCTTATCATGATTCGGCGGACCAAGTATTCAAATCTCTGTTGGATTTCAATCCATCAGATTGGGGTTTGCCCTCCTTTGACGAAGAGAAAAGCTGAGAATTCATCTGAAAGTCAGACGATATGCAACGGCATCTCATGTCAATTCATTTACGAAAGATGGAGGGTGATTGGGGGTTATACTTTTTTTGGATTACCAAAATGCCATTTTTCCCGCAGTGCTAGCAATATGTTGTCCCAAAGCAATATCGAGCTCACATGTGAGAATCATGTTCTGGATGTGGAATGCCCATTTGCTATTTAACAAGATGACTAGTCTCCATTAATTTGACATGAATTGGCCTCAGTTGTTTGAAACAGGTGCTTGCTCTGTGAATAGGTAACAGAAGCTTTCGCAATGTCATGGACTCGTTCTTCATTTCCACCACTAGCAGGCACCGAAACCTATCGTCGGAATGAGTGCCAAGACAGCAAAGCGAATTGGCTTTCGCCGGACAAGAAGATAAAAATAAATTTGCAAATTAAAGGGTGCCGTTTCATTTGATTTTGGTGGCATGTTTAGAACCCAAGAACGAACTGACGCAGATATTCAAGAATCAGTCACAACTCAAAAGCAACAAAGCACACAGTCCACAAGCATCTAAGCAATTGAACAGAAATTGAAGGTCGCGATGTACACGTCGGTGGATTCATGGGCCTCCTCGGCCGCAGAGGAGATGAAATGGTCCTTCTGCCGCTATTCGCGACCCCAATTGCTTCAAGCTCAAGCTGAAGCTTCCCTCTTCCCTCTTTTCTTGTTCTTCGCCGAGAAGAAGCGAAGAAGGAAGAGAGAGGAAATGCAAAGAGACAGAGGGGGGGCCAAATGATGAAGACTTCTCCATTTTATGTTTTTTTTTTAATTTTTTTTTTCTATTTTTCCTTCTCTGTTTCTATAAAAAAATTGTTTAAATTCTATATAAGAAAAATTATTATCGTGATGAAAATTGCTAAGATAGCCCTCGGCAATTTCCCAATTTTTGGAGAAGAACCAATTATCATACGCTCGTGGGAAAAAATTGGTGAATGGTTGATATAGTCTTTTTTCGTGAAAGAAATGATATTTTGCGAAATTCGATTATCAAGATCTGTAGCGTGTTAAAGTAAAAAAATGGAATGTTAATTTACCCCCCTGTTATTTTATGGACATTGATTTCTACATGATATTTGAGGTGCCCTATTATTGAAGTTCTTTATGTATAAAAAAATCACCAATTACTTTTATTGATTAATTAATTAGATTCATGATTAGAGAATATTATGGTGCGTTCATTTCACGAAAATTTTAAGATTTGGAGAACATTTTTCAAAAAATAATTAGTTATATCACTTAAAAAAATCAGTCGATAAAAAATATTTTTATCATCAAAAACAATTTATGTGGGACTATTTTATTGGATGATGTAATTTATTTATTTTTGTAAGCGATATAACTAAATAATTTTTGAAAAAAAATTTCAAATTTTTAATTTTTCGTAAAATAAACGCACCCTTAAGTGGGGTTTTCTTCTTCTTACTGTTGAATGAAAAAGTAAAATTGATCGATAATTTCATGGGGAGTGACGAGTCGCCTTAGAGAAGGAAGAAAGGATAATAAATTAACAAAATATTTCTATTTAATTCTTTTTTATTTTTTTCCGTTTTCAAAAATTCGGGAGAAAAAGTCATAAAATAGACTTTCCAAATAATTACCTCGGATTACCCACGCGCCTTGGTCGCGTCCGACGAACGCGACGAAGGCCAACCCGCCCCTGATTCAAGATCATCATCTCCCTCTTCTTCTTCTTCTTCTTCATCTCTCTCTGTCTCTCTCACCTGCGAACTAGCTCTCCCTTCTCATTCTCAACCTCTCTGCTCTCTGAAATCTCTCGCTCTCTCTCTCTGTGTCGGCGCCTCTGATTTGAGGGCACAGCGAGAAACAGTGACGACGAACCATCATCAACGCTCGGTCCCTCTTTGTGGGTCTTCTTCTCTCCTTTGAAATTTCCCTTCTTCTTTTCTCTTTCTTTTGCAGGATTTCGACCCAGCTCCTCTGCTGCCGGGACCATGGCTTCACCGGGCGAGAAGGGTTCTCTGGATCCTTACCAGGAATACCTCCACCAGAAGAATTCTCGAGAAAACGTAAGCTTTTGGTTTTTTGCTTTTTCATCGTTTACAGAGACCTTTTTTTCAGAATTGTTCGTTTTCTGGTTATGAATGTTCTGCGGATGAAGGGTTTTGATGGAGACTCGAGTTGCAATGCGAGTTCTCTAGGGCTATTTATTTCATGATGCTATTGAGTGATATTTGCGAAATTATACAGGGCTTCTTACGACTTTTCTGTCGCCATTCTCTTATAACATTCATCGCAGACAGAGAGAAACCATACGGTACTTTTCTTTGAACAAAACCAGAGTTATGATTAATTCCCTCTTCTTTTACGAGGATTTACAAGCAATTTTGCCATTTTTTTCTTCTTCTTCTTGTTGGTAAGTTCCAAATAGAATTGTTTCCTTCTAATTCTGTGAATTTTTTTTTTTATCACAGTTGGATAGATTCATCCCGAACCGCTCAGCTATGGACTTCGACTACGCTCGTTCCCTCTTCACTCTAGGGAAGAAGTGGAAGGAGAAGTCTGCCGTGATGTCAACATCAAGTGACGCGTACCAGAAATTTCTCGCGGATGCACTCGACATGAACCGATCCCGCATCTTGGCCTTTAAGAACAAGCCGCCAAGCCCGGTAGAGCTAATACCACAAAGCTGGCTCTCACCCGCTGCTTCCCAGTCTAAATCCGCCAAGCCCTGTCGATCGATACCCAAGGTAGCCTAAAATTCATGCCTATTACTGTTTCTTCTATTCGCTACGTAAAACTTGACAACCAAGTTAGCATTTGTTTCATGGAACATAAGTATGTACTGGCTTTGCTTGTGCTGTCAAAGACAGTAGGGTTTGTGTTTTGACATATTTTCTTTGGTTTGTCGATTGATAGACCTGCCAGAGGATGCTTGAAGCCCCTTATATATTGGACGATTATCACTTGAACTTGCTGGACTGGGGTGCCAACAACATGGTAGCAATTGCTCTTTCGCAGTCAGTGTACTTGTGGAATGCCTCCAACGGCTCTGCTACAGAACTGGTGACCTTCAATGACGAGGAGGGTCCTGTCACGAGTGTGAGCTGGGCTCCTGATGGTCAGAATATTGCCATTGGCTTACAAAATTCTCATGTCCAGCTATGGGATTTCTCTGCTCAAAGACAGGTAAGCTGGTTGCTTGTCGTTTTGATAGCATTAGTGTTTCGTCTGTGGCTGACGGGTGGGTCATTATTCAGGCTGCGTTAATTGCTTTTTATTTTCGTTTCCTCTCATGCAGCTGAGAACTTTTAGAGGAGGCCATCGACTCCGAGTTTGTTCCTTGGCCTGGAACAATCACATACTCACGACAGGAGGTATGGATTGTAAAATCAACGATAATGATATAAGAATTAGATCGCACATAGTTGGAACCTACAGGGGGCATCGCCAAGAAGTTTGCGGGCTGAAGTGGTCGCCCTCGGGAAAACAGCTGGCTAGCGGAGGAAAGGATAATCTCCTCTACTTGTGGGATAGGTCCAGATCCTCTTTGAATTCAGGCACTCAGTGGCTTCACAGGATCGAAGACCACACGGCTGCTGTGAAAGCCCTTGCTTGGTGCCCGTTTCAGAGCAACTTACTGGCCTCGGGAGGGAGCGACAGGTGCATAAAATTTTGGAACACGTGCACGGGCGCGTGTCTGAATTCAGTGGACACCGGTTCTCAGGTGTGTGCGCTGCTGTGGAGCATGAGGGAGAGGGAATTGCTAAGCTCTCACGGGCTTACTGAGAACCAGCTCATTCTTTGGAAGTATCCATCTATGGGAACGATGGCAGAGTTGACTGGACACGCATCTAGGGTTCTGTTCCTGGCACAGGTATTACTTGTATGCTGCTTATCATATTCATCCGCAATTCGGTGCAAATACTTTTGAAGTTTTCTTGTTGAGTTGATCGTTTTGCTGATACTCGTTGCCGCATGCTTGTTTTGCAGAGTCCGGATGGATGCACGGTGGCATCTGCAGCAGCAGATGAAAAATTGATGTTCTGGCATGTATTCGGGATACCAGAATTGGCTAAGCGGGCACCCAAAACCTCTTCTGAGCCATTTGCCCATTGGCACAGTATCCGCTGAACTCTAACAGATTGACTGGTGGTCATAATTTTGCCACTGCTGCCCAAGACCAGGCTATTTGCTTAACCAACATTGGAGATGTGTTCTTTTGGAGCTGCAAGTTGATATTCAGACGGGAGATTGTCGCGTAAGTGTAGCTGCAAACTGATTGGCCATATATATTCAATCTCAAAATTGCTCTTTTTTCTCCATTTAATGTCCGTCTCTTGTTTGGATTGGCTGGAGACCACGTGGCACGTGTTGATGATTGCAGTAACTCTTTCAAAGAAGGAACTGGACACATCGGCTGTTGTTGAGTTCATGGTGTTCTTCTCTTGTCATTGATTCTTCATATTGAGAGTTAGACATATTAAGAGCTTGGTGCTTTATCCATCATAAGGCGCAAGTGCCCTCTGTTGCAGGTATCAGCCTCCATTGCCTGTTGAGATGGTGAAGACATCATCAGAGCTGTATTCTGAGGGAAGTACTTCAAGAAATCATTATGTCGCTATTGTCTACCAATGACTGTTATGTTGTTTCTCTAGGTTTCTTCTAATTATATTCCTCATGTAAATAGGCAGATCACCTAGTGGGCGAGGACGAGGTTGCGGCGGCAGAGGAAGACCAAGAGCTAGAGGTATTGCATTCACAAAACTGAACATTTTTTTAGATCACATGGAAGGCTGTGTTTTAGATATAGGATCTTGCATCATGGTTAACTAAATTGTTGTCATATTCTGTTGTAATAGCACCAAAATGCTAATGTACTCCTTTGAGGAGTATGCCGATGGGCACATACCCTCTGCTGCATCTGCAATCCTCTAAATGTTTGCTTTCTGGTTCCAACCTATAATATTGCTTGTTTCAGGGAATGGCTTTGTGAATTCTGAGTATAATGATGGAGGTTGGGGCTGCAACCAGGGTTATGCTAGAGGTAGGGTCAAGGAAAGAGGACATGGTTTTTGTGGCTGCGGAAGGGGAGGATATAATGGACCTCATGCTGATCCACAGCAAGACAGAGGATACAATCAAGAACCACTTGCTCAGGAGAGGAGGGTTTAATTGGCCGATACCGGCGGAAACGAACAGATAGCTCAATTTAGAAGAATTGAAGGTGTAATTTTTCTTCTTTATGGTTTGGTTTGAGCATGGCATGCTCATCGTTTTGTTTTACAGTTACTCGGCTTCCTCAAAGAAGGAAGTTTGTGGTTTTTACTAGATGATCTTGTAATGCCATCGAGGACTATCTTAGCTATTTCCTGTATTAAATGGTCTCTTTCATTTTGTGATACTTGCTCTCTGTTCTGTTAGAGACTCAAATAGCTAGAGAAAGCTGTAAAAAGTTGTGTTCATTCGGGCTAGTTCTCTTGTGCTATATTTGGATGGAATAATGAGAAAATAACAAAATGGACAAAAAAAGAATTAGTGGATATAGTAGACGCGCTTTGTTATTGGACATCCATCAACGACAAAAGCAAGGGCAACGATACCAAGCTCCTTAAATTATGGCACAAAGTAGGTGCGTTTTGTGCCATAGTCTTTTCAATCGAACTTTTGAATGTTATAACTTGAGTGATATCGACGAACTTTTTGCCAAAAAGTCTGACAGGGGCATCAAAATATTTGACCCTTGAGGTTAAAATTTTGCAAAAATTATGATAATTAGGTGATCGATTTGAAGTGTAGGTGTTAATTGTTCGATTTGAATGAGGAAAGAAAAAATAAAAAAACCTAATTGCTAGTTCGTAGTATTAGCCAACTAAACTTGCTACTTTGTTGAATTTGATTTCTTGAATTAGAAAGCCATATAAATTTGGGAACCCCAAAACTAATGTGAAAAATCACGCAATGTCAAAGTTTTTGTTTTTACTAATTAATTGCTTACTACTCAATTAATTTCTATGTTACTGAGAATGACAATAATCGCATCGAACCTTACCAAATTATACCAGACTTGATAGAACTTTTCCGTTTTGTTTTCCTTCTCCAAAAGAGACCAAACTAAAGAAACCACGATTCCCAATCCGACGAACATAGATTGGAGTTCTTTTCGTTGCTGCATTAGATTTGTGTAACGATGAATTGATGCTCCCAACGATTTTTTAGCATAGATTGGAACCGTAATCGAATTCATCTGCGAAAACTCGCTCTAGAAACGTAGAATGAGTCGAGCACTTACGGTTTCAATACAGGCTAACCTTTAAAATAAACTTCGAAATCACGAAACCGAGTACGAGTAGAAAGTGAATTCATTCGATATGTACTCGTCACGTGACTTTATTCAACTTCAATCTCTGTTCTCACCAATTAAATAGATACCGGGTTAAAAAGCCCAAACCTGCCTTGTCACTATGCAGTATGCACTCGTAGACATGTTTTTCATCGTTGTTGGTTTTTTACTATCGATGAAAACAAAGTAATCTGTCAGAATATACATATTTTTTTGCCAGACTGGTACGGAGGAGGCATAGCAATTGAATTCGAAATCTCGGGATCTTGATGAGGATATGTCTACCACTAATTATGCTAAATCTGCGTTTCCCAATTAGTGTAATCTGCAACATAGCCCAAGTTAAGAAAAAGAAAACATCAGTAAGAGTTTAGCTACTGCAAGCTGCCAACTGAGGTAAGAATCTCCCGTGACGTGAAGAAATCACGTCATTGAGGGGGCACCATCCATAATGGAAGAAAAACTAGAAGCGCTGAGAAGCATCCACCTTAATACGCAAATTAATTACTGACACAAACATTACATAAAAGAGTTGAGGCAGAACAAGATCAGTCTAGAAGAGAACGTGACATTTTTCCATGAGGTTTAATTGCAAAATTTGATTCATGTTATCGAGTTTTCATCTTCTTCACAATGTCATCTAGATATACACGACTTCCAAAGGCTTCTGCAAAACCAAAGCAGACGTTTTAGGTGGATATGAGTCTGAGTGCCCGTGCTATGCACATGCACTCTTGTTTCGTCCAGGTGCCCTTTTCCCCTTTCCAGCCAAGTTTTGACCGTTGTCACTTTTATCACCTCTTCAGACCATAGATCTTTTTTATTTGAGAAAAGAGAGACAATTGATCTTACATCTTACCAGGACCAAAGTGCTGTCCACTACAAGTTGATTTTGTTTTCATTTTCATGAACACTTGACAATCTTAAGGATCACGCGGGCACCCGCAAAATTTTAATGTATTCAACTCCAAAATAGGTGCTGCATATTTTTTGGCTGAACATGTTATCTTCAAAATGGAGACATGATGTTTAACATTTCTGAATATAATCCATTGATGCGGAACTCTGAGTCCAAAATAGTCAGCCCTATAAGGATCGAGATTCAAACGGGACTTACAGCAAATCACAACTCAAGAAGAATACATTCCTCGAAGCATCACATCTCCCTAAGCATCAAGATGAAGAGAAGAATTGCGTCACACCATTCAAAAGACAGGCTTGCCAAAATTCAAAACAAATTCATTCACTCAGCGTTCAGTACATTCTTCACAAGAAAAGACCTTATTCAGAGACTCTACTAAGGCCTACGCTAAGTAGATAGGAACAAGAATCCAACTATAAAATAGGAAACACACAGTAAAAATGGAAGCTCGGTAAAAAACAAATAGTACTCAAATCTTAGTAGATAGAAGAATCCTAATCCTTTAAGCATTCTTATTTAGGTTGTGGATTGATGGAACCATCCATCCTCACCAAAACTAGGTAAAAACATTAGTTTGTGGCCACAACCACATTTTGATTTTGTGGGAAGTCTCCAAACATGTCAGTGCACAATGACTCTTAAGATCTCACAGAAGCAACCGAAGATTCTTACCCTTTTTTGGGCTTGTGCTTGGAAGTCTATAAGAAAGAGGTGGAGTTCTTTCATTCACTGCATTAAATTTGAAATTGGAAGACGAAAGAACAGTTTTTTGGCATGACATGCGGTGTAGTGAATCGCCTGTTATATTCTTTTCCCTACTTCATTCTATTTAGTAGCCAACTAGCATGCCGTGGTTCCCGACTATGTGTTTAGAGGAGGAACCATGTGTTTAGAGGGTTTCCATTTATTGGAACCCAGTTTGCATTAGAAATTCTCATTATCGGGAGGTTTCCTCACTAACTCCCTTTTGGCTCTTTATTCATTCGAAATTCGTGGTTTAGAGTACGACAAGATGGTGTGGTACCCAGCAAATAGCAAGACATTCAGTGTTAAATCATTTTATTCTATCTTGGGGAATTTCTCCCCTCGTTCATTCCCCTCTAAAGCAATCTGGCTGCCCCATACTCCTTAAAGGATTCCTTTCTTTTGTTGGACGGCAGCTTGGAACAAAATTCTTACAATTGAGAATCTCAGGAACGAAATTTTATTCATGAACATTCTATGTGGCCAATCATAATGGATATGCCAGGCTTATGTATGTATGTACATGAGATTCATTTATCAGAGGAGCCTCTTCAAAGGAGGAGAAAGCTTTTCTTGAACTATGCAAAAAGAAAAAAAACATGAAGATAAGAACTAGAGGATTAGCATCAAGTAACATCAACACTCAGATGGAAGTCATACTGTAGAATAAGAAAACAAACAAATTTGTTAAATGTCACCATCTATTACAGTAGTCCTTCCTGTCCCCTCGTCAAGGGGAAAAGTAACATCGGTGATTCTTTTAGCTTTATTGAAAATGATACCTCGAAAGGATACCTAGTAAAGGTTCACAAATCAATAAATTGTTTGAACAATTTTCTAAGAAAATGAAATAGAGAGGGAAAAAGAAGAAAACTCAAGTAGCGCTGCCTACATTTGTAATGTCAACAACATCAATTAGGACATTGATTTTTTCATCATGTGATACCAAGGCATTGTTTATCTGCTTCACTGTCGCAGGAAGCAAAGATTGGGTGTCATGACTCTGTAGAACAATACACAAGTCTCAAACTTCCTGCCTGAATATTTTGTACATGCAAATATAATTTCGATCGTGTTAAATATAATCTGAACTTCTTCAAAACTCAGCATCCAAACACCTAAGTAAATGTTCACATAAGAATAACCCCACTCAATATTTAATTGACAACACTCAACAAAATTAAATGTTCACATAAGAATAACAAAAGGAAGGAGAGAGAGAGAGAGAGAGAGAGAGAGAGAGAGAGAGAGAGAGAGAGAGAGAGAGAGAGAGAGAGAGAGAGAGTTCCTTAAGCAAACCCACATATAGAATAAGCCTAAAAAAGAACAAAGAGAAAAAAGAAAAAAACTAAATTTAATATGCAAACCCATGTTTAGAACAAGTCTAACATAATATTCAAATTTGTAAACTCACTGTTCGATTGTCTTCATCACCACTACTATCATCGGAGGAACTCTTCCCATCTTCCCGTTTTCCCTTTGGTACGGCAGTGCTGATCGATGGCGGCCCACAAGTAAGCACAAGGTATTCTTTCCTGCTCATCGTGCTGCTTTCAACAATGATTTCGAGGTTAGTTCATTTTTCTTCGCTAAGATTCTCATAGAGGCATCCATCCAAATTACTGTGGCAGTGCTCAGCCTTTATTTACAACAGTCATATTCTTATCACATAGACAGTCTAAAGCACTTATTCTGCAACCGAAGTGTATGAGAAATACCATTGTTGAATGGCACGTCTCTTGCTCGGACTTGTCATTAGACAGTCCCACAAAGAAAACAGAAACAGGAAAGCTTGCCGTTACAAATAACGAGCAACTCTGGAGTCTGGACATGATATTGATAAGAATCTGTACATAATCATAGACCAACTTTATAAGCTCGATTTTGCCAATTATCCTAGGCAACATCAAACCGTTAGTAAGAGAATGAACAAAGTGAGATTGTGATGTAACAGCTAAATTGTATTATGCGCACATTTGATAATTTCATAAAAAAGATGTCACCTATTTATGGAATAACTACTAAGATTATTGACAGTAATTTCGCAAAAATTTATTTATGTTTTGATAGGTAAATGAAAAATTTACTGAAGGGCACCAAGGGGGTGAAAACGCGTATACAAAAAGAGCTCAGAACCAAAAGTGCTCAATTACAAGACAAATCATCTACAATGTTGATTAAAGCATTTCCATCCACACACAACTTTCCAACTTCCAATAATTACAAAACGGGGTGTTCCTCTCCAATGAAAACTCTCTTACTCTGCTCTTAGAAATTTTACTTTCACAAATGACTTCCAACCGACAGAATATATACTAAGATATACACAACATATGTTGTTCAATCAATGTCGAACACTAAAATAAGTTCTGGTAATAATATAGGTACCTGTGTGGGTAGTCAACCACCACACCACCTGCAAATCTAGCACGCATAGCAGAACTCAAAATCAACTCACGCTGAGCTATACTTTCTGGATAAACTTGGAAAACTGCTCTTGCCCCCCTTGCTAAGCATCTATATAATGATCCAAAAATGCCCTGAAAGAAATCAAGAATTATGTCAATTATAGGCCAGCCAAATAGAGACTAGAAGTTCTGCAAGATAGAAAAGCAGAAAAGAAAAACTTTTCGTCATTTATGAAAATCAACGAGCTATCATCCAAATGATGAGATGACAACATGGATGTAATCACAAACCTGAGATGACACACCCAGAGTTGGATTCAGAATGTAGAACAGATGATGCATCAAGCATAAAATATTTGCAGATCAAATTTGGAGATCAAATTTGGTGTTTTTTTAATTCTTCTCTCTGTTCTTTTCTAGGCTCATTTTATATGTGGGTTTGCATAAGAAACTCTCTCCCTCTCTCTCCCCGTTCTTTTGGTATTCTTATGTGGACATTCTTTTGTAAATGTTCTCATGTAAATTTTGACTTGGGAAAGTTTGAAGTACCTTAACAACATTATCTTCCATTCAGAATCTGCCCGGTAAACATCACGGCATATTTCTTCAATGAAAAGCTGCAAGAAAAGGCAATTGCACTTGTATAAGATATAGCAGAAATCAGGCAACCAAAAAGAAGTAGGAATAATTCCCCACTAGCACAAAAAAGGGAAGTAGCAGGATAGTAGGAAAGAAACCATCCTTCTTTGTTTTTTTCTCATGTTTGTAAGGGATACAATATACATCCTTGTCGCCGTGCTTGTTATACTACGTTTACGAATATCAGTTAGTAGTTAGTAGGTGGTCATCAATGAGGTAACTAGCGTTTTTGGGTGTCTTTCATGCTCTATAAATAGAGCATTCTATGTACTTTTTTTATCAAGTCACTTGGTAAAAATGTAGCCTTTGAGTATCTTTTCTCCCCTCTCTTAAAGATCCTAGAATATCTATATAGTATCAGAGTCATCAAGAAAGAAAGGCCGAATGAACACCCTAACTTTATCTTTCTTCTTACCATCAGTCTGGAGAAAAAAGAACCCTCGGTTCTACTTAATGGTTTCTACTTTGACACTAAGACCACCGGCGTTCGCCATTCCAAGTCCTTCGTTTTTCGTCCTCTGGTCTTCATACTCAAGAGCAGCCACAACAGATCGTCTTCAAGAGACGCATTGTAAGGACCCGGGGTCTACACTGTGTAATATTGTCCGCTTTGGGCCCACTGACCCTCACGGCTTTAAAACGCGTTACACAGAATAGAGAACCCAAGCCTTATAAACTAGGCTAGGACTCCCCCCCTAAGCGATGTGGGACAAAAGACATGCCCCCCTTGCCATCCTAGAAGGATGCCAGGAGCCGCTCCTTGTCCAGGCCCTCTGGCCCCGGCGATCACTCCCCATCCTCGTCGGACCGGGTCGTTACATTCTCCCCTCCTTCGAGCACAGCGTCCTCGCTGTAGCCCCACACGCGGTCGGGAGTCGGCTCTGATACCATTTGTAACAACCCGGGGTCTACACTGTGTAATATTGTCCGCTTTGGGCCCACTGACCCTCACGACTTTAAAACGCGTTACACAAAATAGAGAACCTAGGCCTTATAAACTAGCCCAGGACTCCCCCCTAAGCGATGTGGGACAAGAGACATGCCTCCCCTTGCCATCCTAGAAGTCTGTCAGGAGCCACTCTTTGTCCAGGCCCTCTGGCCCCGGCGACCACTCCCCGCTCTCGTCGGACCGGGTCGTTACAAGCATCATCGTCCTTTGCTTGTCATGGTGGCAGATCTGCTAGGTAATCTCGAAGAGCAACGCTACCTCGTGAGTCACTCGTCTCTCCGTTGTCGTCAGGGAGAGTTGTGGTCGGCCTCATCAATATTGTCGCCGCCATCCTTGTGCTTGTAAAGTCTTCCATAAGTTGATCCACTCTGTTCTCTGGGTTCATTCCGCCATGCATCCTTCTCAATTGTGGTCACTGGTTCAGCTTCACCGTCAAAATCAAGCTACTGTTCTCGTTCGATTGATGCTTTTAGTCTTGCATTTCTTTTTCACTTGTTTTCTGTACTTTTAAATTCCCAAAAAAGAAAAACATAACAAAAAAAAGGCTTTCTGGAGGCTGTTAGTGCTCCAATCTACAACACTTTATCTTCAGAAACTTCATAAACTTTTGGTCCTCCGAAATCTCAACAAGCCTACTATGGAAGTTATCCACTGTGAGACTCATCTTCGATTGTGAGTGTCATTGACGAGTGGAGTCGCCGTCAAGATTTTAGGTTGCTGTGAGCACCGAAGTCCATCACACCTTCATCGAGTGATCAAAGTCGAGCGTCGTAAGGTGATGGAATTCAGTTTGCCACAATTCACGAAGTTAGTTCTTGAATGATTATATATTTGCAATTCAAGGAAAAGAATGGTATCAACTTTCCGATCTCGATTTGTCTCTTCACACTTTTGTCAAATCCGGAGTTGATATGGGTTACAATCAGTTTGTCGTGGAAGGTGTAGCTTGCACAATTGTCGTCATCTTAAATCAACTTTGGCATTTATATCGATAATCTAGTTAAAGGGTCGGCTTACACGGCGCTTTGGTCATAGACTTTGGACAAAAGTTGCACCTATCATATGTAAGCCAGGAATGATAAAAATATTACTCAATAGTTAGTAGGTGGTCATAAAGAAGGTAAATAGGATTCTTGAGGTTCTCTTATGCACTCTAAATGGAGTCATCTATGTACCCTTTCATCAAGTCATTTATTAAGGATGTAGCCTTTGAGTCTTTTCTCTCTCCCTCTCTCTTCAAGATTCTAGAATATTTACAATGCTAAACTCAAAAGCATGTTTAAGTTCTTCACTTACAGTGCAATAAACCACTAAAAAGCCTTACTAACCAGCTAATTTATCCGTCTTTTCGTTAGTGTCCCGTTGCATGATAGTACTATTAAGATGAAAGAATATCTTTCACTAACCTTGGTTCGTCCATATGGATTCACCGCACAAACAGGGAACTCCTCTGTACAGGGGACCTCCTTTGGCCGACCATTTTACAGTAGCAGACGAGGAAAACACAAGCTGCAATGTTTCACGAAAATCACAATTTGGTTAATTACAGTGGGAGATCACACAAGTATGCATCTCTAAACTCACAGATCATGTACTTCGAGTGTGCAGGGATGCAGGACAGACAGAAAGAAAAAGAAGAAAGCGAATGAAACATGCACCAAAGGTGCAGATTAAGTGAGGACCACACATGAAAACAACACCCAATTTAGTTGCACTTCTCTCCACACAGCAGTCAGCATACTGATGTATCAATTGCAGAAATCTACTAGTCTAGCATTTCAAACACCATAGACGGCAGCCACTTCAGTTTGGTCCATTAACTTGAATCGACAACAGTTCCTTGTCGATGCACCAAAACTTGAAAATTAGATGACTAGTCATCTGACATAATCCGTTTAATCCAAAATGAAAGGGTCATTAAAATTCAAAGACGGATCTCCCCCCCCCCTCCCCCCCCCTATAAATCGACCCATTTGTCCCTTCCTCAGGAAAACTCACTTCCCCCCAAAAAAAACCAAATCCCCATTTCACCCTCACCCTCACCCTCCCACTCCACACTCTGATCCATCGTCTCCTTCTTCTACACCCAAGAGAGAGATCTCCAGAAAAATCTCAACTTTGAATCACGCAGAAAGCCACAAAATAGAAATGTCTCCGAGCCTTGCAGAAGTGGCTTCCATTCTGGGCATCGTGGCCGCTCTCCTTGGCATCATTAACTCCGTCCTGGGCATCCTGCAAAGACCCACCGATTTTTTTTTCTTGAACTTATTTTCCTAATCTAGCTTATTTAGTTTTGATTTTAATAAGCATGACAGGGGATTAAAGTTTCTGGGTTTTCATTTTTTTTTCATTATCCTCTTTTAAAGGATCCAACTTGAGGAGATATACGAAAGTAGGAGTCAACTCTTGCAATAACTAGTCAATCGGGGCAAGATTTGTGCAAGTACACTAACTGCAGGTCTTCACAATTCACCGACCAATCATCATCAAAGAGGTAAAGTGATGGATGACATTGCTCCCTTGGGTGTCTCTGTCTCGACCTGGCTCTTCTCAGAAGTCTCTTGTTCTAGTCTTCCCGTCCTCTTTCCAAGTCAACTGCCGTGTTTGAGCAGAGCTGATCTCACAAGACCGGCACAAGGAATTGTCAATAACAATGGCCTTCTTTTCACTTTCACGTGAGGAATCAAACAACTTCGGTAGCCATTAAGCAAATAACATAGAGGCCCGCTCAGAAGATTGAAATCTGTAAGCATGGGTAAGCAAATAAATCTTTCTTTTAATTTTCAAGTTTTGGTGCATCGACAAGGAAGTGTTCAGGTTAATTTATATAGTTGCAACATGTGGATCCAGACATTTCTTGCACGGTCTTTTACATCTAGATGTGGAACATCTGGAAGAATTTTATGTCTGTTGTGATACTGGAAGCAATTATTTAGATATGGAAGAATTGGAATGGTGTTACTTTCAACAACTATTTGTTTTTTTCTTTGTTCTCAGAACAACTGCTTCTTTATTCCCTAAATATAGCTTCATCCTTTGTATAAAGTTTGATAAAATTGCATTAAATTCAAGATTTGCTGGCATTCTGCCCCCTAAATCATTTGCAGTTGCATTTTGTAAATCCTTGTCATCCTAAGCTCTTGTTTTCACTAGAAATCATTGTATATTGAACCTATGTTCTGTTAGCATAGTTAGTTTGCATCTATCTTGTGGTGACATGGATAGGATGAGCTAGCTAATATTGAAAATTTTCCTGCAGAGACATGAAGAAGTAGCTACTGTTGTGCTTCACCTTCAATAGATTCAATTCTCTCTCTTTCCCCCTTTATCTGCTAGTTAAATACCAACATAATGAGGTAATAGAATGGCTTGTTGTCTAGTAGATACTTCAGGGGGTAAAGTGTGCACATGAAATGTTAATTAGAATTTGCCCATAGTTCGGTTTGAAGGACCAATGGAATGTAAGCCTGGGGATAAACATTGTGTAATTGTTATATTGTTTCTCCACATTTTGCTAGTGTTCCAATGCATTAATTTTGCATGGTGAACATTCTTAATTTGTAATCTTGCCATACTCTCTGGAAATTTTCTGTGTTTCTACACTTGGCAACTTAGAATTTTTTTGGGTTTCTTTTCTGTAGTTTTCTGATTCTATATCTGTTTGTCATGCTGTGTTTATGGAATGTGGATAAGTCCACTCACGAGCCACGGTTAAGAATTGAAGCATGTTCCTCATCATTTGGATTAGCCATGGTTACAAGGTATTCTTTCCTGCTCTTCTTGCTGCTTTCAACAATAATTTCAATATTAGTTCATTTTTCTTCGCTAAGATTCTTATAGATGACGAAAAAATGAACTAATCCAAATGGCAAATTAATAATTTAATATGATATTGAACAAAGTCATCATAATATGTAGGCACTCTAATGAAATTGAACAAAGTTAAGCCGTCGAATTAGCTTCCGAACATGGCCATCTTCTCTGGATGCTGCAAATTCCAAGCCCTAGGAGGGGATCCAATACGAGCTCGCGCTTAGTGACTGAGGTCGATTCGATGATTTGTTTTCTTTCTTTTTTTCTTACGGAAAATTAATTAATAATTTAATATGAGTTATCATGTTATTCCACAAAATTTAGGGAAACAGCCGGTCGAGGAAAGGAATAGTTATAAAGAAAAGAAAATATGCAATTTAGGTAAAGGAAAGTTGAGTTCGCTTCCTAAGACCACAAACCAACGGCATTGCTCAATATGTCGTACGAGCTCCATTTATAATTTTGCTCAGTCATGCGCGCTTTAATTCCATAATAAGACCTTCGACCCAACATTTTCTCTTTTCCCATAGTGAGACGCGAATTCGGAGCTTTTAAAAATTGGAACTTTCCGATTTGCGAGGGGAAATTTATTTTTTTTCAAAAAAAATAAATTTCCCCTTGCAAATCACGAGGCAAAAATCACCATCTCCTCCTCCTGCTCCTCCTCCACCGCCACCCCGTTCAGCTCGCTCTCCTCCCTCAGCCCTCCGTACTTTCCAAATTGCCCTCACAATTCACGACGCAAAAAACACCATGTCCTCCTCCTCCTCCACCGCCAGCCCGTTCAGCTCACACTCCTCCCTCATCCCTCCTCCGTACTTCTCGTTCCTCTCCGCCCTCGCCCTCAGCGCCTCCAGCAGCTTCCCCACCGCCCTCTCCTTGTTCCTCGGGTTCTTGATCAGCACCTCGCTTATGTCCGCCGGCGTCATCTTGGCCTTCTCCACTGCCTCCCTGAGCTCGCCCGCCGCCGCTTCCCCGCTGCCCAGGTAGTCCCGGAGCAGGATCTTGAGCGTGAGTGTCAAGACCTCTCACGTGCAGGATCCTCGGGAAGAAGGCAATAATGGTCAGGAGGGAGGCCACGATGCTCAGGAGGGAGGACACAAAGTTCAGAGATGTGCAAGACGACTCCATTTCTGTCAAGATCTCTGGGTAGTGTAGAAGGAGGAGACGATGACGCACGGTCGGGTTTGGGTTTTTTTTTCCTGAGGGGTGGTCGATTATTTATAAGAGGGTAAAGACAAGCTTTGACATTATTTTGCTTTAACTTGTCTTTACCCTCTTATAAATAATCCTCAGAAAAAAAAAACCCAAACCCGACCGGGCGTCATCGTTTCCTCCTTCTACATCACCCAGAGATCTTGACAGAAATGGAGTCGTCTTGCACATCTCTGGACTCCGTGTCCTCCCTCCTGAGCATCGTGGCCTCCGTTAGCTATAGTGCTTTATCTCTGTTTCAATGAACATTCCTCCGTTACCTTCAAACCCAGCCTTGTGTGTATACAATAATCAGTTCTGCAGTGCAAAAAAGGCACATTGCAAAATCCAGTAGCTTGGATTGAAGAAAAAAGAGTTAACACAATTAGCTTTAGGCTGCAATTCGATTTTCCGAAACTCTTCACAAGTGAGAATAGTACAATAAAGCACCCAATTTCTCCCCTAACAAGCCATGAACCTACGTCTCTATTCGTCTACATAGTTTGAGTTCCAGAGTCAATCCTCTTATTGAGACAGGACTATGCTACCACGTATCCACTACTTCTACAAGCTTGTATAAAATGACTGCAAGGATACAACTGTATTGCATGCCACTTAATATGTGAAGCAGCATGAAGCTTTTTTAAAGACTAAAGCATTGCCAGGCTTGCCATACGAACCACTGACACTCCGAAGACTTTTAGGTAGTTTTCTCGGTCTACTTCAGATCCTCCTAAGATTAGCAGATAGACAAAAAAAAATCATTCATCCATCTTTCAATCTTCTTAAGAATAGATCCAACACCTGCAGATTAACAGATGAACATACTAACATACACATGAAATGTAAAATCTGACCTTGTTACTTCATTTAATTCAAATAACTGGCATTGAGATGTATGTAGGACTGTTATGGAAAGCCATTTTGGATAAATAACCCACTAACGGCTGTAGATTAAGCATGTGAGAGAGAGATTGACCTTGTTACTTCATTTAATTCAAATAACTGGCATTGGGATGTATGTAGGACTGTTTTGGAAAGCCATTTTGGATAAATAACCCACTGACGGCTGTAGATTAAGCATGTGAGAGAAATAATCTCTCTCTCTCTCTCTCTCTCTCTCTCTCTCTCTCTCTCTCTCTCTCTCTCTCTCATTCATGAAGTAGGTAAGATAAGAATAAAAACCCTAACGGATGTCCAAACACAAGGCCGTTTGCATTTGCCAGTGTGATGAAATGGCATAGTGCAATTGTGAATATGATGTAAATGAGCATCAATAATATGGAAATTGAACATGATTTTAAATGCCTATGGATGTCCCTTGAATCTTAACGAATAATTACAGTCAAACAAGCTGATCCACATGTCTTTGCAACAATGAAATATTTTTTTTTTGGTAAGGAGCAACAATGAAATATTAATATCCATAAGCATGATATAAAGCACTATAGCCAATTCCAAGGGGAAGATCTGGTGAGGACCATATGTTAGCACATTAATTGGAGAAAAACAGATGCAGCAACCTTTTTCTCAACTGTCTAAGATGTCTAGGACTAGGAGCTCCATGTTCTAAGGTCATATTGCTAATGGTAAAAAAAGGGAAAGGAAAAAACAAAGGCCATTGACATAGCAATAACATACCTTTAACGTGGATCTTAAGGTTTAAAGCAGTTGCTTTAGGCCGTACAGAACACAAATGGCACTGCACAAGATAAAAAAGACATCCTTCATCAGCTAATGTTTACAAAATTGAAATGTTTACTTTGACTATCACATAGTACCAGGAGGTAGGAAGACTACTGATGCTTATAAAAACAACGACCTTTTCGAGTTTAAAAAAAGTAGCTCGATCTCAGGTAGAAGTAGAACCTTTGGATTCATTTGGACTTAAAAACTATTTTCTTACATTGCAGCAAAAGTAGAATGTATGTTTCATACATGAAACTATATCTTAAGATGAACATAATAACAAGACTTAAACCTAGCTCCAAATAAAGTACACGAAATCCAACATCAAGAAGGGTTCCAGATAAAAGTTAAAACCTAAACCAAATCGAACACATCGGAGTAGAAAAATAGAATTTCAACTCCAGACAACTAGCACATGAGGCAACGAACTGATGAGTACAGAAGCCCAAATTCCACAAACCATTCCAAAAACAGAAAGGCTTCCGGATTACTTTTCATACATCCAGATTATATATATATAGGGAATCAATAAAACTTGATGAGGAGTTTTAAAAGAAAAGGACAGCATCAATTGTCTTATGGAAAAAGAAGACTTCCCAATGACGTCCAAGGAAGCAATGAAACGCCACATTCATCTTATTGAGGTTACCGTTGTGGTGAACTTTGCGCATAATAATTACCAGAAGATGAAGAATATAAATCATAAGAAACAAAAGCCTTCCATGTTCCAACCATGACATACACGATATTTTAGATTTATGTTTGGTAAAAGGAAACCTCTTGCTAATCAAAATATCGTGAGCATTAAAAGCAAGCACAAATTGAACTGAACAACTAAATCGCAAGCTTTGTGGATTATGAGGTTGTCTTTAAAGCCCATGACAATGTCCAAATACCTGCAGAACGTGGAGGCCATCAATGCTCAAAATAAATAAAACACGCATCAAAGTCAATTAGTTCTACATCTCGCCCATGCCAAAAGAAGAAATGCATTGCACTGGCCCAACCATTTTTTCTTTATTTTAAAATTTTTGAGAAAATAATGCACAGGCCCGTGCGTTCTGATTTTCAACATAGTTCGCACTGTCAATTAGATAAAAACAAACCTGATCTCTCGCGCCGAGGACGACGCACTTCACGCCGTCACCTCCTTTGCCTCGAACTGCGGGTCGCGCGGAGGAGGAAGCTGGAGAGAGGAGGAGACGGAGGGAGGGGAGGGATAGGGAAGAAGATGTTATTAGGGTTTTGACAAAGTGAAGGTGGGCTGGGCTTCCAACAATGGGCTGCTTTTTTTTTTTTTTTGATCTTGTACTTTCTTTTTTTTCAAATTTGATTATTTACTTTTAGTTTCTTAACTAATATATTTATTTATATATAATTATTTTTTGAAAATTTATGTGTATAATTTTTTAGGGTAAATTCATTCTAGGTTTTTATTATTATTTATTTACTTAATTGAATCAAATTTAAAAATAATAATTTATCATGTATATATAAAAATATATATTTAATATACAACGTATCTCATCGTGTTAGAATTCTCTATTTTTTTAGAAATGACATGTCGCGTGTCGTATCGCGTGTCGGTGCTACTTAGCATGAGGCAATAATTGACGAGTACATAAGCCCAAAATTTACACAATTCATTCCAATAATAGAAAGGCTTCCAGATTACTTTTCATACATCCAGATTATATATATAAAATCAAATCCAACTAAAACTTGATAAGGGGTTTTAGGAGAAAAAGGCTACATCAATTGTCTTCTGGAAAAAAAAAGGATTCACAATGAAGTCCAAGGAAGCAATGAAACGCGACATTCATCTTATTGAGTTTAACATTGTTTTGAACTTTGCACGTAATTATTACCAGAAGAGGAAGAAAAAAAATCATAAGAAACAAAAGCCTTACAAGTTCCAACCATGACAAACACAAGCATAAATTGAACTGAACAACTAAATCGCAAGCTTGGTGGACTATGAGGTTGTCTTTGAACCACATGACAATGTCCAAATACCTGCTGAACATGGAGGCCATCGATGCTCAAAATAAAAAAAAACACACGTCAAATTCAATTAGTTTTACATCTAGCCCACGCCAAAAGAAGAAATGCATTACACTGGCCCAACCATTTTTTTCTTTTTTACTAAGGAACCGAATAATACAGAAGCTCAGCTGCTATTTGCTACTTTATCCACTATGAAGTGTGAGAATGGCAATTCTGTAGCTCCTAATCAAAATCTGTCCCACAGAGATCCAAGAAGAGAACTCCTATAGAGTAAAATCAGTATAAAGAACTCAATCTAGTGAACACGTACAGAAGAAATGCTGATGGGATTGTTTTTTTCAATCCAAATTTCACTCACGAATCACGAGGCAAAAATCACCATCTCCTCCTCCCCCTCCTCCACCGCCACCCCATTCAGCTCGCACTCCTCCCTCGGCCCTCCTCCGTACTTCTCGTTCCTCTCCGCCCTCGCCTTCAGCACCTCCAGCAGCTCCCCCACCGCCCTCTCCTTGTTCCACCGGTTCTGGTTCAGCATCACCTCGCTCATGTCCGCCGGCGTCATCTTGGCCTTCTCCACCGCCTCCCTCAGCTCGCCCGGCGCCGCCGCCGGCGACTCCCCGCCGCCCAGGTAGTTCCGAAGCAAGATCATGAGCGTGAGGGTGAAGACCTCTCTCGTGCAGGAACCTCAGGCCGAAGCCACCAATGGTCAGGAGGGAGGCGAAGATGCTCAGGAGGGAGGCCACGGCGTCCAGAGACGAGCAAGACGACTCCATTTCTGCCGTCGTGTGTTGAGTGTCAAGATCTCTGGGTGGTGTAGAAGAAGGAGACGATTAAGCAGAGTTGGGTTTTCCGTCTGAGGAAGGGAAATACTTAATTATCATATTTATAGGTTTTTGGGGGGGTAAAGGAAGGTGGGGAGAAGCAGCGATGCTTTATCGCAAACCTCCCCTTCTCGTCCCCTCGTCCCTAAGACCTTCACTTCCCAAAAAACTACGTCGACGCACGGTTCCCCCCCCCCCCCCTCAGGATGAGTATGATTTCAGGGTAGAATATGAAATCTGAGAACCTGACATGTGAGAATTTATAGATTCCAGATTTTAAGGTATGCAGGATGAATTTCAGATTTCAAAAATTAGGGAATCTGTTTTGACAGATAGGTTCCAGGTTCCACCTACGTAGAACCTGGAACCTAAACAAGTTTTTTGTGTTTTTTCTTAGTCTATATTTTTGTGTGATCCTACAGTATTTCATGGTGTTAGATTCTGGAACCACTAATCTGAGTTTTCATTTTATGACTTATTAATGTTTCATATTTTTCGTGTGTCTGAATATAAATTGTGATTAATGAATCATAGCAGTAAGTGGTAGTCATTAAATGTGATAATTCACTGCAATTATTCAATTAATAATATAGATATAACCTAGGTAGACCCTATAATTGACTTTGGAACCTGTGATAGAGTAGGTTTCAGGTTCCAAAAAATGAGGACCCTATTCTCATAGATAGGTTCTAGGTTCCAGGTGGAACATGTACGGAAGATGGAACCGCTCACCCCTAGTATCGATTCACTTAATGACTTCTCATTTTGATTGTATTTATTTGAACCATAAAAACTAGTCTTTTGTATTCTTTTTCGTAAATAACAAGTTTGTTTAGTATTATTGTGTTCATTTTCGTTTTGTTTAACTAAAAATGAAATAAAAAAAGAACATGTTAGACCCTAGAACCTATTTTAAAATCTGTGACAAGGTAGATTTCAGGTTTCGAGTTTCGATCTGCTGATTGCTGTAGATCCCCACTTTTCCCCAGGCAAAAGAACACTACAAGTGCCATAACTTGTGTACGGCGCTCACTTTAGTGCCATAACTTTTTTTTGGATCACTTTAGTGCTAACATTTTTGAAAAACGATCACTTAAGTGCTAAAATTTTTGAAAAACGATCACTTAAGTGCCAACTCCGGTGCCGTACACAATTTTTCGCCGGAAATCTGACGTGGCATTTTTTTTATTAAAATCTGAAGCTAACGTGGCTCGCCGGAGTCTCGCCGGAGATTGGCACTTAAGTGATCATTTTTCAAAAATTTTAACACTTAAATGATCGTTTTTCAAAAAATTTAGCACTTAAGTGATCGTTTTTCAAAAATTTTAGCACTGAAGTGATCCAAAAAAAAGTTATGACACTTAAGTGATCATTTTTCCTCCGACTTGGCACCAAAGTGATCCGAAAAAAAGTTATGGCACCAAAGTGAGCGCCGTACATAAGTTATGGCACTTATAGTGTCCTTTTGCCCTTTTCCCCAACATCAGGTCTTTGGGTGGGGGCGGCTTCTTCTCTCCTGTTCCTCTCGCCCATTGTCTTTTCAAAGGGATAGATGCATTAGTCTAATGCAAATTTTTCCCGGTATTCTATCACGTGGAAGATTTGTACAACTTGCTGCTGCTGCTATGGAGGAAGGACCCTGTGCGATGGTGAAATCCGGTTGATACGGGAAAATTAATTAGTCAAAAACAGAGAGAATAAAGCAAAAATAATTAAAAAAAAAGTCTCCAAAAAATTCCCTCTTATATCTAAACACGTTACCCCCCACTTTGGCCTTATGTCACACATGTCATATAACAATTTCATTTATTTCCAATGGCACGACCACAAATTTGTAAAGGACTTCATACAGTGTGCCCCGAGTATATTTGTTAAGCAACCAAACGATAGAATTCTATACTAATCGAAATCCAGATTACAAGAATGCGATCAACGGTCCAAAAATAACTATATCGACGTGAATTCGGTAAAGTTTCAATTTTTCGCCACACGCTCTGCGTAAAGTTTGTTATTGCACGCTGGTCTTGTAGCGAGGAATTCGATGGCACATCGAGTTCATGCAAGTTCGGTCCATTGATTTTGTGAGGTCTAACGTACATCTCATATGATATAACGACTCCGATGGATCGAGTCTACTCGAACTCGGTCCACTCGGGAACGATCCTTTTTACGATGGATTTATTTAATAGAATAAGGAGGGAAAGGGGCGGGACATGTGTGGCTGATTGGCTCATCACGAGGGGTTAGGAGTGGAGGCGATGTTGGTGAGGTGAATGTCATCGCCATTGGTCTGTTATGTGCATTCTCCCCAAATTTCTCCCTCTCAAAAGAAATGGAATAGTGACCATGACAAACCCCCCATACACGCGGCACCCTCTCTCTCTCTCTCGGTCTTGGTTTTGGGGGATGAGAGGAATTGGCTCTGGCTTAATTGATATAAACATTTCCTTTATGATCTCTTTTTCCCTTCACATCACTATAATTGATAATTTTAAATGGATTATCACGTGACACCAAAGGAAACAGGGAGGTTCATACAGCCATTTCGGATCTAGGGAATTAGTGCACGGGCCTTCGCCACCCAATCTGTGGCATGATAAGCATTCCTAGGGCAATGTGATGTTCTCTACTATGTGATTGCACCCGCCTCCAAGAGCAAGTCGATGGTGTAGGATCATGCAATGCATATAAGTTCAATAAGAGATGGCGATTCAATCGAGATTGAGGGTGCGCGAAAAGCACATAAGTTTTGCTTATGATTAGATTGTTTCATTACCTTCCATCTGAATGTAAAGAAATTTATTGTCAAGTTTTGTGCATCCAAAGAGCCTAGTGCTAGCATATTTCATAAGCCTGACTGCTCTCTCAAATTCTTCCAACTTAAAAAGATCCAATAGGAAGACATATATCAGTTCCAAGGAAAAAAAACAGCACATAGCTTCAAAAAAATTATTATGTATGTTCAACCGGTCTGTAAGCAGAGGTTGAAAGATGTGTGATACAATGTGATCTCCAACTTCAAGCCACAAACCAAGGAAGCGTAAGGCGAATCTACGAAGTAGAAGATGCTAAAAGCCAATGGTGTAGTAGTGACCTATTCTACATCTCTAAGAAGACCAATGATATGAATTTTAAGGACCCACCGCGATTGATAACTTTTGACAGAAGAATCTAAGGTAAAAAAATCGGGTAATCTTACGTTCAGAGTGGAAAAACAAGGAAATACCTGCCACTTTGTTGTACCAAAAGCAGTTTGGAGGTCTCTAGAGAGATCATTCAAATCATCAGGTGATAATGCTTCTCTCATCTCCCTATCCCATGCTCTGCACGTTGATTCCATCCTGGCAAACCAAATAAACCATAAGAGAACATGCCAACTGCATTTGCCCAGAAATAGTGGACATGACAAAACAACAGGCAAGCCGGACAGCAAGTGCATGCTCGTTAAGAAAGCCTACCCATTGCCTAGGCAGTGACGATGACATTATTAAGATAGACTTTAAATGTTTTTATAGCTAACATTATGGTAAGTGAAGAAAAGTATCCGCACATGAAGCTGGACTATACACTTTTAGTAAACTTCAACGCTTTCAAATTCAACTTCAACTCCGTTGCTACTCATGCTAGGTTTTAGTAACTGAAATCCCAAAATAACTTCTGCTTACATATAGGAACCAGCAAAAGCATAAAAATACATGTAAAACAATCCAATTAATGTCAACGCTTTAAGGAGTCCAGATCAGTTCACGTGGGAGGCTCACGCCCTTATCATGAAGTGCAAAGATATGTTACTTTCATTTTCAAATATTCAAGTAGCCCATTGCTTTAGAGAGGCTAATTTAGTGGCAAATTGGCATACTAAAGCTCATAGGAAAAACTATTTACTTCATATTGGGTTTTATCTCCTCCCCCGGCCCTTTGGGATCTTTTATGTACTGAAGCCCCTTTCTCGGGCCCTATCACTTTTGACTAGTTTAATGAAGTATTTCACTTTCTGACCAAAAAAAAAAGAAAAAAAGGCCACACCAAAGCATTTGTTAGTGAATACACATACAATCGGGCAGTGAAAGACAGCAATTGCCATGCAAACTGTAAATAGCTAATAGAAGCTTCGCAATGTCATGAACTCATTCTTCATTTTCACCACTAGCAGGATCGAAACCGTCGGATTGAGTGCCGAGACAATAAAGCAAACTAGCTTTCGCTGGACAAGAAATTAAATAAAAATTCAAATTGAAGTGCTGTTTCATCGATTTTGATGGCATATTTAGAACCCAAGAATGAACTTATGCAGATATTCAAGAATCAGTCACAACTCAAAAGCAACAAAGCACACAGTCTACAAGCTAGGCACCCGAAGCATCTAAGCACCAAGCTATATGCCCCCAAAGTATGCTGATTCAACAATCGAAGAATTGTAAGACAGAATCCCTCTAGTTCATCAAACCTCCACAACGTCTTGATATGAATTAGGCAACCAATTGAATAGAAATGAAAATCGCAGTGTACACATTGGCAGATTCGCAGACCTCCTTGGCCACAGAGGAGAAGAAATCGTCTTTCCGCCGCCATTCGCAACCACAATTGCTTCAAGCTCCAGCTGAAGCTTTCCTCTTCCCTCTTCTCTTCTTCTTCACTGAGAAGAAGCGAAGAAGGAAGAGAGACAAGGCAAATGCAGAGATTTGGCCCCTCTCCCTCCCTCTCTCTAAGTTGTTCCTGTGTCTAAAAAAAAGTTGTTTTGGAGGTGCAAGTTAATATTCAGACGGGAGATTACACCAATTTGGGTTGGTATCTATAGTGGATTGGATTGTAAATTAAAGTATGAAAATAGATAGATTTCACTATTCGTGAATGTGATCATTTGAGATCGCTCAGCCCCATTAATGTCGTGCACAAATCGGAAAAGCAATGCATATTTTTCTGATCTGAATCTATCTCTCTCACACTCTCTCCCCTTGTACGCATGAAATGTAAAAATCTGACCTTGTTACTTCATTTAATTCGAATAACTGGCATTAATAT